CCCCCCCAGTGTATATCCCATGCGTTATTTGCCTGGATCAGTGCCACGAGAAATGGTGGCACACACACACAGAGAGAGAGAGCTGCGTACTCCGGCACCAAGGTCCAACAAGCAGTTAAATTATATAGCTAACTACTGGTTGACATAAGGGATACGAACTGCCACGTGAAAAGCCCCCCCCCCCCCCCCCCATCTCAGCACATCCGGCAATTCAAAAAAGTCAAAACAATCCCAGTCAAGCATGCAATGCAGGGGGGTCGTCCGGAGGGGGCTATGGAGTAGAGTACAAACAACACGAGATTCCGCGTACCTACTCAAAAAACCCCATTATTAGATGGGAATAGCGGGGACATGAAAAAGTCAGCAACAGCCGTTCACGTCCAAAGAAGCTAATTAGTTAGTTTCCCTTCCCGTAGTTAACCCAACGCTCACTTCGTATTACCACCACCACCACCACTACTAGTATTCTGATTCACCGGCTGAGCCCCCAACACCCATCCAAGCCCGCTCGCCAGACCCCCCGTTACCATACTACTCACCATATCGCGCTTCCTCACCGCCCGCCCCGCCTCCTCCGCGGCGTCCCCAGGCGCACCATCGCCGTTGTTGTCAGCAGCCGCCGCGGGAGCATCCATGCTGCGCCGTGCGGACGTCGACGTCGACGTCGACGCCGGTGGCGCGCGCGAGAGCGGGAAGGCGTTCTTGCTGATAGCGCGGGCGGCGCCGCGCGCCACGTCGAACAGGCCCATGGGCGCTTCGTCGTAGTCTCTGCGGGCGGCGGGGCGGCGCAGGCGTTTGGCGCGCGCGCGCTGGGTGTCGAGGGCGTCGAGTTCGGCGTCGGACGGGCCGAAGCCGCCGGGGACGGCGGTCGAGGGAGAGGTCATTCCTTTGTGGAGGTCGTCGCCGTGCGTGTCCCACGAGTCGGCTTCTTCTTGTTCTTGGGCCTGCAGCGTGTTCATTTCTTCGTCGCTGCGGCGCCATACGGCGAGGATCTCCGGGAGGGGTTCGGGGGAGGGTGAGAGGAGGAGGGCGAGGGAGAGGAGTTCCATTTGTTGCGAGAGGCGGGAGATGCGGGATTGGATGGATGGGGGTTCGTGGGTTGCGGCGGTGGAGCGGTGGCGGCCGGCGGTGTATGCGGCTCGCCAGGAGGTGTTGTCTTCGACGGTGGGTGTCTTATTGGTGGAGCTGAATAGGTTGGCATCATGGGCTAATCGTGTGGTGATGTATGAATATGCGGTTTCGAAGTCATTGGCATTGAGGGCGGAAGAAACGGATAGTGAAATGATTCGACGTGATGAGATAAGTTGGGTTTGTTCTAGGGAGAGTGTCGACAGGTCCGTGTCAGGAAGGTCATTCTCCTGGATGCCGTTGGGCAATCCGGCTGCAATAAGCTGATGGCCAATCTTGAGAAGGTTGTCCAGTTCCGTGTACGCCCTGGAATTTTGTTCTAAGATCTTCTCAATTAAGGAGATTGGATCCTGGTGCAAGCGAATGCCAACTGGTTGAAACGGAACGCCTTGCTGAAGAGTGAGGGAGTAGAAGGATATTGCGTGAGTAGCGGAGAGTAAAGATCTGATCTGCTGAAATGGCACAGATTCTGGAAAATGAGGTGTAAATGAATCAAGTCTATAAGAATTTGTTAGACAACATCTCGTTGGAAAAAAAAACCACTTGAAGCATAAAACCCACATTTCTATCGCCCGTTTCATCCCGCCTCTTGTTTTGTTTCCATTCGAGGCACTGTCGTAAGACATGAAAACTGCGTTTGTTACGGTTGATTCAACTTCTTTCGAAGATAATGGAGAGGATGCAGATGTGTAGATAGAGAGAGCGAGAGAGTATTCTATATGGATTAGCGACATCAAGGATCCTAGCTGGCGGTTTGTAGACTCACGTTTTGCCATTAGCAGAGAACTTAAAATTTCCTCCTCAAAACGGGAAAGGGGTATTCGAGAAAATAAGCCGGAAGCTGATTCGGTGCTATCACCATCGGTTGCAGGGCCCTGCTCACTGCCCCAATTTCTGAGCCAAAGCAACTGCTCTCGGACTGAACGCCAATCTTGAGTCGGTTTCGAGTCTCGTTTCAGAGCTTCAATGACTTCACGTAGCTCTGACAGTTGGCTCTCTTCATCCACAAAAAGACACAATTCTGCAGCTTGTCTCGGAGAAATTGAGTAAGAAAAGCTGTTTAAAGTTCGGATGGACGCTAGGATAGAATCCAAAAACGACATTGACTTGGGGGTTGGGTATGTGACAGGATTAGTAGACTGAAGCAATGAAGTATGGGAAAAATTCTGGCGGCGAATATTGTCAGGTATCGAATGGGGTAGAATGGGAAGAAGTTCGTCGCGATGGATTTGTAATGTTGAATATCCGTCAATCTCAAGGAGAGAAGAAATTCTAGTCAATATGCGGCACACTCCCTCGAAGGCTTTCGTTTTGCACTCTGACAGGGAATAGATAGCCGCAAAAGCAGCTTGTCCATAGTTTGAAGCTAATTCGTGCTTCAATTTTTCCGGTATAGCCACGCTTGCATCCTTGTAGGGCCCTAAGCAGATATCTTCGGGGCCAGCCCATCGAACTACTGTTTCAGCAGCTAAATCAAAGTCCCGTAAGCTTGTAGAGAGCAGCCATTCGTTGACTTCTTGCCAATCTTTCTGGTAGCTATGGCCTTCCTCCTGTCCAGTCTCCGATGATGCTTGGTCATCTTTGTGAAGCTTGCGTCTCTTCGCCTGATTATGGCCATAAATCCACGGTCCAACGAGGCCTCGCAGATCCTGGTCAACCTTTCCCCCATTCTCATAACTTTCCGCGCTGGAAAGAAGTGTGTTAACTGCACTTTTGCAATCCAACGACTCAAGAAGCTCTAGGGAGATTATTCCGTCTTTATCGGGGTGATATTCGTAATTAAAGCGAACTAAGGGAAGTATTGTAGATATCACCCAACTTCGAAGGAGATCTGACGTTTCGCAGAATGGGCTGAGGAGGTCGAGGAGGAATGTCTGAACACCGAACTCATTATCTATTCTGTAGGCACGGTGGATAAGAAATCGAGTAAGTGGTCCTGCTTCAAGTTCATCTGGATGCCCCGGATATTGAAGGGGAAGAAGGCGTAGTCTCCGAACTTGTTTTCGAGCTTCGGTTTCAGACAAGTCTGCAATAGCAGAGGTGTCTATTTCTAGGTCTTCTGAGGCATTGGAAGTTGTGTTAGAAAGAAGATTAAGAACCGGAATATAGCGACTCGGTTCGACACTTTCTGGTAGGAAAGTTAGGATAATCCGGAGGACAGGCTCTAAAGATGGCGGATTGCGGCAACGCTGCAGTAGATCGGGAAGTTGCGAGATATCCCCATCTGTGCAGAGCTGGACGGCCAAGAGCAGAAAATGGGCATCTGAAAAACCAGAGAGGTCAGTCATCTTCGCAAGTGTTTCATGGCTCACACGAGCAGCGAAGAATTGCCGTGTCTCGCTGCGTGCCCTGTGGTGGCTGTTTGGTTGATGTGGCACTTGCACACAAACTCCGGGAAAACGCTTGGACCAATTGGCGCCCGCAGAACATCATCACCACTTTGAACCACAGCCGACCAGCGCAATTCGGTTCACCAACCTTGCCACGGTTTATTGAGATTCAGAAACCATGGCCTCTGGATACGGCAGAAGTGGAGGTATGTTTTTATTTGGCAATTTGGGACTTCTCTGAGCCTATCCATTGCCTACACCCGTCTCCCAATGTCTTGACTAACAACCGGCTCTCAACGCAGGTCCATCGCGATGCTTTCCCTTCTGGCAAGACCTCCTTGCTTGTTACGTGGTCAACTCAGCGGATGGTGAAAGTGGAAAGCTGAAATGTGTACCTGCGATGGAGGACTACTACGAATGCCTACACCATAAAAAAGAGGTGATTTTTGATGTTGATAGCGTTGAAAGCAATTAATGCTAATATGTCTCTGCAATTACAGGCTGCAAGAACGAGAGTGATGCAGAATGCCTACCGCAAGGCCCTCACAGCACATCCCCGAGAGAATGTTCCACGCGCTGAAGAGATCCGTTCGCTCGGTTTACTAAACAAGGAAGATATACAATTCGGTATACAGAAGGAAAGGGATGCAAAAATTGCAGCTGTGTCGCAATAGAGATGACGGTGTGCTTTCGCAAGGTTGAATGAACCTGCCACCTGTTGTAGTTCCTTTTTAGTGTATATCATATTTCTTACTACAATTTCAATGAATGGAGATTTCAGGCGCCATGCATGGAAGAAATCTTGGATTTACGCGATGTGTCATGACGATATTGCATGCACAGAATTTCTCATCATACTCTATATAGCTCGGTCAGCATTTCCATTCCTGTCAAATCGTCGATGCTCGAGGCCAACATCGGCACTCCTGTACTGCCGAACCGTCCTTATATTGCAATTTTGCCGAACCGTTGGCTCGTGGAAGCCGCATAAGAGCGTCAACCATACGAACATTCGGTTATTGGTTCTTCTCCCTCTACTCCCAGCCCATAGAAGGCCGGCGTCGAATTAGCATTTCATGTATGGCAGACTCGACAAGTGGCTACGGCCAGCGTTGCATTCTCAATTATGCTCAGAATGAGACATTGAGCAGGAGATACGTGGAGGAGTGCAAGCTAGTATCTGGTTGATACATAAACAGCCATATCATCACACAGGATATTTCCGACTTATATAATGTCTCAAAGCATTGTAAGTGCAGTACATGCACTATGTGGTTGTACAAAATTTGCCAGAAAAGTTGCAATTAGCAAGAGATTAGGTGTGTGCGGTAGATCCTAAACAACCAAGCCTTCTGGCGAAGAGATTGACATGCTTCCAAGACAGGTCTGAAAAGCAGCTGACCAGGCACTTTCAACCTTCTCACGGCCAGAAGCAGGTCAGAGCTTACGGAAGGGAAAAAAAGCAAAAGTCACTCTCCCTGCCGCAGCGGGCTGCCACAAAGCCTCATGCTGTGTTTCGGCGCAGGATGAGGCCGGCCGTGCCAAGCACCCAGCCTTCAGCCACCAGCGGCCGCAAATCCACCAACAAGAGCGCTCTTTTTGGCCTTTTTAGGGCTCAACCAGGGGCGTTGAGGGGCGGGGTCACGTGCAGAGCGCGATTCCAGGGATGCGACACGCGCTAGACCCACACAGGGCTAGCGGCCAAGCGGCGAACATGGATAGGCGCGATCCCCCGAAGGTTGTCCCAATGATATAAACATCCCTTTGCAACCTCGAACAGCTTTTCTTCCCCCGAAAACCCAGCTCCATCCGCCACTTGGCTCGTTGCACCGCCTTACTTTTTTCACGTACTGTCTTGTTCCCTCACCTCACTATTATTACCTAAGCACTCTGTGCACATGTAATCATCTGTTGTGCCTTTTCGTCGCATGGTTCTCCAAGATGCTTCTTAACTACCTGCTAGGGTGGTTATTTTAATTTCATTTATGTTGTATTTTGTCTAACTACTGATTTGTGACGCGTGGATGTGAAGTGCCAGTGAGCTGGAAGGACCATCGCGATGGGCTCAAGGTAAGTTAATCATCGCAATCCCGTCTGCGCTAGCTGCTGACTAACCCTGCACCCCAGGCTCGACCGCTTAGTCACGTAAGTTCCATGCTGCTGAGTCAGGCACACAAGAACCACTGACCAATCATGCGCGCAGCCTCTTGGAAACTGGAAGCACCCCAGTCATCCGGAATACCGCTGCACAACAGCTGGCCGATGTCCAGAAACAGCACCCCGAGGAACTGTTCAATCTACTTGGCCGTATTCTCCCGTACCTCAGGTCACGTTCATGGGACACCAGGACTGCTGCTGCCAAAGCCATTGGTGGCATTGTGAGCCATGCCCCTATATTTGACCCTAATGCCGACGACACTCAGGTGCCTAATGACGATGAGGTGGAGAGCGAAAAGTTAAAGAAAGAGAATGACGTGGCACACGATATCCTAGAGCTAGAGACGCTTGATATCGTTTCCATTTTAAAATATGGCCACAAGCTCCTGGGAAGCGCCAGCAAGGAGTACGAGTACTCTTTTGCTGGTATGGGCCCTGCTGAGCGACTGCAACGACAAAAGAAGACGCTGAACTCTCGACTCGGGCTAGCCGGCGAATATCTCGAGGATGATCTCATAAACGATATTGAAGCCAACGATAATGTTATGTCTAAAAGGCAAGCGCCAACCCCTAAACTTGACACGTCTGTCTCCTCCCTTGCGCGCCAGCATAGTTTAAATTTTTCCCCTTTATCACCTAGCGAGCCTCCGACTCCTATGAATGGCGAAGAACATGGATTAAGCAAGCGTCAGTTGAACCAGTTAAAACGCAAGAACAAGCAATCCGCTAGGATGGGAACTAATAAAATTCGACTTGTTGATCTTTCGGTTCGTAAAGCCTCAGAAGTTGCGGTCATCGCAACACCTCATCCCATTAAAAAGGAGGAAACCGAAGAAGCGGAAGATGAAAAACAAGATTATTTTTCTCTCAACCGGCAAGGTCCCGATGACGACTCCAAGGTAGTCACAGAGTTCAAAGGCGCTGCTGTCCCAGAAAAGTCATTCATACAAACCGATCTCGAGGAGCAAAATTTAGAGTGGCCGTATGAGCGCATGTGTGAGTTTCTTATGGTGGACCTATTCGACCACAGTTGGGAGATACGACACGGCGCAGCTATGGGTCTTCGGGAAGTAATTCGTGTTCAAGGCACCGGTGCCGGTCGTTTCTGGGGCAAAACTAGGGTCGAGAATGATGCTCTCAACCATCAATGGCTTAGTGACGCTGCGTGTCGGTTTCTTTGCGTTTTTATGCTCGACAGATTTGGCGACTACATCTCCGACAACGTTGTGGCTCCAATTCGTGAAACGATAGGCCAGACACTAGGTGCACTCCTGTCCCACTTGCCTTCAAACTCCGTGGTGTCTGTCTATCGGATTTTGCATAGAATTGTGATGCAGAACGATCTCGATGCGTTGAAACCGATTTGGGAGGTTTGTCATGGAGGCATGATTGGGCTCAAATATTTGGTTGCAGTGCGGAATGACATTTTGTTCGATGCGCCCGGCGTTATGGACGGTGTCATTGAAGCTGTGATGAAAGGCTTGGGCGACCATGATGATGACGTCCGAGCTGTCAGCGCAGCAACCTTAATTCCTATTGCTGACGACTTCGTGAAGTTGCGGCCGGAGTCACTGAGCATGATGATCAATATTGTCTGGAATTGCCTCTCTAATTTACAAGACGATCTTAGTGCCAGCACAGGATCGGTCATGGATCTCCTCGCTAAGCTCTGCACCTTTACCGAAGTTTTAGACGCGATGAAAGCCAACGCCGCCAAAGATCCTGATTCATCTTTCGGAAATCTTGTTCCTCGACTCTTTCCATTTCTACGACATACAATTTCTAGTGTACGGTCCGCTGTACTCCGCGCGCTACTTACTTTCTTGAAACTAGAAGGAGAGGACCAAGATTCGTGGGCGGACGGTAAAGCTGTTCGGCTTACCTTTCAAAATCTTCTTGTCGAACGGAATGAGAATGTGCTTAAGCTGTCGCTACAGGTCTGGTCGCAACTACTTAGAGTCCTTCGCGCCCAAGGGGTTTTCAATGGAGATCAACTTGTTGCTCCCATTCAACCGCTTATAATTGCGACTATGAGTCCGTTCGGAGTTCCTCGATACCCCATACCAATGGATCTATGTCTTTTCATTCGCCCGTCTGGATTACCCTTTAACCCTGGACCTTCGGCACCAAAGAAATGCTTGGTTCCCACTCCCAACGATCTTCCTCCCACACCTGCTCCTCGCGGCAGAAAACGAAAAGCGGATAAAAAGGAGGCTGCAGTGGTTATGACGCATAATGTAGATGGCCATATGTTGCAAGGGGACATTGACCTTGTTGGTACAGACACGATGATCAGATCGAAAATATACGCAGCTACTGCCCTTGGCGAGTTTTTATCCGCTTGGGATTCTGCTAACGAGTCCAGCCTCTGGGAACGAGTATTACCAGCTTTAAATTACCCAGGCTCTACGTCCCAACTAGTGGCAGCCATAGTGATTGAAGAATACACTAAACGTCAAGGGCCTGCATCACGTTATGTCTCCTTGCTTTCACAGTGGCTCAATCCCATGATAGAAAGTGAGCGGCCATTGTGGTATAGCGACATTGCATGCTTTCTCCATATTGCGAGAGCGCAATGCCATTCACTTTTGAACACTTTTCGCGATCATGCTCATGTTTCCCCATCTAGGCTTCCAGCGCTGGCTGTTGTTGTTCAGGGGGATCCAGATGCCGGTCCCAATGCATTCTCGATCCAAGATGCAGAAAAAGTGGTTGGCCCAGACTTTGAAAAGCTTAAGAAAGACCTGTCACCAACTCAAAGAGTATCTGCCCTTCAGGTCCTAAATGATTCCCGTACTAGCGCTCAAAATGCTGTCAAGGAAGCACAAGAAATTAAAGAACAACGTGACATGCGTGTTCGTGCTGCTATTGCTGGCTCCTTGGTTGCACTTCAGGATATTCCAAAGAGACCGAGCCAAATCATCAAAGCTATGATGGATAGCATAAAGAAAGAGGAAAATTATGACCTGCAGCAGCGATCAGCATCTGCTATTGCATCTCTGGTAGAATATTATACCGCCGCAGCAAAACGCGGCCCAGTTGACAAAGTTATTGGAAACCTGGTAAAGTTTTGCTGTGTTGACACATCTGAAACCCCAGAGTTCCACCATAATGTTCACCTGGAAAAATCCATTTTATCTCTTCACAAGGAGGAGGACAAGAAAGATCCAGTCGATGCTGCTAAATTTGAGAAAGAATCACGAGAAGCAAGAATCATGCGCCGTGGGGCAAAAGAAGCGTTGGAGCAGTTAGCAATGAGGTTTGGGGATCAATTGCTAGAAAAGGTTCCTAACCTAGCCAGTCTCATCCAGGGCTCTCTGATGCAGACTTTGGGCGGGGAGCTCCCGCAGGATATTAGAAACCCCTCTAGTGAATTAGGACAGGAGACAGTGGATGGGTTATCTACTCTACGAGCGCTGGCCCCGAAATTCAGTGCTGGTCTATATCCATGGGTTATAGAGCTTATTCCTGTTATTGTCAAGGCTTTACAGTGCGAATTATCCGTCATTCGCTACGCAGCCGCTAAATGTTTTGCCACGTTATGCAGCGTGATGCCTGTTGAAGGTATGACCATGCTGGTGGAAAAAATCCTACCTTCAATTAATAATGCACTGGACATTAGTTGTCGCCAGGGTGCCATTGAGTGCATATACCATTTGATTCATGTTATGGAAGATAAAATTCTTCCATACGTTATTTTTCTCATTGTTCCTGTGCTCGGTCGAATGAGCGATTCGGATAACGACGTGAGACTTCTTGCAACAACGGCATTCGCTACACTTGTTAAGCTTGTCCCACTGGAAGCCGGAATCCCTGACCCCCCGGGGCTTTCTGAAAAGCTACTCGAAGGCCGTGATCGAGAAAGGAAATTCATGGCGCAGATGCTTGATGTACGAAAAGTTGACCAATTTGAGATACCTGTTGGTATCAAGGCAGAGCTTCGATCATATCAACAGGAAGGTGTTAATTGGCTTGCGTTTCTCAATCGGTACAACCTTCACGGAATTCTTTGCGACGACATGGGCCTTGGGAAAACTCTGCAAACACTCTGTATTGTTGCTAGTGACCATCACCTACGAGCCGAGGAGTTTGCACGAACGCAGGCTCCTGAAGTACGGCGGTTGCCGTCGCTGATCATTTGCCCCCCTAGTGTTTCTGGTCACTGGCAGCAAGAGATCCATCAATACGCACCTTTTCTTACCTGCATTTCATATATGGGACCCCCAGCTGAAAGGTCAAAACACAGGTTGCGACTTACCGAAGTTGATATTGTCATTACTTCCTATGATATTTGCAGAAACGATAGCGATGTTTTTGCGCCGATGTCCTGGAATTACTGTGTTTTGGATGAAGGGCATCTGATTAAGAATCCAAGAGCAAAGATCACTATGGCAGTGAAACGCATCCAGAGTAATCACCGTCTTATACTCTCTGGAACTCCAATTCAAAATAACGTTTTGGAGCTTTGGTCACTGTTTGACTTCTTGATGCCTGGCTTCCTGGGAACCGAGAAGGTGTTCCTTGACCGTTTCGCAAAGCCCATCGCGGCGAGCCGTTTCAGCAAATCGTCCTCTAAAGAACAAGAAGCTGGAGCTTTGGCTATCGAGGCCCTGCATAAACAAGTTCTCCCATTCTTGCTACGACGATTGAAAGAGGAGGTTCTGAACGATTTGCCACCTAAAATTCTCCAGAATTATTACTGTGATCCAAGCGAGCTGCAACAAAAGTTATTCCAAGACTTTACAAAGAAAGAGCAAAAAGATTTAGCGAAGAAAATGGGGAGCGCGGAGAGAGAGGCCAAAGAACATATTTTTCAGGCCCTACAATACATGCGTCGACTCTGCAACTCTCCTGCTTTGGTTGTCAAAGAAGGTCACAGGCAATACCAAGAAGTTCAAAAGTACCTTTCAGATAAGAAATCGCATATTCGCGATATTGCGCATGCACCCAAACTTACTGCTCTTCGTGATTTGCTTATTGACTGCGGTATTGGCGTTGATCCATCTGGCGAGGGTGAATTGAATACCGCAGCAAGCTATGTTAGCCCACACCGCGCCTTAATTTTTTGTCAGATGAAGGAGATGCTTGACATCGTGCAGAATGATGTCCTCAAAAAGCTGCTTCCATCTGTGCAGTACCTGCGTCTTGACGGAAGTGTCGAGGCTACAAAACGGCAAAGTATCGTCAACCAATTTAATACAGACCCTAGCTATGATGTTCTTCTTCTCACAACGAGTGTTGGCGGGCTTGGTCTCAATCTTACGGGCGCAGATACGGTTATTTTTGTTGAACATGACTGGAATCCCCAGAAAGATATTCAGGCTATGGACCGTGCGCATCGTATTGGTCAGAAAAAGGTTGTCAATGTATACCGATTGATTACTCGTGGAACTCTGGAAGAAAAGATTTTAAAGTACGTTTAACCTAGCGTTCTCGTTGTCTACCTCGCCGACTAATATTTATCTAGTCTCCAACGTTTCAAGATTGATGTTGCTTCCACCGTCGTTAATCAACAAAACGCTGGCTTAAGCACTATGGACACTGATCAACTGCTTGATCTCTTTAATTTGGGAGAAACCGCTGACACTGTTGAAAAACCCGGACAGGACACCGGTCTTAATGGTAATGAGGTTGACATGGTGGATATCGATGGTGAAGTCAAAGAAAAAGGTAAAAAGGGTTGGTTAGATGATTTGGGAGAGCTATGGGATGACCGGCAGTACGAAGAGGAATATAACCTCAACTCATTCTTGGCATCCATGAAGGGTTGATGTGCGCCTTATCAACTCTTCTACACAGCCGGACTCTTCGAAACAAATCAAAACTCGGTAGTGAGGAAAGTGGCTAATTTTTCTTGGCTCGATAAAAACTTCTTGATGATATTTTTCCACTTTGACTCTTTTATGTATTTGCGAGAGGTGCAGGAGGCCTTGGTGGTGTTTCTAGGAGACATTAAAAAAAGCTGCAGGGCATTGGGTCTGGTCGCCCCTTGCATCAACGGAGTTTTATATGTTGTTTATCTCGGCGCATTTAAAGAGCAGCAGTGGCGGGTTACATCATGTGATTTGTTTTTTCTTCTTGTTTTATCATATTCCTTTCCATCGAATATTCTTTTCCCTGAAAATATGTACTTTGAGATAAGGTTTTTCATTTCGATGTATAAGTATAGCAACAACCCCTTTACTTCTTACCACCATCGGTGCTCTTTTTGAATCATGCATAATTTTGTCTAATTTTTGACAGAACAAAACTGATGAGTCAATCATAGCCAGACGAAATATGGCCTACTCGGGATGGTTTTGGCTAACTGCACCATTTCATGTCAGTGGCCCATTCATAATATCGATCATTCCTCGCCATTGGGCTGAAATCACAAATGTCCCTAACGTCTATGTTTCAAAGCTTGAGTACAAAAGTCTTCCAAGCAAAAAAAAGAAGTGCAACCTGCTATTCTTACACATTTGGCATTCGAGACCCTGACACAAAACTTAAAGCTGCGCTACCACAAAGACTCCGACAATTGGAAGAAACCACGTAAGGGGAGGATCAAAGCTGACCACCTCTACCCTAGTCAACCACACCAAACTTTCAAAGGTGCGCCTAGATAAACAGAAGACAAATAAGATATGAGAAACTAGAGCAACAACATACATCAATGAAGGCTCTCGAAGAAAAAATGTATCAAAAAGTCCAATTTCGTCAAACAGATGACAATGTCAATTTGTTCAGGAAGAGGAGAAGCAACCGTTCCTTCGTTATACCAAATTATGGCAATATTCTAACCCCGTTGTTTTGGTCTTGCGAGGAAGCTCAATCGGCTTAAACTTAGTCCAGATTTTCGATGCACGGAGCTACTCATAGTCCGACCAATACTTCGAGGAGTTCCCCCTGCTGCAGGGCGCTGCTTGACGGGGCTTGGCGTTTGGACTTTTGGTAGCGTTGAAGGATGAGTTTTGACTCTCTTAGCGCTTCGTTGTTCACTAGAGATCTCAGTAGATCTCTTGCTTTCAGGTAGGTCATCCTCAGCTCCCTCCCGATGTCTTTTCTTGTTCATAATACCGTGTGGAATACCACCAGCTGGAGAAAAGAGAAGTTGTCGACGTGGGCTAGATGTCTCCAAAGGTCTTTGCGAAGTTGAATTCAAAACAAAGGGAGGACGCTTCGCGTCTTGTGGTGTGCTGAGAGGTGGAAGGGCGGGATAGATAATTTCATCGTTCTCATCGCCGGTATCTAGATGGGGAGTTTCAGGGTACTTCGGCGCTTCAGGGGAGCCTTCACAAAAAGTCGCGGTATCTGAGAAGTCAACATGTTTCTTGACAGACGGCGGCGGGATAGGATTGTTGTTATCCTGGCCCAGGAGCTTTCGCCCGAAATCAGAAGTCGAAAAGGGTTGATGCGTTCCAGCGGCAATTTTCACGGGGTCATTGGAGAAAAGAGGTTGGTGCTGACGCAAGATTGACTTGAGACCGCCAAGGCTAGGAGTCAGCTGCCTGGGTTTCAGCTTGAGGTCTGTGTGCGGAGTTCGTGACGCAAAGTCTGGCTTCGAAGGAGAGCGAGATAATGAAGGTATTTTTGTGGCGGGAATGTTTTTTACGCTTGCAGAATGTGCGAGTGCTGGCTTATACGGAGTGGTTTCTGGGCCAGAGCTTTTGACAGTAGGATGAGGTCTATTACCGGCCTGGCCGTCCTTAGAGAGAGGTCGCCGAGTAGAAGTATCATCATCCGCTTTGGTCTTGGGCTTCTTCGCTGTCGAAGTAGCAAGCGGAATTGTAGAGCTTTCGTGCTCAGTAAGGTGGGCTTTCGAAATCGTTCGCTTAAGGCTTTTGGTAACACCAGGTTGGATGCGGTCTGATCGAGCTCTAAATGAAGAAGGGTGGTTCGCAATTGAGTCCATCTTCTTGAACTGGGCCATATGAGCGTTACTAAAGCGCCCGATCCTGCCCTTTGCTTTAGCGATTTTCCTCTCTCCCCCAGTTGTTTTGTCAGTATCGGCTTGTTTTCGCTCGCCCTCTTTCATTATCATTTCTGCCTTGATTCTAGCAGCATCTTCTCGAATACTTCTCATAATCTTTTGTGCCTCGGTGCTGAGCTCAGAATTGTCGCAGGAGAGTTTGAAATCGTAGCTTAACTCCTCAAGCTGGTCCGGATGTGATAGCCCCCCCTTCGACGGCGTATTTGATAGCGTTAATAGAGGGCGGGTAGGTGAATTGGGGTCCATCTCAATTGGCCGAAAGCCGAGTACACGCCCAGTGTCTAGCTGTTTCGCAGTGCTTTGTTGAGCTTTGCTTGGATGCATATCTTCGTGACAAGGCCGCAAAGGGCCAGCCGTAGTTGGAGTTTTCATAATTTTTTTTAAGCTGGAGAGAGCCCTAATCGGAGAAGTAATCGCGGATTTCAAGGGAGTTGTGGGGTGAGCATTAGGGGTTTGCTTTGGGCTTGACACTGAGTCTCTTTCAGTAACAGATGGCAACTTGGGCGTGGCGCGCGACGGCTTTCGTTCAGCGTGCGGAAACTGGTAATAGTTAATGAAATTTGACCAGAAAGCAGTATGCTAGAGGTTCAACAAACTTCATAGGTTGGGGTTTCGCCCCTCAGTCGAGCTGATCGACGGGTGACGGGCATTTTGATATTGCAACCGCGCGAGCTACACAGGACTATATTCTGAGTAATGTGATATAGATTTTTAAGACCACTCTAGACTCAAGGATAAAGGTGTAGCCCGTGCCTATCAAGTCATGGCGTTGATATCATCAGGAGTGCGATGAGTCCAGAATCTCCAGATGTCGAGAAGATGCCAAGCCGAAAAGTAAACAAAGATTATGTAATTAAATTATGGTTGATTATATAACACGTTTGATAGTGAAGTCATGTGATGTTGTGCCAAGCCAGTTCTCAAACTCAACAATTTCTGCGGGCTCAAGTGAAAATCTTTTTGCAAGACAACTGCACCGAAGACGAAGAAATTTAGCAAAAGATGATTGCCTGATCCCTCATAAGCCAAAAGGATATGTCTCATCCAATCCAAGGGAAGTATGCGGCTGGGTCGTCTCCAATTGCCGAACTCCATGCGATTCATCAAACCAGATATAACCATCTAACTGATCTGCAAGATCAGCCCCGGAATAGTGGGACGTTCGCTCTGTTTCTGGTCGATATATGACGCCGATGAATCGCTCGAGCCGTGGTGATGCCCTGTGAATTTCCTGGCGAACCTGCGAATCTGCTATGCCCTGACGGAGTTCAAGGTAAAAGGACGGGATGTGAGTTTGATGCGCCAAGTGCTCCCAGCTGTCAGAACGAGACGGTCGGACGTTCATTACCTCTGCATCCCCATCCCATTGATGCGCAGCAGTAACGGTGCCTATATGTGTTCCACAGCCAATCAATGCGACGTTCTGGCGTCCCAGGTTCTCGCGGCACAATTGCCCGATGTTGAGTTCGCCACGATACCTGCCCATGCTGGTATACCTTGCATCGCCAATGTGGCTGTTATGGGCCCAAATAATGGCCTTCGAACCTGCTGGCCTGTGGTCTAGGAGGCGATGAAGGGTTTCGAACATGTGCGAATCTCTCAGTGACCAGGATTCGAATCTGCTTGAATACATGACACGATAATAGGATTCTGCGTCCGCCACGAGGTATGCATTTTGTTCCATGCTGTGAAATTCATCGCCATCATGTTGGGTAGCGGAGTATTCCAATCTCTTCTTCAGCAAATCCCGGAGCATGCGAACAACCTGCTCCTCACACGTTTTCATTTTTGTGTTGGTAAAAGCCGCAAATCCGTATGCTGCCGGATCGTCAACCCAGGGCTGCAGGCAGCCGTATCTCTGACGAGCTAGTTTTGCCATTTCTGGGTCTACGCTGTCAAGATACTTGATGACGGCGTCGATAGACCTGCCCATGCTATATAAGTCAAGTCCATAGATCCCAGCTCTTTTCTGCGCAGGGAGAGTAGCATTATGGTCCCTCATCCAATGAACAAGATCCTGCATTTCCTTATTCCGCCACATCCAAGTTGGAAACCTCTGGAAGGGCTCATCTTTTCCCTTCTCAAGGCTTCCCTTGAGACCGGGTCGCTGTCGAACGTATCTGTCCAACTCTTCTGCATCAGGCCAGTCCGCTTCCAACGCCACAGTATCAAACCCATGCTTTTTAATGAGCCGTTTGGTAATCTCCGCACGGGCAGTGTAAAACTCTGACGTCCCGTGAGTCCCATCTCCTAGTAGGACTACCTTGTAATTCTTCAAGTGGTCAAAATGGGAGCTGAATGATTCATCCGTGAGGGCGGGAAGTGGCTTCACCGCCGCTTTTAAGACTTCCACGAGTCGCACGCTCATGTTCATGGAAGCTGTCGCCTCTACAATGTTAGGCAACAGTAGAGAAAGAGCCAGTTTGACGGATATCGGCGTGGTCGTGGATCGCCACTGCAATGACTTCATTACAGAGCCTATTTACCCCTCATTAACTACTACGTACCATTGATATATACGTACTGTCTGCGCTGATTTTACGAGGTTCTCCGGCATCATAGCATCATTCTGTAAGTCTCCTAACAGTATACGCTCAGGATGTCTCGCCATTGTCGTTTTAAGGAATCCATGGAGAGTGTGTATGGGAAGACTGCTGATATTCCAGACCCTGATGCTTGGGTGCCTCCAATAAATCCTGGAGGCCTCAATGGGCGCTATCTTTGGACAGACGCCTTTGGAGTGTTAAATTTCTTAACTTTGAATAAGGAGAGCCCACAAAACGACAGGAAATACCTCACGCTAGCCAAGCGGTCGGTTTGCAACGTCCATGATACCCTCGGCCACACTCGCGATAGAACGGCAAGACTACCAGGCGCCACTGATAGCAACCCCCTCGGTGGTGGGCTACGGATTGGAAAGGTATCAGAAACTGGGCCAGATGGCGATGGTCAATATCACCATTATCTGACATTATGGATGTTCGCACTGAATCGGCTGTCTATGGCCACCGGAGACGCATCATACAATTTTCAGGCAATCTCTCTGGCGAAGGCCATACACCCGCGTTTTGTAGTTGAACGGGCCTCAAATGCCATACGAATGGTATGGAAGATGTCAATGGATCTATCTGAACCACTTGTGGAGAACGAGGGACACCTTGACCCGATAGATGGGTACTTGGTATTTCGACTCCTGCAATCGTCAGCGGCGAGCCATGGAGAAGGCCAAATCTTAAGTGACGAAATCGAGGATTATGCAAGAATTATGGATCGAAAAAAGGGCCAGCGTGTTTCCAGCGATACTCTTGACTTGGGTATGAGCATGTGGACTGCTCACTGGCTTGCCGCAAAAGAAACCTGGGCGGCAGATCTGAGAGCCAAATGTCTCTCTCAACTGCGTAACCCTCCCACCAGTATTCATTAGAGAAAAGTCGTACTGTCTTGACTAACTGTTGTCTTCTTCGCCTACCCGGTATAGGAACCTTGTTTGGGGCTCAAAAGTACTTGGGATTTTCTGTTGCTTCTCGCACTGCTTACAGAGACTTTGGAACATGCCTCGGGATAGACTGTGCTTGTTATACAGGAGATGCAGGAGACGGGTTGCAGACCTATTCTGAAACATTGATTTCTCAGTGGGAAAAGAATATGTCCTCTGTAATGATACCGGAAAACTTGAGACCCATCACAATGGTCATGTATTGCACGGCATTGATTCCTGGTGGTAAGTGCAGGGTTGATGAATCTGCCTTGCTTGGTGAAAGTTGACTCACTTGGAGAAATAGCGTTCAAGGCAGGGTATTTTGGGCCTGAGCCTATCAGAGAAATTGCAAGTTGAACACTGTTCAACATGGCTGTGTGGTTGTTTTTATTTGTTGTGAGTGATGATATTATAATATTCAGCAAAGCTAGGCCCCAAGCAGTTTTTAGATGAACTGTTTTCCATACAACTCCAAACCATTCTAACTCTCTTATTACTAAAATTTACCCAAATAAATATCACACACTTATCTTTTGCTCTTAAAAATCAGATCCCAGGTACACCAATGGTTCTTCTCCATAAAGGAATAGCTCTAGGCAAAATATATATCACATACACAGCAAAAAGTGCAAGTATTAGCCCAGAAGTCTGTGGTGAATAGAAAAAAAGTCAGTAACCTACAGCCAAATGTTAAAGCTGACAAATACAGTCACTGTTGCCTACCTTCTCAATGAATGTATGGAACCAAATCCCTGTCATGAGTAACATCCACCAACATAGACCCGCAACCGCCCAGACAAAATTCTGTACCATCCTAACAGAAGTTTGACCATTCTCACTCTGTCCTGTTCCCGTCGATTGGTGAATTTCAGGTTTGTCTTTGCTATTAAGAGTTTCGCTCACGGCAACCGAGGAGCCTAATAGTTCAAATACAAGAAAAGCGCTGGCAAGAACAAGCATAAATGCATGTCCACTGACATCGTGACCTCCTTTCCAAGAACCATTCGCTAATTTACATGCCACAGCAGTCATAATAGAGTCTGGTGCGGGGCTGTTGGCATCCAGTCTCTCACATCGTCCTCCCGTGGCAGTAAAGCTACGGTCAATAATAGCTGGGCCAAAGCACCACTGGGTGGTCAGAACCCATGCAAGTGTAACCAACGCATATCGGAAAATTGCCTGCCACGCTCTCCTTAAGCGTTCATTCGCGTCGAGTCGCCTATTGACAAATCCAGGTTGGGTCAAGAGAATTAAGACAAAAGCGATTGTTGTCCAGAGCCAGCCGATTTTAACAAAATAAATATTGAAAATATTGCTCTTGTTGGCGAAATAGTTAACTGGTGTAGGAGGGCGGTCTGGCGCGGTAGTCGAAGACGAGAGATTTGGGGCTAACGGCTTCGCCGTAGGGGACACAAACGAGTACAGGGAGCCGAGGAGAAGCGTAGCTGGATATACGAAAAGGGAAGCGACAGGTAGATGCGAAGATCCTGGAGACACTGTTCTCTGATGAACACATCCAGCAGCACCCAAAGACATGATTTAGGATCGCGCGGCCTTGGACGTGTATTAGAGAAAGGAAGAGAGTAGCCCCAAAATATCAATCATTGTAGAAACGACTCCAGGAAACATAAAAAAGGACTCCAGCGCGAGGCCCCTCGCTGGAACTGGGAAATTTTTTCTAGAGTCGACGATGTTGGATGGACAAGGATAGGATGACGTCGGTGCTACAACATCGCGCTAAGCCATAAACGGAGGTCACATGGTAGACTGGTTATATAATCTAGCGAAAGAAGCCAATCACGATGGGATTTAACCTCAACAAGACACAGTATGGAGGTTTGGATGAGAGTGCTTTTTACCTTGAAATGGAACGCGGCTAATGTTTGAAAGTTGCTACCATGTTGTATATGAAGAATATGCGGTGCATTGTCTAATGACCGCCATCACGACTGGCAGCATCCAGCCATGAACACCTGGAGACCTTAAGCACTTCCTGCTTCGCGCAGTGAAAATACGGCGCCAGAGAGAGCAGCGACAAGGGCTGAACAGCAACTGTATTATGCCGTGGAGAAGCTTTGACTTGCTCCGCTCTATGAAATACGGCAAGGCTAAACGGTAGTTAAGTACGGAACCTAGATGAAGGATTCCTAATCGTGGCCCTAACTTATGGATTTACCAATCACAGATAATGCTCTTCTGGAGTTGTGGCCCCGGTAACTCTGATACACAGCACAATACTTGTGTTCAAAGGCATATGATACTGCTATGGAGTCCGCGGCCCCCATTGCTTGTTGCCAGACGGCGAATGCTTTATTGAGAAAACAAAGCGGTCAACTGAATGATGTTTGCCGTGCCTTCAATCAGTGCTTCACAGCATAAACTGTAGCTTCACTGGATGTGCTACAAGCACCTGGCCGACTGCTTCTTGCAGCGAGGTCTAACCCGATGCGCGCGAAGAAGTCATGACTCCAAAGGCCTTTTTACAGATATGTGGTGCAGGCAGCAGCAGCCCATGTACTCTACTTACCGTTGCTATCTAATTGACTCCTTTGAATTCGGCATCGGTAGGTGATTCGCAGTTCAGGTAGCACATTTCACTAGCAGATCAACCCATACACCCGCTTTTGTTGTGCACGGGATCCAATTGCCATACTTTTGGACAGACCGTCACATAGAGTCCAGACTTATTTCTAATGTTTTTATTTTGTATGTATGTTTCCAACTTGGTCGTGCGCCTTTCTTGCGCTGGACCCTTCTTGGCAAGAATCCTTGATTCATGCTGGTACTACTCTGTCCAGAGCCCAAAGCGAACGTCAGGCTTGCTTATGTTGGATAATCCACAAAGGCTTATGTGTTTAGGCCTGCGCAACCGGCTCATCAGCTCTGTAAGCGCTTGTTTCAAGAGAGGGTGCTTCAGCACACTCTCTCTCATTCAAACAAATGATTTTTGAATTGTGATTTTCCGCTTGTACTCCATAATATGCCCGGAGGAGATGCATGGTCTCGGTATATTTGCAGTCATTATAATCCACGGTAGTCTTGCAACTTGACGTTGGACCCCTACTTCATGACCTGCAGCTTTCCCTTTCCTCGACGAGGAGGGTTTTTTCATATGATTCGCAGGTTTCCTTTGGTATCCAAGACGCCAGGGCGCTTACGGGGAAGGTAGCCCGGTCATGCCTGGAGCTTTTTCATAGGCTGCCGGCTTTTAATGCACGTCAACTGAGGTAAAATGCTTCTTGCGGCGCTCCCGAGACTCCACTTCAACCGTCAGTAGCGACCGCTCAGCCTTACTTCAAGGAGCAATGCACCAATCCCTTGTTTGAATAAACAATTTTACGCTAGCTGCCTTTCCCTGGTTCCCCGCAATGGCTTGACCTGCAGGACTTAATTCCACTTTGGAATCTGTAAGGCGCACGGATCACCGACACTTACCGGGTTGTCAAAAGAAAGAAAAAGCAAGTACCATCGTCACTGAATAATTGTCTACATAAGTACCGCCGGGTACAAGCTTAATATTCATTAAACATTTAAATCTGATGCCCGGTATCATTTTCGGCGCTATTTTGAAACTGAAAGACGTCCCATACTTATCGAGGCCTTGAACCCTTTTTCGTATAACCCTACCCACTAGTTATTGTTCACGAAATTACTTGGACTGCTTTGTTCTGTTTTCTACCTATCTAGATTTCGTTGCCAGAACGCCACTTAATGCCTTCCGAAGGCGTCCCAAAGTGCCAGCGGTGCCGAAGAGATCACAAAAAGGTCGAGTGCTCCTCTTCGTCGCTATAACGAAGTGTTTTTTAACCTCATTATAGTGCTCTCCAGAAAATCGACCTTGGCCAGGTCCAAAATGCGACCGTTGCGAAAACTATGGATACGAATGCTCCGAAAATATGATGGCCCGGCGGTCATCACAAAAAGATATTGACCATTCACGCTCTACAAGCCGCCTTATAGAAGGAATTTCCCATGGAAAATTCTATTATCAGCCCGGCGTGGCTCGTACATTAGCAGTACGACCGCAACCGCAGTCCCAGAACTCTATTTCAAGACCAATATACACACCGTCTCCTTGGACCGGACTCTTCGACTACCTCAGAGATATCGACTGGTTGAATGTGAAATGCTTTGGCGTGTGCCCCGATCCTTTTGCAACCATGTTTCGATCTCCCATGCGTTTAGTACCAAATATCTCAGATACTCCACTCGGGAAACGGCAAATGTTTCTTGAAATTTTTGCGCAACATCAACGGCTAATACACAACCAGTCCTTCACAGCAGCGGCGTCTCTGGATAGCTCGATTCACTTCCTTGTCACGCAGTTACAGAGGCAGCACCCACGGATTGCGATGGCATATACCTTCGAGGAATTGTCAGGTATATGCGCGAACCATATTCGTTACGGCTCGTACTGGCACGTTTTCAAAACCACCCTCCAAACAGATGAGGTATTACTGATTGACCCCAACTATTCCTTTGATAATGAGTATCCAAAAATCACTTTTGATAGCGCAAAACAAATATGGCTATCGCAGCACCTGGGCCTCAAGCAGTTCTGCCAGAAGTTATCAGGCCTCAGCCAGATGATTGTAGATTTGGCACGAACAGACCACAATTCTGAAGAGCGCGCATTTCTAGCCATGAAAATCCCAGATAGGTTAGAGGAGGTTTTGGGACCTCGACTGTGCCCCTTTCCCGAACCCGGCCGCGTACCCACCCCACCTATATTTCCCGTCGATACATTGACCAGCTCCCCTGTGGACACCATAGACGGAGATGTATATTCATTAAGCGACTCTGCAGGGGCTGAAGAATCGGACGACGGATGTTCGCTGGGTGACAGGGCATACCAAGCCATTCTAGGACACAGTTACTTGGGTGAGAATGGGCTCTGGGGGCCGTGACAAAGGATTTGCTGTGCTGCAGGGTCATGCTGCCCAAATTTTGCTTTTTGCAAATTGTTTTCTTTTCGCACTTTCGGGGCGTCCTGCAGCACACCTGAAGTTTCAGTAGTATTCATTTTCAAGGCGCATCGGGAGTACCTCACTCGCGCTCTCTTTTTTTTTTTTTTTTTAAATTTTTTTTAAGACCATGTCAAAATTTCTCCCACTATCAATGATAAGTATGTCTTAATCACGATTGGAATTTTGAATTATGACCAGTTGGATTCTATTTGCGCTGCAGCTCTTAATAGTTAGTGTCATCGGACTATGCTTACCTTCACCTCTTCATTACTTAGCCCGAATAGCTGGCCTGCCCGACATCTAGCTTAATAGATACCAGCCATGCAGCTTCCGTCTACCTAGAAAATGCAGAAAGAACGTTAGCCTATCAACCGCCAAGAATTCCCCCAAATATGATATGAAGAGCATTGGAGCATCAAGCGGTATTTTGCATGAAGATACCACCGAGGTCTGTTAAGGTCCCAGTGGCTTGGATAGTGGTTTCAAAAGCCGGTTATTTGACAATTTGCTCCCGAAACGGATCTCCATGAAGTCCGTGTGTATCGGTATTAAGTTGTTTTCCTGTACAGAGTACAAAGTGATAGAACTCACAACATATCCCAGTATGTTACCACCATGCACCATGTGGTTGGCCGGGCCTTCATAGTTATTGGGCGCTTTGGCAGTGGCCAATCGCAACTCGATACCAGAAATTAACACCAACAGGGGTTGATTTGTGCCTTGAACCATCCATTCTGTTGTTTCCATTGCCGAAAGTTTGTTCATACGAAGGAGCCCTTGATGCTAAAGGACATCCCGTTTTTTGCTAGCACCATGTATGTATGTACACACGTATGTAGTGTGCATACATACTAAAACACAGTCCAACAGCAAAACGTTGGTTGTACAAGTTACTCCTAGACCGGAGTAAATGCTATGGTTAGTTTGAACAACAGACGTGTACTGTTGGTTTTGTAGCTCTGAACTACATGCAATTTCCAAAATCAGATCGATTATGGTTACCTAGAAAATGCGGTCTATACTTCTCAGGTCCTAGCAACTGGGGGCCCAGAGTTGTGTTACTCACCGCCACAGAGGAAGCATGTTCGCATATATTTTTATGTGGCTCCAGTGTGAAATTGCGGAGTGCAGTGGCGGCTGTGTATATCTTTTTTCTCGTAAAGCCGTTTTAATAATCAAACCAAAGAATAAAACAAGCCAACATGCCTACAGCCTTTAATACCGTACATAATATAGAGTACTCCGTAGGATCCAAAGAAATCTGCAAATCATAGGCACACAGGCCGACTGTGAACAGCCAAAGGTGAAGCCTGGAATTATTAGAGAGCCTGTCCTGATTACGGAGTAGATAGAAATGTACGGAGTACTATGTTGAAGATTCCACCGGCTACTAAGCCTAGTTAACTGTCGAAAGAGCATCTGATCCACAAGGTGAATGTACTCCGTAGCAGCTGCTTTCACCACGGCTTTGGTATACGGAAGGCGCTGAATTTTTGAAACTAGAACCGGGTGCTTCAGACCCTCTAGCCAATAATAATAACAAGGCCAAGATGAATCAGCTTCATTTCCGGAACTAATTCTAAGCAGTCGAATTTTTTTTCCCCTTCCGGGCTTTGTATGTACGGAGTAGCTTTGACCCCTTCAGCCGGTTCTCTTTGAAATCTTCGATCTGGCGAGGCAATGGTGTGCATTCTCCCATAATAATTTCTTACTTCCGGGGGATCTTCGGTGTTAGTGCATGGTTATAACAAAGGAAGACAAAGCGGCAAGGCGTTCAGGCCCCGGAGGCGGGGAAAATTCGGTCGATCCCAGTGCCTCATTATTGGCATCACAGCAGAGCGACCCAGGGTCCATCATGTACACCAGACCAACATATCCATTCCCCTGGCAGTCAGGTTTGCGTTTTCTCTAAACTTGCGCTCATTTTCAAATATTCCCTTGCTAACCCTAAAACAACTGGGTTTTTAGTATGTTGCACCGATCACTTGTATAAAAGTACAAACCCATACCTAAATGGCAGGGTTAAAGGCGCCTACAAACAAGGTTGGCATTAGTGTCCGCTCATATTTGATTCTTCGGGATCTTGTTGGACCAGAACCATCAGCACGTGTCCACGTTTATCGGAGGGGTCGCATTTGTGGCGCTTTTGCTTTGTCTTCCAGGTTATGGCCATTCAATTGGACCCAGAACACGGCTCTGCTGTTTAAGCTGACTTGTATTCCCTAAACAAGAGGAATGCTGAAGGATATCCCAGCCTTTGAGGTGGAAGGAGAGTATACAAGAAGAAACAGATGGGTCCGACAGCCTGGTTCTAGGAATCATTGAGGAAAGTTCCCCGGACCAATCAGTAGGTGGCAATCCCGGCGAGTGTCTTGGGCGACTGCACGTAATGATCGGGGAAGAAATTGCTGCATTCCGTGTGTGACTGCCCGACAATAGCAGCAACCCTTGCTATACGCGCCGCCCGCGGTCTGAAATGTACAGACGTGGCTGAAGATCAAGTCTAACAAGCGGCTATTGAAAGATAGCGATCGGGTATTGCTGTTTGCAAGGTTCCTGTTGATAGGTCGAGCGAGGTATAATGAGCCCGTTGTGTCGGTACTAATGCCAGGATTGGAAGGGAAAAGGAGAGGTGACGGTTGACTATCACTGTTGCGGGAATAATCCCGCGCATGGAAGAGCAAGATCCGAATGCAGCTGAAATCAACATATGTACAGAACATATGTATGTATGTACATACATACATACTGTACTTGGCTTAGTCTGGAAGTACTCCGTATGGCCATGCCTGGGCGGCCTTCCCGATCCCTCCTGTACCGTTTACCGGGCATCCACCAAGGTTGGAAAAGAATGCAAGGACATGTAAAGAAGATGACATGGGGTAAGGTTAGTTACATCATAGGCAGGAAGCGGAAACTAGGCGAAGCATCCTGGGAGATAACGGTCGACAGGAAACACCAGCATAACATTACTTCTCGTATTACGATGCCTTTGGCTTTGTATTATTCGTGGCTGGAGTCACGCCGCTGGCTGTGTCAAGCGCGTTGATAATTTCTGAACCAAGAGAGTAACTTGCTAAGCAAGGGAATACAATCCAGAGTCCGCTGATAAGAATAATTAGTTACGGGTAACATCACCATTGGGTCGGTGAGTCAAGAGTGATGGGGCAGATGAATTGGGCAGCAAAGACATACTTCGGAAGAATCCATAAAAAAACCAATACGACGAAGGGGTTGTGCCCAACATTATCGAACCCAGAAAATACTTCGTTTAGGCCTTTGAGCTGAGTCAGCCGGAGCATTTATGAAAGTGAAGTCCGAAGGCGCATTGCAGCCGTCCCGCAGGTATGGGCCCGATACTCAACGTTCAGCTCACGGGAACACTTACCATAGAGTACGGTTTTGCTGAGAGTCATCACACTGGCACTGAAAACAACCAATAGAGCAATGGCGCCTATCCTTCCGTCGACATACTTGGTATCAAACAGGAACCACTTTACGCTCTTCTCTGGCACTTTAGGTTTTCCCCGGGCTCCAATTGCTTTCCCATGTGTCCAAATAGCTGACAAATAGAAAACATAACAAATTGTCTCGACAATATTAAGAGAAGCTTGTGCAGCTGTAAACCCATTACGAGCTTTATAGGCCGGCCAGCCGTATATGTAATCAACAGTTCCATAGAGGGCATATGGGGTCCAAATGGTGTGCATAGAGCCACCAGGCATGCTGTGCGGCCTAAGGAGCACGTAGCCAGTATCCCAGAGGACAAATGGAATCGAGGCTAATAACCACACCATTACCAGTGTCGAGGGGAAGTGTGCCCATTGTTTCAAAGGCGCCGGAGAGCTGTCCGATTTTGACCCAGCCTGCTTTGATGTAGCCGGAGGGGGAAACTCATGTGGGTGCTGCCGTGTTGTGACCATAATGGCTCGAATTCTAGATGAGCCAAGTTTGGCAACTCGAAATATTGCTGTCTGTACTCCGTACTTCGGTTATAGCGCTTTCAAGAATGCAAGAGCCGGCTGGAAATGACGTAATAAATTCTATGAAGATGTTCGTTGGTATGGTCAACGGTAGGCGAAATTCCCGAGCACGGATACCCAAGAAAAACAAAGTGAGAGACAGCCAGTCCATCAATGAATGCTCTTTTGGCTCAATTTTGGTGATGTTGCATCCTGTCATGATGAGAACCCTTGACCCGCTTGCTCAAACCGCCAAGGATGAGATCAAAATAAGCTTCATCACGTGAAAGCGCGTTTTATCACGCGTGTTCTTCGCGTCAACTTTAGTGAGCCCAAAGCAGCCAAATTTGGCTGCCCTCGACTTAACAATTCGCCTTGCTAACTAGAAGTTTTTTGAAAGGAGCTTTTTATAAAACTTCTCTGCTACTGCTGTGATAAACATTTCCTGCATCCAATTTCCCAATGAGACATGTCCTACGGCCCCGAACTATCCATACCCAGAGAATTGGACCAAAGCGATGTAGGACATTTTACAGCGGGAAGGGATGAAATATATAGAGAGAAAAAGCTATTTAACGTGGGTATGGTATGGATATATCTTCGCATCCCTTATAATCTGCTAGCCTGGACCTCAAAAATGACTGATCCCATCTTCTAACCCCTCCTATTTTCTAACTTAGCGGCCTAAAACTGGAGATCGCCAGGAAATACAGTAAGATATAGGTGTGGAAGCTAGCCTCTTCAACCTACAGTTATTATCTTCCCAAGGAGTCTTCTGCAATTACATATATCTAAGAAATACGGAGTATTATAGTTGAAAATACAGCGATATAGGTGTTTCTAGTTCTGAGCAAAATCCTCTTGATAGCCTGAATTGGGCTTAGCATAGACCCCAACACACATCACCTGAACACGCCCTAATTGCAGACCATACTTCGCCGTTTTTATTGATGCTTTGTTTTTCCCTATTCATATACAAACTTTATTGAAAGTACTAATATCTAAATATATTAGCAAGTTCTCGCAGCTACCAAGGCCTCTTTAATTTGATATCTTTAGTTAAAATGGCATTTATCCTGCTCTTGGTGCTGTGCCCTTTGTGCGGCTGGCTCACCCCTTGAGCACATGTTTCTACCACTGCCATCATATAGTGGCCTATTCCTATCGCGCATTTCACTTTCAGCAATCTTCTGGTTGAACAATGGGGCAAAGGGGCAGTTTAGCACTCTGACGTTGGAGCCTAACAGAGGGCATTACATACTTTCAACAGTCATATCTGCCAGTACCAACCAACAACATGAAGTACTTAAGCAATAGAAGCCTTACTACTTTGCAACTACCTAACTCCAACAATTAGCAGTTGTTACCCCGTGAAATGCTGTGCACGCCGCTGCACGTTTAGCTGTCAACAAGAGTTTGTATCGATATCCGAATATTCTATGTCTAGGCAATAGAATAAAAGTGACGATAGAGCTTTCCCAGTACCTAAGCCGGACAACTGTGAACACCCACCATTAAACCCCAAATCTTGGAGCGTGATGTCTCCAATATATATCGAGTTTAAAAGCCCCTTATTGCATATTTCAGCCGCTCTTGCCTTCGTCTCTTGGAAGAAGAATCGCGCACTGGCTGGAATTCACAATTTGCTGTTATGTTTCGGAGCACAAATTATGGACGGGTATCGAGTGCTCTCTTGAAGTGATTTACCAGCCCTTGATGGCACCTACATACAACTATACTTCAAACACCCTGAAAGTCACTAGCAAACTTCGAATGGAAACATAATTTTCTGATTTTTGATCGAGAGCGCACGCTCGGAAACCATCTGAATATCTCCAATCCGGCTGATTATACGTGTCGGTGTATTATTTTGTCTTTTACTAGGATTCCGCCGTTGAAGTCTTATAGACATATATCATTAAAAGTGTTATTTTGGGGGTCAAAATACCGAAACCACGGCCGAAGGCCGAAAGCTCCTGTTTCGAAGCCAGTTATCCAAGTTTCCTGTAAAGAGCACGAAGGAGTCCGCAAAAACGGCTCTTTGAAAATGCGCATCAGAAATCCTCTTGCTGGGGATGTTGCATCGTCTAGCATGGAGGCTATGTACGGAGTAGCTAGTCTTGAATTAAGTTTTGGGCGAGGCGAGGTCATCTTAAGAGAACATGGAGCGGCATCTTCGGAACGGGAGAAGTCAGTTTGTATGTACATACATATATGCTGCAGATTATCCGGGGTAGCTAGTGATGAAGGAGGCGAACCTCAACCTGAGATGAATGGCTGGCGCCATTCCTCAAGCAAACAGCATAATTCATAAGCATGGAAAACAACTATTATCATCCACCTACTCCGTAGATATCATGAAAATCCGGGGTTGTCGATGTCAAGCGTCGAGACCCTGGAGGGCGAAGTCATCCATGGGTCTGTCTGAATAAGAACTTCAGTTTCCGGATTTTATGCTCTCTCCAATGCACCTGGGCGGGTACCCTGCGGGCTGGGGTCACGAAGTGGCGAAGCCCTGAGATGCTACGATATGCTGGGCCAAACCGCTGTATTAATTGAAGACAACCTCCGACCGGACTCGCTGGCCTTCTTGTTGTCTGAACCACTCTCATGTTTCGTCTCTGCAAAGTGGATTATAACCAAACAAACTTGTCTTGGAACGGCATCAAGCCTACTCAAGCCTCCTTGGCACTAATGCTTATGCTTGGGGTGGCCGCTGCGGGTTCAGCGGCGGACGGGTGCCTCGGAGATTCAGATGCAACGATGACCAGGATAAGAAGTTGGAAATCCCTTCAGTAGTGGCTGCCGAATAACTGCGCTAACTCACTAACTAACTAACTAGTAAGCTGGTCAGTTATCCCAATATCACGCGGGGAGCATCACGAAGCGGCAGCGAAACCCCAGGAACTTGCCGTACTACAAAAATGGCCTGATTCTTACAGTGCCCAAGACCTTCGCACTTGAACGAACAGTCAATCTGACACCCAGAGAATAGGTCGCCAACACTGGGGAGGCAAACAAGGGCGTTCGCTGGCAAGCTAACGAGAGATCTGGACGGGATCTGCAGCCCCAGCAATCAATAATCATGACCGCGGATTCTTATTCTGCTTTCTAGGATCCACCTGGTTACATACGATGCCGCTGCACTGTGCCCCTTACTTTGTATGGATGTATGTAACCTAAATGAGGGGAAACACCGCGCTTTTCTTCTTGCGGATCAAATTCGGTGTTTCTATATGCGGATTTTGCGCAGGTCGCTTGCAGTTTTAGGGCAGAAGAACCTTCTACACGATGATTCCAGGGAAGAATCAAACCTTCGTTTATCAGTGGGAGGATCAAGCCGTGTTTTCCATGGCTTCAGATACTCAATCTCGGAATTGCAACTGCTCCCAGTTCTTTCAAAACGGGCTTGTACCTTGTTATAGACCCGCGCCCAATTCTCTTCTGGGATGCCGGTCGCTCTCCCGTACCCGTCAGGCAGGCTGATCGTCCCCTGCATTTCTTTGGTGCTGCGTGAATCAATGGCTTAGCGACAAACATACTTAAACCGCCCGCAACCCACCTTCGCTTTCGTGGGCGCGGGTGTTTGCCAAAAAATATTCGGAGAATTTTAATTCTCCCCTTTCTTACTCTTCAGTATGGTTGCTCTGGGATGTCGCGCCCTCGGCGTCTGTCTTCTTAGCCTGCCATTCCTAGTCAATGGCGCTCCGGCTTCGACTATTGACAACGTCTTTGAGATTGTCGAGCACCTCAATGCCGTTCCAGAAATGTGGCAGAAAGGGGCGGCTCCGTCGCCCGACACCCCCCTCCGGCTACGCCTAGCAATTCAGCACGACAAGACGAATGTATTTGAGCAGCGCGTCCTTGATATCTCTACGCCTGGTCACCAACACTACGGCCAACATATGACTCGCGATGAGGTGCAAGCATTCCTTCAGCCACCTGCCCATGCGTCGAATGCCATCATTAACTGGCTGCGAGAAGGAGGAGTATCCGAAAAGGCGGTTCAGGTGGACTCTGACTGGGTTCATTTCACTGTCCCCGTCAAGCAGGCCGAGAAGCTCTTGAACACCCGTTTCTACTACTTCCAAAATGCGTTGAACAAGGCCCGTGTCCTGCGAACTCTAGAATACTCTGTCCCAAAGAGCATCTCTTCATACATTCTGATGATCCAGCCAACAACCAAATTCGGCCAGATCAGACCCCAATTCAGCACCATCTTTGATGAAGTAGAGATGGCGAGCTTTAAAGCCGACGATGTGGACTGCAACAAAACGATCACTCCAGCTTGTCTTCGTGACTTATACAAAATGGGAAATTCCCGCTCTACGCCTGATGATAGAAATAAAATCGGTATTTCGGGATATCTTGAGCAGTATGCGAGACACGGTGACTTCGCTCGCTTTTTGGAGCTCTATGCCCCCGAATTCAAGGGCACCAAGTTTGATGTGGAGTCAATCCACGGTGGCGAAAACCCTCAAAACTCTTCCTTGGACAGCATTGAGGCAAGCTTGGACGTCGACTATGCCATCGGTCTCTCTGGAGCCAAATCTGTGTATTACACGACTGCCGGTCGTGGACCGCTCATCCCTGATTTGGACCAGCCCCATGCCAACATGAGCTCCAATGAGCCGTACTTGGACCAGCTTCACTACTTGTTGGCCCTCCCTGACAACAAGCTTCCTTCAGTCCTCTCGACATCGTATGGAGAAAATGAGCAGAGCGTGCCACAGAAGTACACTGACGCAACATGCAACCTCTTTGCCAGACTCGGAGCTCGAGGAGTGTCGGTCATCTTCAGCAGTGGTGATACCGGTGTAGGCTCCGCTTGTCAGACTAATGATGGTAAGAACACGACTAGATTCCTTCCAGTCTTCCCGGCAGCTTGTCCATTCGTGACTTCCGTTGGAGCCACGACGAACATCAAACCAGAAAGAGCTATTTACTTCTCTTCCGGCGGTTTCTCTGACAGATATAGCCGCCCATGGTACCAGGATACCGCTGTGAAGGACTACCTTCACAAGGAGCTTGGTGATCGGTGGAAGGGATTGTACAACCCTGCCGGTCGCGGATTCCCAGACGTAGCAGCACAAGGATATAAATTCGCTGTGGTTGACCACGATAAGATCATTGGAGTTTCTGGAACAAGGTAAGCAATAATTCCACGCTGCTTCTCTATTCTCAAGGCATTTGGTAGTCCCTGGTCCTGACTGACATGTTTCACCTCACAGTGCCTCTGCCCCAGCGTTCGCAGCTATCGTTGCCAACCTCAACTCCATCCGTTTGGCTCAAGGCAAGCGCGTTCTGGGTTTCCTTAACCCCTTCCTCTACACCATTGGCCGTGTTGGGTTCACCGACATTGTGCACGGAGGCTCGACCGGATGCACAGGCAAGGATATATACAGCGGCTTGCCCACACCTATCGTTCCTTTTGCTAGCTGGAATGCGACCAAGGGCTGGGATCCCGTCACTGGCTTAGGAACACCTAACTTCGAGGTTCTTAAAAAACTCGTGACAGCGTTTTAACAAGTTGTTCGTCTTGAATCACGCAAGATATAATTTAGCCTTGCCGCGTTGTCTTGTGTGAAGATACAAGCTACTTACCGCTAGTAAAGCCTAGATCGATAGCAGGATAGATTTATTTCTGTATATATGCACGAGCGTAACCCATTCGCTACATTTGTTAGCTCTAGAACCTGGTTATTAACCATTTTCTCTGCGTTGGTTCGAAGTACGATGCACATTGCTTCAAAGGAAAGAATATCCTAGTATGCAGGCGACAGTAGATGTACTCTGCACCCCTTTACATATCAGAGAGCAAAGTCTCTCGATGTAAGAGGAGCAGAGCTTCTGTATCATGCTTTCCATTACACACAAACCCTTGTTAAATATCCCCAAGGAAGTAAATTTGGAGTGTACTCCAAAATATCGAGAGGTACCCAGTTACTATCATATAGCCAGCATGTTGTCATAGTTCTAGCAAATGTGAACGAATCCGTGACCAGTGATTTACCCGATGGCTGAGGAAGCTCTTACTCAAAAACGCACGTATTCCTCGAAAATGCCCCTCAAAAAGTAGAGCCAGGGCAGCCATGATGTCTGCTGTCAGGGAAAATGACAGGACTTAGTGCCCTAGAAGCTGGTTTGACAGGGTGTCCATGCAAAATACGTTTGACAATAACTCCGAGCCCCGTAGACTGATTTCCCAGCGTTCGCATAGCCGTTTTCAGAAATACTGACGAGCTCGTAGCGGCGGGGTAGGAAGCCATGTGCCAGGCATCGACTGGGTTTTCGGGATTCAGCTCGCTCTGTGTAGTTAGGTATCACCATTGTCACTCGAGACTTATATCTTCTGTCAACATGTCACTCGAACAGAGAAGTCACTTCACTGCAAAGCGTAGTTACTCCTAACATGCTGTGCGCCCAGGCAAGTTCACGAGGACTCCGTACTTCGTAAGAGCGTCGCGCGCTCTGGGGCGATGCTCGACGAGATCATCAAGTTTGTCGTCCGGGCTGGCTGCGTTCTCAATGGCAGCGGTTGGGCTTGGCAGCAGATCGCCGGGCAAGTGAGACATCGGGCAGCCCGGCGCCCAATCGACGAGCCTGGACCAGCGGAAGCTTATTAGATTGTCGGTCCGCGCCTGTTTGTGGACGCCATGGCCCGTGAGCCACCGCTGCCGCGACAAGAAGGCGTGTGCAAACTCCTTCGCGCTGCTTGGAAGGATGCGTCAATAATGCCCAGTCTCAATTTCCCGGGGGTTGGCCTTCACGTCAGGCATCATATGATGTTTTGCGCACAATCCCTGCGGGGCACTCCGGAGCTCTGACGCAGAAGCTGCAATGCGCGCGGTCGGCGAGTGCCTTGTATTCCCCAAGAATGCAAGAATCACTCGGCAGGTACCTCGGGCTACCACCCTGTGGGCGATAGCACCTCCTTGCGCGAGGTACACCTGTGTACTGCTTGCTTCCATGAGGAGAGCGGCCTCAGCTTCTCCACAGGATCGGCGTCGTCATGCACGGGGATTTTACTTCTGGATCTTCATCCCTGCTCGTTGACCGCGTTGTTTCTTTTAAAAAGCTGCTGCCCATCTTTTAAATTGCCTGGTGGCTCGGATTTGTTTCTTCGCGGTAGAACTGGTCCGTTTAGTGAGTATTCTTCGAGACCCTTAGTTATGTTATGGAACGCGTCATGTTGTTTTGATCATTGTTAACAACTACTACTCTTACAGAAACCCACTGAGATCTCACGATGTGGTTTGGATGGCTTCCGGTGACGGTCGTGTTAACAGCTGTCGCCGCTGCTGAAAAGGTACATCTATATTACCTTCTATATCAAAGAATGCCTACAGATTCCCTTGCTGACGAACGAATAAGGAGTGGGCACACTCGCCTCCATACTACCCCTCGCCCTGGGCATCAGGTGAAGGAGAATGGAAAGATGCATATCAAAAAGCGCGTGAATTTGTCTCGCAGTTGACACTGCAGGAGAAGGTCAATCTGACCACTGGAGTTGGGTACGCTTGGAACCTTTACCTTTGAATTAGCTTCACCTATGGAATCCACAAAGTCGAGAGTCCTGACTTTTTATAGCTGGACACAAGAAGCTTGCGTTGGCCAGGTTGGGTCAATTCCTAGATTGGGATTCCATTCATTGTGTATGCAAGATGGTCCGCTTGGTATTCGCTTTGGTACGCCTAGACTCTTACATAAATCTGCAATAAGCCCATAGATATACTAACATATGACAGCGGACTATGTCACCGCATTTCCGGCTGGTGTCAACGTCGGCGCGACGTGGAGCAAACAATTGGCGTATCTGCGCGGCAGAGCAATGGGAGCAGAGCAGCGTGACAAAGGTGTCGATGTGCTCCTGGGGCCTGCAATTGGACCCTTGGGACGATCTCCTGATGGAGGGCGTAATTGGGAAGGATTCGGCCCAGACCCAGTGCTCTCAGGCCATCTAGTTGCTGAAACAATCAAGGGAATTCAGAATGCCGGAGTTATTGCTTGCGCCAAACATTTGATTGTCAATGAGCAAGAACGTTTTCGCCAGGCACCCGAAGCGCAAGGATACGGGTTTAACATCTCTGAAAGCTCTAGCTCTAACGTTGACGATGTCACAATGCATGAGCTCTACCTTTGGTAAGTGTATTTCCGATGGTTTGTTTAAATCCCAGCTTCTCATTTCGATAGGCCATTTGCCGATGCAGTGCGCGCCGGAGTCGGCTCTGTGATGTGCTCTTACAACCAAATCAACAACAGTTATGGATGCTCCAACAGCTACACTCAAAATAAGCTCCTTAAAGGCGAACTTGGTTTCCAAGGTTTCATCATGAGCGACTGGCAAGCACATCATAGCGGTGTTGGCGATGCGTTGGCTGGTCTGGATATGTCAATGCCAGGAGACACTCTCTTTCTAACTGGAAGGTCATATTGGGGCCCGAACCTTACGATTGCTATTACGAACGGCACCATCCCCCAGTGGAGACTTGATGACATGGCAACCCGGATCATGACAGCCTACTATAAAGTTGATCGCGCCAGACACTACGTCCCGATCAATTTCAACTCTTGGACACGCGATGAGTTTGGATATGTGCACTCAGGATCTAAAGAGCGCTTTGGTCGCGTTAACCAGATGGTCAATGTCCGCCGCAACCACGTCGTTGTTGCTAGGAAAGTGGCGAGTGCCAGCACGGTGCTCCTCAAAAACAAGAACCAGGCACTTCCATTGACAGGAAAAGAAAAGTTCACTGCTGTCATTGGCGAAGATGCGGGTCCTAATCTCTGGGGTCCAAATGGTTGCCCCGATCGAAATTGCGCCAACGGAACCCTTGCAATGGGCTGGGGAAGCGGAACTGCAGATTTCCCGTACCTTATCACCCCTGCGCAGGCTATCGAGAACGAGATTGTGGCAAAGGGAGTTGGGAATGTCATGTCTGTATTCGACAACTATGCGAACACCCAAATCAAAACTGTCGTGACCCAGGCCACCACTTCGCTTGTATTCGTAAACGCCGGCTCGGGAGAAGGGTTTATCAATGTTGATGGAAATGAGGGAGATCGAAAGAACCTGACTCTTTGGAAAAATGGAGATGCGCTGATCAAAAATGTTGCATCCATGTGTAACAATACCATTGTTATTATGCACACTGTCGGCCCCGTATTGATTAACGAATGGTACGACCATCCTAATATTACAGCCATTTTGTGGGCCGGCCTCCCAGGGCAAGAGAGTGGAAATGCGCTTGCAGATGTGCTCTACGGGCGAGAAAACCCAGGCGCCAAAACACCTTTCACCTGGGGTAAGAAGGCAGAGGACTATGGTGCTACTATCCTGAAGCAACCTAACGCTGGCACCAAAGCCCCCCAAATAGATTTTAAGGAGGGTATTTTCATCGACTATCGAAAATTCGACAAGTCGAATACGAAGCCTTTGTATGAATTTGGGTTTGGGTTGAGTTACACGAATTTCACGTTCTCTGGGCTTCAAATCGAGCCTCTAAGCCCGGGTCCGTACACACCCACGACGGGTCAGACCAGCGCCGCCCCAAGCCTGGGAAACACCACCACTAGCTTGTTGTTCCCTGGTGGATTTGAAAAAATTCGACTGTACATCTACCCTTGGCTGAATACCACAGATCTCAGAGAAGCCTCTATGGATCCTGACTATGGGTTGCCGACGCATCAGTATGTACCCAAAGGGGCGACTGATGGAACTCCACAACCTAAGCTCCCAGCAGGGGGTGGCCCAGGAGGAAACCCTGGTCTATACAAAGATCTTTACAAAGTATCTGTTACTATCACGAATACGGGCAAAAGAACTGGAGACGAGGTTCCACAGCTGGTAAGATCTTTCCCTCACAAGCATCGATAATCAGCGTAGCGTGTTTATACAGTAGCTAATGTGAGAACTAGTATGTGTCTTTGGGTGGCCCCAATGATGCCAAGGTTGTTCTTCGTGCGTTCGACCGGGTGACTCTCCGCCCAGGCCAAAGTACCGTGTGGAAGACCACGTTAACTCGACGAGATGTCTCCAACTGGGACCCTGCCACGCAAAATTGGGTGGTGACGAACCACACCAAGATGGCCTACGTTGGAAATTCCTCAAGAAACCTCCCACTCTCCGCTCCTCTCGTTCCGACCAAAGGTTAGCCGGGAGAGGTTTCCATATGGCAGGCCAATAGGGGAAAAGTCGAGTTCATAGCCGGGTGGATTATCTTTTTGTAATAAATTCCTTTCAATGGCAGCACGCCACTCCCATTGTGTATGTTATGTATGTATATAGCGGAGTTCAATTCCACGCCGCATGAATAGTTAGTTAAACAGCGAAATGCGATCTCGGTTGACTGGCTTTCCTCCTGCCGGTCCGCGCCAAGAGCCAGCAAGCGCCGATTTGATTCTCCGAGAGGCGGTCGCGATTAGCGGGCGGCCACCGGAGAGCCTCCTGGCGTGTTGCAGGGCTGGAGAACAAACTGTGTCTGGCCTGCGATGCTCAGCGCCGCCAATCCAGTTAGCCTTTCGCGCTCGTTAAACTCCAGCCGGTCCCGTCGCCTTTATTTAGTTAGTGAGCCACTACGCGGCCACGTTTTGCCCTGCTGGATCCGCCCCCGCGAACCTAGGCCGTCAATCCTTGTCTGCCTCTGTTCCTTCGTGCCAGTATTAGTTATTGCATTTTTATTCCCAACTAACTACTCTGCTATCCAGAAGAAATGACCCTGCTGCTGTTAATCGCACGATGGCCTCTGATTTCCACCACGGCGACTCGCAGAACCTAGCCGAGAACGTTTCTCCCAGCTCGGGGGCTTCAATGGAGCAAGCTGCGCTGCAGCTTGCCATGGACGAGGCTGCCGACCACGGGCCGAGCGCTGCTGCGCTGGTACTATCTAACGATGGCGATGCTGAGATGAGGGGAGTCGAGCAGGCGCAGGCACACGAGGGAGCGGACAAGGACGACAACGCGCCGTCATGGAGCGAGCTGAAGACGAAGGCCGGGAAAGAGAGGAAGCGGCTGCCCCTCGCGTGTATTGTGTGTCGCAGGAAGAAGATTCGCTGCTCCGGCGAGAAGCCGGCGTGCAAACACTGCTCCCGGTCACGCATCCCGTGCGTGTACAAGGTCACGACGAGGAAGGCCGCTCCCAGGACCGACTACATGGCGATGCTGGACAAGCGGCTGAAGCGCATGGAGGAACGGGTGATCAAGATCATACCGAAGGATGCAACAAGGGATATGGCTGGCATTGGTCGAGCGGCCGTCAAACCATCGGCTGCAGGACACACTCCGAGGGCGCCCAAAGGGCCGAATAAGAAACGATCTGCGGACGAGGCGTTCAAGGCTGAGATGGACGAGTGGTTGCGAGACAACAGCGCTTCGGCGTCGCGCGACTCTCTGGTCGGCAGCTGGCAGCCGCACGTTGGTGACGAGAACAAGCTGCTGACCGAGGGCGCGGAGTTTCTGCCGTCAATGGACATCCAGGACCATCTGGCCGAGGTCTTCTTCGACTGCATCTACGGGCAGTCGTATTTGCTGCTGCACAAGCCCAGTTTCATGAGACGGTTGAAAGCCCGTGCTGTCCCTCCCGTGCTTATTCTTGCTGTCTGCGCCATTTCGGCACGCTTTTCGTCGCATCCTCGCATTAGCACAGAGCCCGCCTTCTTACGCGGTGAAAATTGGGCGAATGCCGCTGCTACGATTGCGCTGAGTCGACATGATCAGCCGAATATCACGATATTGACGGTGTTTCTGATACTTGGCCTACATGAATTTGGAGTCTGTCATGGCGGGAGAAGTTGGTCGTTTGGCGGACAAGCCTTGCGGATGGCATATGCTCTGCAGCTTCATCGCGAGCTGGACCGTGATCCTCTTGGAAGCAAGCAGGGTCATTCAGAGCTGAGCTTTACAGACAGGGAAATCAGGCGGCGGACGATGTGGGCCTGTCTTTTAATGGATCGGTATAATTCATCTGGCAGTCAACGGCCCCCGATCGGGAATGAGAAATATTTGCAAATCCAGCTACCCATAAAAGAGTCATATTTCCAGATGGAGATCCCTGGGTCTACTGAAAAATTAGATGGCTCAGTGTCAAATCCAGTTTCTGAAGGCATCGGCCAGCTCTCTGATGCGAAAGCTAACATGGGTGTCTCTGCATACATTATTCGCGGTGTGATGCTCTGGGGCCACATCGTAGACTACCTCAACCTTGGAGGTAAAATACAAGATCCATATCCATTATGGTCCTCCGAGTCGGGCTATGCCAAGTTGAAAAAGGAGCTTCAAGAATTCTCTGCTGCACTTCCAAGTTCCCTTGTTTTTACACCGGAAAATCTTAGAAACCATGACGCTGAGAAGGTCGCCAACCAATTTCTCTTTTTGCATCTCGTTATTCATCAAAATTTTCTGTTTTTAAATCGATTTGCTATTCCCTTCTCGCCAGGCGGACGGCCGCCTAAAGATATACCCAAGCCTTTTCTAAATGATGCCGGGAGGGCAGCAGTTGAAGCTGCTGGCCACATCTCCATGTTGATCAGTCAAGCCTCTGGCTATATGTTGACTGTCCCATTTGCGGGATATTGTGCCTATGCGGCTAGTACCGTGCATATATGGGGTATTTTTTCTAAAAACGTGCAATTTGAACGGACGTCTAAAGAAAACTTGCGCCATACTTACAGATACTTGAATAGAATGAAACAATATTGGGGAATGTTTCACTACATGGTTGAAAGTACAAAGGACCGATATCGTCATTTCGCTGATGCGGTATCAAAAGGGCCGGCTTTATCTGCAAATAGCGAAGATTCGTCGATGTTCCAATATGGCGATTGGTTCGATAAATACCCTCAAGGTGTTTCTAGACAGCACTGGGAGGGACCTAGCCCAGGACTGAAGAGCGAACAAGGCAGCGATGCCGTTATGGCACAGCAGTCGGACCTTCAAAGCGTGGAGGAATTCTTTTTGAGTTTGTCTACCCCCTCACATACCGATAAACCACGCAAGCAAGCCAAAAGGCGCAGTACCAATGCGGCAGAGAAGAATAGACGAAACACTATAGCTACAGAGCCAATAATGCACACATTCGAAACGACTGCCGTTCAATCGCACGCCCAGCCCTCACAAGTACAACTAGAAACCCCGATGATTGACACAAACCCTCATCAAATTCTACCAACCAACTCTAATAACTATTCAAATTTTCCCAGTGCCGCCATATTCTCTCCAACCGGTGCTCCCCAATTCAACCCTTCGACATATAAATACTCTCCGAATACGGACCTGCCTAATCTTGACCGCCAGCTTGTTTATGGCGCCTACAGCGGGTTTAACTCCAGTTCTACAGGCCATTTCAACTCTGTACCAGCAAACAATAATAACCATAATCATACCACGAGCACTAATACCGGTATTAGTCACACTGATGCCAATGACAACCCGTTTTGGAGCATGCAGATGGACCTCACTGGTGACGGGTCGGGCTGGCCTGGGGGTTCGTTGCAGCCTGGCGCCTGGTTTCTACCCTTCAACCTTGATCCAATTGGCATGGGTGACTTTGACATGTCGGCAGGTGCAACGCCTCAGACAGGCGCGGCGTCCGGCGCTATGTCAACTGGGAACTCATACTTTGAGAGCCCTGGGATGTTAGAAGGCAGTCATCTAAATACTTCATCAGGAGGGGTGGGGAGAGAAGGAGCTGCACCGCATCCACGACATTAGCAGACGTTAAATCGGCGATTTAATGCTTGTTATATATGCATTTTTTGACTTGCATTTCACGTTCAAGGGCGCCTGCTCTCTGTTTCATTCGTCATGGTCACAAAGCATACTTATGACATTTATTATGACATCTAGCCCATCTGCCTTTTAGTATATACCCCCTCTGCTACTTCTGGAGAAAATTTCTTCGACTTTTGCTCTGTCACGGAGTTATTTATATTGTTTTCCGGCTGCAATGGATGGAGCATTTTCTGGGTAGAAATATCTGGCATATTTAACCCTTACTATTTTGACCCTTCCTCCCCCATCTTTTTAGTTATTTTGGATAGTGAGGTAAATCCCGTAAAATTGAATGTGTAGATACTGTAGTTACCGTGAATTTTTTCATGCTTACATGTCTTCTGGGCAAGGGGACGGAATCTCAAATCGAAGAGTCTGGACTAATCCAATATGAGAGACAAGAGCTGAAGAGGCTAGGTGACATTCCGGCTCCAGGCCCGATTTCTAATAGTGATAAATAAAGGTATATACAAACATTCAGGTCTTGTCTCGCACATTCAGATACATAGTAAAGGTTAAGAATCGGTGAAGCGCATTTGTCAGTCAAAAGATACAATAAGAAGGATACAAGACTTTAAGTAGAAATTAGTCTTCCCATTCTTCGTCTAGCTGATCAATTAGTCTGTTTTCCTCGTCAACGTCGTGTCTTCTCCCGCGGACAGTATTTGAATTTGAAGGGCCTCTCCCGCCAATCGCACCGACAAGTCCTCGGCGGTGAGAATTGCCGTTATCTTGTCCGAGGGGTAAACGCGTGTACCCTCCGCTAGATTTAAAACAGCCCAGAACAGACGAGAATAAAATTATGGCCATATCCTATTTTTGTGTTAGCTGTGATTTGAACCGGTAAGATTCGAAAAGTAAAAGCCTGGCGCTTCGAAAAAGCCGAGTGCGAACAGTAAACAGGGGTTGAAAGGGCACGTCCAGTAAATTGAAAAAAAATAGGAGCAGTACTGCACTTACTTTCACAAACCCAAGCATTCCGTTCCACATCGCAAAATTGGGACATTGCCTCCATCCTCTTTGGTGCATAACTGTGCGTTGATACGCGCAACCACCAATAAGATAGGCAGCAATAGCAATTCCGGCTCTGCAAAAAACCGTTAGCTACATAAATTTTGGTACAGCAGGACTTCAGTCAATGACTCACATGATGCCAAAAACGCCTGCGGGACCGACTCCGCCGTCCGTGTTCGTAGCCACCCCGCCGCAGGCGACTGCGCTTCGAATTTCAAAGAAATAGGTACAAGAGTCAATTGTCCCAACGTAAGACGCAGCAACTGCAGGGGAGACAAGATCTCGATCGCAAAGAAAGGACATGATAGTCGATTTTTTTCTTTCCGATTCAGAGCCTTTCTTCTCATCACCCTTTTTATCATCATCTTCGTTATCCTCATCGTCATCTTGGCTCCGTTCTCGAGGATTTCTGGAAATTAGGGCTCGCTCTGGTTTCGATTTTGGCGTTGCTGGGCATGGAGAACCGTCTGTGTAGTTCAAGACGAGTTTGCGACCACGAAATACCAAATCCGTGGCTTGTTGCCTGAGTTGATGTTAGCTCCAACCCGCCAAAAGGCAAAAGTAGTCCACACAGAATAGTACTGCATACCCAATTGAATATGTCTTGCCATCCAACTTATAAAAGGCGCTAACATTCTGCCATCTTTCTTTTTCCACGCCCACCACATCCTGTAATTTTTCAATTACCGGTGCGCAGAAATTGATTGTGAAGTTGGCACCATAATCATATCCCCTAGCGTGCCAACTATCCTCCCTATCATCGAGTCGAACCTTCTTCCCATCTTTGGTCTCTGGTGGAGACAAGGTAATTGTATTGAGGTCGAAGTATGCCCCGGTGTTCGGTGAATAGATAGTGCATGGCTTAAGTTTCTTCTCGGTTTTATCTTCGGTCGCGGCAGAGTGCTGTGTATAAAAAAACGAGAGTTGAAAAAGACAAGCAATGACTCTAGGTGTGCTGATATGCATGGCAAAGAACCGGCCGAAGGGGGAGGCAGCGCACTGGAGTGTGGCAGCAATTTCCCGGCCTTCGTTAATTGTCGGGGTTTGTACTCCGTGCGGCTAAAGGAATGAGCTTGAGCAAAGTTAGGTTAAGGAAAAGGTAAGTTTTACCTAGCGACAGTCGAGCAGAGGTTGAAGTATTGTAGTTGCCTGTACTCTGTACTTTGCCGACTTTTGTTCCACCGTGACAATGACGACACGGTGCTGAAACTACCGGCTTACTTAATCGCCGTTAGTGGCCGGGCCGGGCCAGCCAGCAGGCGCACGTGATCAGCCGGGATCTCCATGTTCCGAGATGGCCTAGAGTATAAAAAATACCGCGCGTCGCTCAATTCCCTTGAATGCGCGCAATGTTTGACATTGGACGCCCTTGCGGTTGATCTTCGCTTCAATCGGGTCTGTCTATCTCGATCCTTTTACTTCTCGCTTGCTGTCTGTATCTGTACTGCGACAATGGGACCCCCTGAAACCAAGCAACACCGGGGATATGAGTTTGGTGGGCCGTACGATTCAAGCTCTAGGCCAGCTGGAAGGAAGAAAGGCTAACTGAGATAACATAGTATTGGCGCTCTCGGTATAATTCTTGGAACACCCGCAATCGTCTATTCCTTTGCATTCTTCTGTAATGATATATCCGGATGCCCTCCACCGTCACTCTTACACCCCTCGACGCTATCAATCGAATCCTTAAAGGCCGAAATTGGCTGGCCGCAGGACGGTATTAAAGGTCTATATGATGGGCGTGTGATGCTTTGGGTACTGGGCTACTATGCCTTGAATCTTGCGCTGCAGATATTCTTGCCCGGTCGCGAGGTCGACGGTGAGGTCCTAGCTTGTGGAAAACGATTAAAGTATAAGTTCAACGGTGCGGCTCCATAATCCTATTTCATATGTACAGGACTATTTATTGACTCTATGTAGCATTTAATTCCTCAGTCTTGATTCTGCTTGGATGCGCCACCGGAACATATATCTATGGAGTCGATTTTCCATTATGGACATTCCTTTGGGATAATTACGTCCAGGTTATCACCTCAAACCTTGTGATATGTACTGTTTTGGCTGTCCTAGTATACCTTTACAGCTTCAGTGTCCCCGCCCCTGGTGAACCGAACCCCATGCACCGCGAGTTAGCCCCTGGCGGACAAACCCGTAGCGGCTTGTACAACTTCTTTATTGGGCGTGAACTGAACCCAAGAATCAAACTTCCAATTCCATTTCTGAGCGATCTTTCAAGGACTATTGATATCAAGGTGTTTTGTGAGTTACGGCCCGGACTGCTTGGCTGGGTGATCATGAATCTTTCAAACATCGCACATCAATATAAAGTTACTTCTGGGAACCTCACTTCGTCTATTTTACTCGTGGCTGCTTTTCAGGGATTTTATGTCTTTGATGGTCTATATATGGAACCAGCTATTTGCACAACTATGGACGTCATTATGGATGGATTTGGTTTCATGTTGTCCTTTGGTGATCTGGTGTGGGTTCCGTTTATCTACTCGATTCACACGAGATACCTTGCGGTTTTTCCACTTGAACTCGGTGCAAAAGGAGTTGCGCTTGTACTCGGAGTGCAGACGCTTGGATACTATATCTTCCGCGGCGCTAATAACCAAAAGGATCGTTTCCGAAAGAACCCGAATGATCCCAGAGTAAAACACCTCCAATACATCCAAACATCTCGTGGCTCTAAACTTATTACGTCAGGATGGTGGGGCGCTGCTCGCCATATCAATTATCTGGGTGACTGGACCATGGCCTGGGCCACTTGCCTCCCAACAGGTATTGCTGGCTATGCTATTGTCGAGAAATTCAACCCCCTCACGAGAAGCATAGAGAAGCAAGCAGTGCAAACTAGTGAGACACGTGGTTGGGGTATGATTGTCACCTATTTTTATATTGTGTACTTTGGTATTCTGCTCATCCATCGTGAAAGGCGAGACGAGGAGAAGTGTAGGAACAAATATGGTGCTGACTGGGTGAAATATACCTCGAAAGTGAAGAGTAGAATTATTCCAGGTATATATTAAAGTTGAGGTTCTGAGTATGAAAGGACAAATAAGATGTACACTTATACATAGTTCTACATGAAAAACTTTCTGACTGCCTATATATGCCTATATATATACCAAATGTACCTCGATGTTTTGTTGTAACTGGTGGCGAATCATCAGCTGGCGAAGTTTAGAGTATGAGCTTTTATTGAGCATTGTTCTTTTTTGGTGTCCTGCCACGGGCTGGCTTTCGTTGACTTTGTGCAAGGACGTTTAGGCCCCACTGTTCATCCCCCCGATTTTCAATCCAGTTCCCTAAAACCCCCCGAACGTCTGCTGATGCCTTTGCTCGTAACATCAGAAATTTAAAATTTGTGGCAGCCTGCTTCATGGCGAGATATGATGAAGAGAAAACACATTCTCGTAATAGCTTGTGCTGTATTTCTAATTTATCATCCCAGAAAACCTCGCTTCTAGGTCTGATATCATCTCTGTCGAGAGGCCATCCAGGTAACTGTTGGACGACTGTTTTGAGCAACTGCCATTCCTTAGCTCGAGATAAGACACTGGCTTTGCGTGCATCGAGGGAAGAGATGTAGTAGCCCTGCTTGACACCATTGATAATTGTTTCTGTAATATTGGTAGGAAACATTCTCATTCTTGTTTTCTCACAATTGCTATGCTCTAAAGCCCGGTTGCTGAACAAAGTATAGGCTGGCTGGGGCCCACGAGACGGGGTTGCAATCCACAGTGCAGATATATTCCCAGGCTTTCTCAGCTTTCCATTTGGGTCTCTTTGCTTGGAAAATTGCCAGAGAAAATTTGCTTGCTTCATCGTAATAGACCGAACGCCAAACGGGCGGACCTCATAGTAGCCATCTGTGCTCTCTGGATCTTTCCATTTTTCTCCATTAAGGACTCGAAGACGGCCTGTTTCTCCAGTACCAAAGCACCGATCGAATGCGGCTGGGTGAATCTCGTCTTCAGGAAGAAGTAGGTTCGCCAAGTACGCACTGGGGGATGGTGCAATTAGGAAATAGGCGGGAAATGATAAGACTGATAAAACTTGCTTAGCAGCAAGCTTGTCTGAGCAGGATTTGCTTAGTGTTGGCTGTGCATCAGGACGAGACGGCTTGCGACGGACCGTGCCCAAAGCCGAGAAACGAGCGCGGCCATCAAGCAGCTTGTTCGTTAGGTCAACCCCAACCTCGGTCATTGGCTCAGGAGAAGTAGTGGCCCAGGGTGTTGGATCCTCTTGAGCTGCCATACATAGTTCCATACTTCCATCCCCACAAGGTGCACAAGTGCAGTACATCCATATTTTAACATCACTTTTTAATTTGAATGGCGGCCACGTAGCCTCGTCGCCGCCACTGTAGAGCTCGGATTTATTAGCTGAATCACCGGTTGTTCGTAATTCAAGAAACCGTAAAGCTTCGTTGGAAGAGTTCTTGCTAGATATTCCAGAATCGTTACTTTGTAATAGGATTGATTCACACTCTTTAAGGAGCCAGTTATTGAATGCGCGCAAGGCGAGAATCTCAGCATGGCTATCGTGCAACACAAGGCCTTGACATTGTGCAATTTGACTTGACGACAAACATTTTGTGCCCGTTCTATACAAGGAATTTAGCCACAGTAGCTAATCTCTAAACTGTAGGGAACTCCGTACGCAAGAGCGACACAAGTCAGGGTTTCTTCACAGGTATTCTCCCCTTCTTATGTATCAGCAGATATTTTATTGGTGCATTGGTGTAGTTATTTTTTAACAAATATGACTTGGGTATAAATGATGATATTAAAGTCAATACCCACCCGTTACCAATACTATCCCACTTAGAGGTATCCATTCATGAGTGCCATTGGGGCGGACTGTTGGCTTGCAGTGCTGGGGAAGAGCATTAAAATGGGAGTGAACAAGTGATGCAACGCGGTACTCCAGGCTAAAACCATCTACATCCATAGAGCTAAAGAATTGAGTAGCTGCTGGACTAGAGTTGTCCAGCACTACCCGTAGATTGAAGCTTTTAACGGAGGGTTGGGAGCCGCAAAAATAAAGGGCCGAGAAGCCGTGAGTGGGCGCATAAAATCCAGCCAGCCTCACTTAGATTTGCTTGAGAGTTATATTATTATTATTCATTATAGTCTTATGCAGTCCGAGGCTATGAAGACTACTTTCAAGCTATCTTGCGGAACCTTTTTAGTCGTATGAAGATAAAAGTGTATGAAGATAATTTACATCATTTATAGTCAACAGTATTTCTGATTAAATCATTCTTCTCGGCACTAAACTAGTCGTCTGTCATCTTACATTAGTATATCAAGCATATTTTAAAGTGACTTGTTTGTTACAGTTTCTACATACTAGAATCACCTGATAGTTTCAGTAACATCCAGAAACGAATCTGATTAGTTATATAAAATCAAGATCTGCCAAGTCACTTTGCAAGATCTGGGGTTAGTTCAGTCCAAAGTAATCCAGGTACAACTTACGCACTGGTAACAATGGTGTTTGGCACGAGTAATTACCAGTTAGAGCACCTGCGGACGACCCACCTGGGGACATGGGGGCATGGGGATCTGGGGATCTGGGAACAGCAAGGTCACGGTTAATTTTTTTTGTATGTCATTTCTCTCAAAGTCCTATACACTGCTGAATTCTTTTCAGTATGTTCACCCACGCCTCCTTCATTGCATTCAAGTACTTCCACCAGAGCGGCTGGTAGTGTAATGCTACTTCTCGCCCGAGTAAACCCCTTCGGATTAGAGCTTCACATTTTTTCTTTTCCTGCGCGCGATGGATAGTCTTATATTCTGCAGTAAGGCCGACGACAACTTGTGTCTTACGCTTGAAATCATAGGCTGCTAAGGCCATTGTTGGATAAACGTTGTGCCAGCAAGCCAAGATCAAACCATCAAAAACATCATGTCGGTTTAGATCGGGGAATTCCATTTCTCCAAAGCGGCGATCAAATTCTGATCGGCTCAGTTCTCGCTCCGTATTCTCATACGGTTCATGCCCGTATACCATGAAGTATAACAGGGACCCAAGCGCGAATTGCTCAGTCCTAGCGGAGCAGAGGCCATAAGTATCTTTTAATGGTCCAGCAACAATTATTCTGGCGCGCGGGGGTATGACATCTTCATTGCTGTTGATTGCACTAATAGTGAGATGGTGAGTTTTATACTCCGTAGATGAATATCTTATGTGCTGCCTAGGCTAGGTAACGTAACTAGTTAGTTAATTCATCACCAAACAACCGAACCCACAAAGCGACCAAATTTTCTACTGTAGTCCTCTACTTTCAAAATTCAATAAAATGACCAACAAAGCTACTATTAAATTAGTGATTGAAGATCTGCACTCACAGGAGGTTTTTAATTATGCCAAAACCACCAAAGAGTATGAAATCAATGTAACTATGTTGGTGTGTCAGTGATTCATCAACAGACACATTAAGTAAATTCATTGACAGACATGATTGACTTTAAGTAGTAATTAAATAAAGCTTCTACTAGCTATATAAAAGCTCATTCAAAGCTCCTACTTCATGTATGAAGAATATGGAGTATGGAGTAGAGTACTAGTGATCAAGCACTCCATACAAAATCATTTTTAAAGCTTGGATGGAAACCAAAAGGGGGGCCCTTTTCAGCCTGGTTACACTAGTGTACAGTAATTATGTTGTATGCATTTGGAGATATTACAGCCGCTAAGCCCCTGAGGACCAAAACTTTTGGCGGCGACCTCCATATGTTATACTCCATACACAAAGTTGTTCATGGACTTCCCGTAGTCCTATTAACCCGGTAGCAGCAACAGTGGATCCGCAGTTTCTCGGACCTATGTAATTCCGCAATGGTATGGTAATATAATTTGGATAATTGTTATTCCTCCAAGGAGTTTTTCTTGTCACCTCCTTACAGTGAGTTGACTTACCTTGATGCAACTTACACGAAAGACCTCAAGGTCACCCTCCATTTTTTTTTGGGATCAATGTGTTGAAATCATTGCTTCCTTTGCCTCTTATCCCCTTACCAGCCATCGAGCCTGCATATCAGGATTATTGGTATTATCTTACTGTCCATGCTCCAATGACAACGCCTTGGAAGGAAGCTTTAGATAATGCCGCGCAAAGCGATTTATGGCTGGCAGGAGTAGGCTGCTTTGCTCATGTTTTTGGAATTGGGAAAACTGGTTATGTTGTCAAGAAATCGCTGGAGCCTTTTGTAGTAAAGGACCTCCAGCCTGGGGAGAAACGCATTTATGAGCGCCTTGGTCACCACCCATTTATTCTCCAGTACTATGGGGAGTATAAACACAACACAGAACAACCAAATGGAGTTCCTAGCAGATTTGTATTTGAATATGCTTCAGGGGGTGTCCTGGTAGATAAACTCACATTCACCAAATATCCTGATCAAAGAGCCAAGTAAGTGACTAGGATATATGTGCTTTGTTAATTAATATCTAATTCTTTCTGTTTAGATGGCCTATCCAAGCAGCCGAAGCTATACAATACATTCATTCCAAAAATATCATTCATTCAGATATTGGTTCATAATTTCCTTCTTAAAGAAGATGGAACGCTTCTTTTGGCAGATTTCAGTGGCTCAATGATAGATGATGAAATCCCAACCATGTGCTATGCCACCCATTATCGGCACCCTTTGCCATCCGGGAAAACATATGATGATTCTGATATAGCAACAATCAAGGATGATATATTTGCTTTGGGAACTCTGGTATATGAGGTTACTGTCGGACATCGGCTCTACTCTAACCAAGATAGTCAACACATCCAAGTTCTAGTAAATGAGCGGAAGTTCCCAAATATAGATGCCTTGCCGCCAAAAACCCAGAATGTCATTTGAAAATGCTGGAAAGAAAGTTATGAGACTGCTGATGAGGTTTTGCATGATCTACAAGAAGCCAATGCTCCGGATACAAACTGCAGTGCTGTAAATGCTCCCCTTCCGTATTCAATTGGGCTGTGCCGTGATCTTGGCATCGGCATATATTCTGGTAAAGTGGAACCAACGGGGATTTTTCTAAGCTTAAAATGACTACATACTTCCAACCCTATCTATTAATAGACTCCCAAGACCCAATATGATTTGCTTAGGCCTTTTGAGTGCTATAAGACCTCCATAATCATTTTGTTGGTGTGGTAGGGCTGGTGTAATCAAGTCCATAGACCTAAAATTACACCAACTTTAGCATACTCTTTAAAGACGTTGTGACACCTAATGCTTACTATTGATCATCTTCATCGTCATAGAGGCCTCTTGCATTGCATATTGGGCACTTATATCTCATGATGGTACATCCAAGATTCTCAGGCCACTGGACTGCATCTGCACAAAGTCCATCCGCGCCTTTGTCTTTGACACAATTAAGTTTATTGATAACAGCCTATGACATGCTGGACTGGACAGTTTCAATTCTATAGGTTCTATAAGCCAGATGGTTTTCGGTCATTGGAAGTTTGCATTTGCTATAGTGTTGGGCGGCTCAAGTGTACACACACATGGTGAGCTATGGATCTTTTCTGTAGTATTTAAACAAACAACAATATCTAGTACACTTAGGGCCGCCAGAGAGTGTGTAAAAGGAATTAGAGCAAAACCGGTTGATAAATGATAGTATTAAAGCCAATACCTACCCATCACCAATACTATCCCACTTAGAGATATCCATTTGTGAGTGTCATTGAGGTGGGCTGCTGGTTTGCAGTGCTGAGAAAGAGCATTAAAATGAGAGTGAACAAGTGATGCAATGCAGCTCCAGGTTAGAATCATCTGCATCTATAAAGCTAGAGGATCAAGTAGGTGTTGGAGTAGAGTTGTTGAAGATTATCAAGATTCCATTTTAGGCACCCGGGAGGGCTGGAGGCCGCAAAAATGAAGGGCCGAAAAACCTTGAGTAGCCTACGGCAGCACGAGACATCAGACTGAAGTGGAAAATGCGGGAATAAGTGGGGTCGCAATATGGCCTGGAAACTTTTAGGGTGGGTGTGGGGGAGGGGGGTCTGAAATTGAGAAAAATTATCTCAAGTTCGCATCAGTTGCATTCTACCTCCAGGTGTCAATTTCATTTTACTCATTGCCAAAGTGTCCCATAGTAACTAGCTGATTCCCAATATGTGTCCAATATAACTAGTCTTGAGTAGACTAGCAGTTTCTAGCTTTCTATAACTAGTTAGCATACAAGTTCGTTGACACACCCGGCCTAATCCCAGCAGAGTAGCAACGCATGTATGCATGTACTCCGTATGCATGCACATACATAGCAGCCATAAAGGACTAGAGGTCGAAGATAGCCTAATTATTAATGGTATGGAGTACTGATTCCGTATTCCAATGCCGAATCCCTGTCTCTTGAGGCCCAATCAAAACCTAATAGCGATATCGTGCGTATTTTAGTAAGGATTATTTATCAATCAAGTTACATAAAGGTGCATATATATGGAGCACCCCGGACAGCGACATTCACGCTGCAGTAGAGTCTTGGCTATCTCAGCCTTGCCTGCTGGCTATTAAGCGGAATGAAAATCATATAGAGCACTGGCCCCTCGCTCTTCCATCCCTCCTTTTTTCTTTTCCATTCATACATGTCGATCACAAGAGACACATTAACCACTCCTTACTTCTGGGAAATACTGTATTCTTGGTGCCTTCTGAGTTTTTATGGTATATGGTCCTTTGCACTGTACAAAAGCGAATGGCTAACTAGGATATCAAGATCACATCAGAATGTGCAAGTGAACCTATAATCGAATTATGTTCGCTTGTCGGCATGAACTTGAAACGCCCGGCAGTCTAATCCCAGACAAAGATTGCAAGGGCTGTGGAATAGAGAAGGGTAGAAACGACAGCATTGCCAGTACTACCAGATTTACACCTTGTGATGACTGTCAAGCAAAAGGCCTTTGGCTCCAGAGAGCTGATGGGAAATGGTATAAAACTGCAGAAGGCGGACCGAAAAAATTTCCACCTGGATTTCAGCTTTCCTGATAGTTAGTTTTGGGTTTGAGATGGGATTCATGTGATCCGATAAACTTACACAATTACCTGGTCACCTTGATGAAATTCGGACGTCAGATCTAGGGTTGGTGCTAGAATGACATGCTGTTGTGCTGGCCTGTAAAAATGATCTAGCTTCTGGTGCGGCAATGGAATTTGGGTTGATAGAATGCTGTCTCTGGGTCCTGACAATGACATTGTACACCGACGTTGCACTGGCATGCTGTAGCCAAAGCCTAGTTATGTATGTCCTAGGGGCTAATACCTGACTCCAACTCACTGTCACTGTCATTAGTGAAGTCTCATCATGCCTTTTCTGATCCCAATGCAGATTCAATCAGGAATAGTAAAAGAAACAATTCTAGCTTTAATAATTAAGAAGCTAAAACCAATTTTATCACTCAATTCAAATTAAGTTGCTTCAATTGCCTGCTTTACAACGGCTTTATTGGGTGGGCATTTTGTTGATTTTTGAAAGTGGAGGTCTAGAAGTGCGAAATGGCTCGTTTTTGTGGGTTCAGGCGTTTGGTGGTGGATTACGTTAACTAATAGGTTAGTTACCTAATCACCCTCGGATAGCAGCTATTTCCAAAATTTTTCCCAGCGATTCGGCTAAACTCAAGGAGCTGTCTGTCTTATGGAGTATACTCCTAATGTTTTTTCGGAATTCCAACGTTTATCACCTAGCCATCCGTTCCAATATGATTTCCTGCTAGCTATTGTGATACCAAAGTACCACCTCGACTTTATAGAACTTGTGATAAGCTGACGAATATTGTCCATACGTTTTGGTTAAACCTTTCAAAACTTTCAGTGCAATCGCGACCATTTGTGCCTATCATGGGCTTCAATTACTGTGACACTCTCAACCAGCATAATTGGGTTGGCGGCGGCGCCTATGCTTATGTATACCATGTTAGTCCAACCATTGTGGTGAAAACTCTTCGCCCAGACCGAGACGCTGAAGAGGAGACGGAAGAACATCCTTTTCTTAAGGATATCGCCTTCTATAAGTGTTTTAATGAGCGCGAGGACCAATGTGTGCATATTGTTGAATGTTTTATTATGCTTCCCGATCATCTCTTCCTATCATTCTGCGCCAACAGAGCCATTATCTATCACTTTCATGAACGTCAGGAACGGGAGGACAATAAGTTCTTTGGGCGCCTCATACGCGTAAAGAGCTATGAAGATCCAGGGCTTATCGCTCGATGGATACAACAACTTACGTCGGCACTTGAATATGTGGAAAAAATGGGTTTCTGTCACAATGATATCAATACAACTAATTGCCTTCTTGACGATAATTTCAACCTCAAACTGGCCGATTTTGGCCGTGCCACCACCATTGGAAAATATCTGGAATATACCGGTGCCCCTTGGGCCTTAAAATTAAATGGTGGACCCTTGGAAGACACTTATGGTCTCTGCTCTGCCAGAACCGAGCAATTTGCCGTTGGGTCAATTCTTTACTTTATGGTCTATGGCCACAAGCCCTATGAAGACATTAATTTAGACGGTCCAGAAGTGGAACAAAGATTTCAAGATTTGAACTTTCCGGAATTAAACCGCCATGAGATTTTTGATAGTCTCATCGCTTGTTGTTGGTATAATGTCTACCCAAACATGGCTTTGTTGGCATATGACCTGAAGTGCAAAACGAAGGATATTGCATCAAGTACCGAATATGCAATAATTGATCGTGTGAAGGAGAGAAACACATGCGAAGCACTGATCCGAAAGGGAATACTAGGTCCTGAGTTAGGCCTCCGCTTTCAGCCGGCCTGGAAAAAGTACCTATATGCTGCCAGAAGTGTGTTTCTCTGGCGATTTCTGATGGATCTACCGCGGAGAATTCGCTTTTGGTTCTGTCGCGGACAGACACTCTCCTGAGATTCGAATTTGGTTTTGGATTAATTTCTTTTTTGAAAGTGATGTAGGATATTGGGCCTGGACGCGTCTTGGAGAAAATAGAGATACCATGATAATATTTTGTGTTTATAGCGCCTATTTGCTAGAAATCATGGCAAAGAAACTCTTTGAACTGCCCTTTTTGCCTATAAACTTGTAGTTATAGTCAAATTGTTGGTTGAGAGATTCCAATCAGGGACATAAATTGCCAGTTAGGTCAGTATGGCCCGCCGTGGTTAACTATCTTCCACCGTAAATACAGAGTACGAAGTCTAGATGGGCCATGCATCGCAATCGATTCGCAGATCATCGAGACCGAATATTCATTTCAACTACGTTCACCTATAATGGCTGACAAACTCCGCACTCTTCAAAATCTTGAGGCCTTGCAGGCTCGTTATATCGGAACTGGCCACGCCGACACTACAAAATACGAGTGGACGTCGAACATTGTCCGCGATAGTTACGCGTCGTTCATCGGCCATCCTCCAATGCTTCAATACATGGCCATCGGGATGGGAGAGCCCAAAGAGAAAGTAAGAGCTATGATGATTGAAAAAATGGTTAGAGGGGCAGGGAACCCACCAGATGTACGTTTTGCTCGTTTCCCTTCACCGTGACGGATCCTGATTTGAGCCATGTTTTCCTAGGTACAAGAATGAGACTGAACCAACGGAATAAATGCGACATGAAAAAAAATTCGAACCCCTTTAGATGGCCGTCGATGTTAGCTCCTTTGCACGCGGTTCGGATATTTCCATTTTCGAGGAGGCTGCAACCCTGTTGGGGCATCACTCCGCGCCGAATATGTTTAACGCCTTTTAAGGATCGATTAATTCTTAGATAAAGAATAATTCCTGGTCAATAATTCGACTTGAATAGGGAAGGACGAATTTGAGACCTTGGGTGGCTGAGCTCAAAGCTGCCTGGCTGTGCTCCGTACTGTTTAATTGTCGAGCAAATCCAGTATGAACCTAGGCATTGTGACCATGCAAGACCTTGTACGTTACATCTCAAGTCAATGCTATTCATCTAGAAACGAACATAACTAGTGCTTATCAATTGACTCCGTCTACGACACCCTTTTCTTTCCGCAACTCTGTTTCAAGCCTGGCATTCTCTTGCTGTAGCTTTTCTACTATACTGAGCCAGTGGCTCCTCTCCTTCCTCAACCCGTCAGTTTCTGATTTAGCTCTTGACAGCTGTTTTTTCAACGTATCTATTTCCGCCTTTAGCTTTCTCTTCGCGTCTTTCCCCGATTCTTTACGGCGTTTGGACTCGATTTTTGCGATTATCTTTTGCTGCTGCGCGTCGTATTTTTGAAGGCGAGAGGTTAATTTTCCCTCTTTGCGCTCTAGTGTCATTAGTTGTTTTTCGTGGGAGGTCGCGTTTGTCTCGACTTTGCTCTCTGTACCCCTATCCGTGGAAGGGTGAGATATTTGTGTTAATAACTTGTTTCGCTCTTCATGGTTCGCCTCAAGCTCCTGTATTATCTGGGCTTTTCGACCATTGAGTTTGGAAAACTCCTTGTCACAGTTTGCCGAAACTAAATCTTCATTTTGGGAGCGGATGCTGCCCTCGGCACTGCCTGGGACCACAGGCTCGGATTCACCATCAATGACTGTTTCGTGCAAACAAGATTTGCTTTCCTGGGCTTCCGAAAAACCCACCTCCTTGCTAATATCTCGTGGGTGAGAGTTGACGCTGGCATAGGACATAGAAGCGCTATCATCATCATTAATTGTGCGGTGTCCAACATTTTCGGTCCCAAGATCTTTTTCTGTTGTCGAACTCTCGTCACTTGATTGATGAGCGTCTGCCGTTATATTGATGAAGTCGAAAAGTGTTCTTGGTGCCATTGAGACGAGTGTCGAGGAAAGACCTTGGAACATTGCAGTAGTAAACCCCGTTGACCGTGTTGACATTATGTCTGGTGTACTCCAACCGTCATCAGATCCTTGATGATCGGTTAATTCTGTAGATCTTGCCATGTTCAGCGACCGGTAGTCCGCAGGTGTGTCTGACTCAGGCCCGGTCTTATGGTGCCCTTCATATTGTCCGCTATCTATCGACGAGCGTGGAGACGAAGTGTCCTTCTGGTCCCGAGTTGCCCAGTCCATAAACTTCTTTGTGTCGGCAACGATACTTGGAACAGTGGCCTTCTCTACCATCCATCTTGGGATACTGCCTCCCGGGTCACTTCGGGTGACCATAGTCCATTCGACAGGCCTGGGGCTCTCTTTATCTCCCACGCCCTCTTGCTGGTTCCCCATCGTCATAGTACGTAGTTCCCTTATCATTTCAACAGACTCGTATTGGCCTCTCACATAACCTTCACGTTCAGGAGCATCAGGATGTTTGCATGGCTTCGAAATAATGACAAAAGCCCGAGAAGCGTCATGTTCCTCATTGCTGCATTCTTCATCCGTATCCTGCGACACATCTACTGCCCTGTCCGAAGAAATTAATAATGTAACAAAATCGCGCGACGACGAGGGGCCCGGGAAATGTGCAGAGAGATGGTGCACCTCGATTGCACCCAGCTCATCCTCGTGGCTCCCAATAGCCTCTGCAGAAGCAGGATCCTTTGGCACTACTCGTCTCTCTAAGCGCCTCTCACTTCCAACTCCCCGGATATTTGAAGCTTCCCCTGTTTCCTCCATTATCCTCATTGTTTCCGGTATTTCGAGCCGGAGCTTATCTCTGAATATACTATATGGGAGGGGCCCATGATGAACACTCCGACGAGCAAACCATGTGCCTTTGCCGTCTTTGCTCTTCAACTTAAAAATGGGTATTCGCATAGGATTGTCTTTCGCATTCTCAACCTTGTTGAATGGTTTCCCCCATTCTTTCTGCCATGCAGCTATATCAGAAGCGTCAACTGCGGGTGTAGACGAGGAGGCGCGTAGGGCTGGCGGATTCTTCGTGCATGATACGTTTTCTAGGCTCTCTGCGCTATTCTTCAAAGCCCCATTGGAGCTAGATATGAAGGCGGGATTAGCATCTGAAGAAAGTAAACGAGGTTCGGGCACAGATTCCACGATCAATCTGGCTTGGACGAGGAGATCCTTGATGTATAATGATAGCTCTGCATGATCAGTAGGTATTTCGTCAATTGACGTCGGCTTCAGGGATTCCAGTGCCGTATGGAGAGTCGCCATTCTGTTGGCAGAGATGTGATGTCGAGATCGACGAGTAGCTCCTCTTGTGACATAATCGTTGATTCAAACCTGGGCGAAGATATGCTGTGGTTATATATCAAGGAAAAAGAGAAGCTACTCGAAGGTACGTCATTCGCTTTGAATGCCATGTTTCTCCTTACTTGACGTTTCAGGGTAGCCTAATTGAAACTTGAATAAACCCATGTTATGAGGCACAAAGTTAAGTCCCAGATTCCGGTGACGTCATCCCGGAGCGGACCTCAACCTTGTCTATTCTGGGAAAAGAAGAACGGAGAAACTTAGCAGATCAGATATCATTTAGAGTGTAGCTAGTGGCATCATATTGTATTACGGATAGAGGCATATAACATACAAAAAAACTAGCCAACAATACTTAACAGGATAGAGATCCCCAAAGCACAGCTTCAAGATAAAAGAAACGAAACCAGCATCCGATTCCCGCCCCATCCAACAAAAGTCCGATCCCGCAGGAAATATTGATGGATGGAAGCGAGCTTCTCCAGGAATTTTAAAAAAAAACCAGCCTAGAGACAAGGTGGATGGCCCCCTTGTGAAGGACGAACCAGATACGCACGTAGCATTGGATAAACCGCCAAGAAGCACACAATGCAGCAGCCGTGTAGCCTACCGAAGAAAAAACATTAGAGACCACAGGTCCGATTTAACGTTGATTCTCGTTTTCCAGGTATCATCACGGATGACAACCTCGAAAAACAGGCAATCGGGTGCTGCCATATGGGTGTCCAAAGTCGGCATCTGTGCAAGTGGTAAGAGGTCCAAAAGGTGCAGGATACAATAAACATGCCAGATGTATGTAGAGCCCGCGTCGTCGCTCCCAGGATTCCAAGGTTCTTACCCGACCCATAAAGTGGTTCGCCAGCCCGACACCAGTGCCAAAGAGTAAGAATGCAACAAAAGAGAAATAGGGATTAAAATAGAAAAGGGGAGTCGAAACGCAGGGGTTAGTTGGTTCGTGTGGATGATGGAATCTAGCCCAGATCACCGCAACGAACGCCTAACCCACCCGCCGTTTGTATGCACCCCTGGTCTATTATGCGGCGTTGAAAAGGAAACAAAGGGGAAAAATACATGACTGGAAAGCGTTTCAAGCCGCGAGGCCACGTCAAGTCTTGATAACATCAAATGCGGTGACATAAGACAAACAAACATGAAATGAAGACGTCCACCAGGGAAGTTTGTGCATCATGCAAAGGAAAGGAGAACTGCCGACCCGCCGGTTCTTAAATGCAAAAACAAGGCAAAGCAATCAAACGCTGGCTAAAAATGCACCACAATGAAAAAAGCTATAAAAAAGAGACAAAAGCATAGACAAAAAGAAAGGTAGTTTGGTGTGTGTTGATCCAAGTCCAGATTATTTTCCGCCAAATTTGGTGCCTGAAGTTAAACAGGGTTGATGTCGTCAGGGATGCCACTGGAAGTAATGCGCCTATCGGGAGCACCTGGGGACCGCTCTCATAGTTAGGGTATCATCAGAGAACGCCCAGATCCGTGGTATCAAAGTATCCGACGTCAGGGCTACTAGGCTGTAGAGTAGAGTTACATCGTCAAGCCGTAGGGAGATGCGAAATCCACGACGCGATCGTTCCATCCGAAACCCGTCATACAGGCCGTGGTACCGCATTGCGCGAACATGCTTGGTAGGAGCGTTGGTGTTATCGCAGCGGTTGTTATTGGGAGTTCATAGAAGTCGGCGCTGGAGTATGAGTCGGTGGACAGGGGAGGGCTCAGGGAGAGCGACGGCGACGGTAAGTGCATTTCACCCATCGAGATGCTAGCCCACAGGTTTAGATGTGAGTCACAAGTAGAGGTAGCGCTGGGGCTCGAAGGGACTACCTGCCAGGACTCGACAGGCCCAGGAGGGAGTTGGTGGTGTTGGGCCGGGCTGTTCCACCAGTCTTCAGGGCAGGTGGAGCTAGGGAGAAGGGCGGTCGATTGTATCACATCGACAATCCGTGGCGGAGGAGGCAGCAATGGAACGAACAGGCCCATGATCGCGGCTTTCGCGTCGTCGCTTCGGCCACCAAGGAGCTCGCCTGCTCCCTCGTCTTCCATCCCTTCTAGGACATGAACGCCGGTGCGGAAGACGAACCGGTTTGCAGCCTGAACGAATTCATCTTGTAGTTTTTTCAGTTGAATCTCTTTCTCTGCCCAGTCCCAAGTGCACGCCGCAGTGTCCACCGAATAGACATCCTTGTGGTAGTCTACCAACGCTTCGATCGTTTCTGGTGTCAGCTTGAATGCGACCTCATTCTGGGAGACCATATCAACATGGACCACGTAGGCTTCCACATGGAGGATCTGGTAGTTATACAGGGCTTCCACCAATGGATTGTCGTCCTTAGGCAACTCAGACTCCGGCGCCTTGGGCAACATGATGGAGCAGAGGACCCAGAGGGCGTTTGTGGAGGACAGGGTCTCCGTCAGGCACCGTGTATGCTGGCCTACATTGTTCAGGGGCCTCTTGACCTTGTTGACTCTCTTCAGAGTCGCTGTTAACCACGGCTCTGGCCTTGACTGCATGACAACATTCGGCGAGGACCTGGGCGCAAAGGCCGCGGCGGAGGCGGGTAATAAACTTGTAGGCATGACGGCGAGGAGGGTCTTCTAGCGCAAGGACTTCTGTACCATTGACGTGGAGGAGATATAGACAGAGGGTAGTAATCCAAGTACAACGGGCTGTCCACTGTTCTTATGGATGGTATCAACAGGCCAGGCTGATGCGGATCGGGCCGACGGCGGGTAAAGGGGACTGGAGAGGCGAATATGGAAGGCAAAGAAAAGAAAGGAATTAGACCAGGCAAAAGATTAAGAAATTAAGATGATGAAAGAGAGGAGGGAGAGGCGAGGAGGGCGAGGACGGGCCACGGAGGGGGGGAGGAAACGATGCCCTTTCCGGATATCGCGAGGAGAGGCCGCACAGAAGGAGGGCGGGGAGAGCGAAGAACTATATACGAAAAGCTTTTTTTATGCTCCGGGCAAACATTATTATTAAACGAAACACCCGCTCTATCGAAACAATCTCACGGCTCCAGCCGATCTTAAAAAGGCTATATTGCGGTGCCATCGAGGCTACGCCGGGGATGGAGCCTGCATGCTGCGCTTCGCGGGCCTGCGCCGACGACGACGACGACGACGACGACGACGACGACGACGACAATGGTACGGAGTAGTGGGCGGGCAAGCAAGCCAGCTGGCGAGTGAACACTCCGTCGCCTCTGTGGACTCCAGCCGGGCAAACCGCCTGCACGCCGCCGTCTTTTTTTTTCTCTAGCGAGTTGGCGGCCTGGCGGCCGCATGAGTCGAGCGCGAGAGTCGTCATGGCGGCTGGAACCGTCACGTCCAGTACGGCACGATACGCGGGCGGCGGGCGGCGCGAGGTTCACCGTCCCCGTTCCGTACGGCGCGATACGTAACTAACTAACTAACTAACTACGCCCAAGCCCTGGCCGCCCCGGGAGGCAAAAACGCGATGCCTGGAGGCAACCCCAGCGCAACGCCCGCCGCAGCACGCCCGGCGCTCGCGGTGCTGCTGTTGCGGGTGCAACCCGTGTGCTGTGCAGCAGCAACAGGGCGGTCCCTGCGAGTTGGTCGCCCCGTCGGTGATCCTCTTGCCCGCTGCCTGCTGCGCGCTCCAAAGCGCAAGTGCACGCTGGGCCTCGCATGGGCGATCGGGGGCTCTCGCATCTGGCCGCCCGCGCTGTCTTTGTCGCGGATGTCCGGCGGCGCAGGCTCGCCGCTCGCCGCTCGGGTTCGTTCCTTCATCCTTCCCTCCCATACGCACGCCTGCGCCGTCGAGACGAGCCGGCGCTGCGGCCTCACCCGACGCAGCAATAATGGCGCGATGCCCGCCCGGCAACGGGCCTGCTTCATCATCCAGCAGCCAGAGCGCAGACACCAGACGTGAATGGCCCGATGTTCCCCAGGTTTCGAAACACACCAGTCGTAATGCGGCGTCTAGACTTGCTACTGCGTGAGCATTCGCGGCGAGCGGATTCGCAAAGCCAGCCAAGCAGCACTGGCTGGGCCTGGGTTTGGGTTTGGGTTTGGTAGCTAGTGCTCTCACAGGATCTTTTGGCCATCCATGAAGGCGCAGCTGAGATGGAGGGTAGCGGTCTTGGGCCGCCTTGCGCTTCGGATTCGCCGACCGCCATCGGGCTAAAATATCGACGACGGTTGGAATCCCTGCCTGTTGCCCTGATTGGAGAGCCTGCGTTATGATCCGATTTCTGGAAGAAATGAACAATCATTGAGTGCCTGCGGTGCGAGCGCTCAGTCCGCCGGCAAGGGACCGGTCCTGGAGCGTTCGTGATCCAAACGCTCGCACCGGGTTGGAAGCGTCCCATCTCTCGGTGCATGCGAGACGTTGAACGTCGGCCTGGCTGCTGGCCGTCGGGCGCTCGATAGCTCACAGGGCTGCAGGGCCTCTCAGCTGCCAAGAGACAGTGCAGCCAGACTGCCAGTCTATCGTGCCACCTCGAAGGCCTGTTTACCATGCTTATTCCAGCCATGAAGTGTCTACACAAAGCCCTCCGCACCAGGCAGAAGCCATTCCTGGCCCAAGAGGCCATGCGAGGAATAGAGTCGTTGAGTCCCCACCACACCTGCATGGAATTTCAGCTGGCTTGGGACGGCCAACCGCTGGCCCGTTGCCACCACAATCCATAATGACTTCACAGGCCCATATGTCTCAATACCCTATCTTCCGCATGGCAAACTGTTTAGCCCGGAGCGCGACTTGGCTCAAAAGGGATCTCATAGGCATACCAGTACGGAGTATGCGCTGCACAGTACATTTTCCTACAACCTTCTATCCCTTTTGCCGCAATCCTTGACAAGAACCCACCTGACATGGAAACTTCCCGCATCGGATGAATAATGACTGAACACAGCTTTTTCAACAAAGGCATGGATCTGCTTTCTTCCGCTCTGCCTTTGATACTAGCCAATTCCGGGCGTCTGGCTTTTCATGGATTGATATTCGACAGGGATCATGAGATGTCCGTGCCGTGAGATATGCAGAGCGCTCCCGTGGAGAGAAGGGGGGCTCCGGCCCTTCTGGATGACCTTTCGGTTTTCAAATGTCGCGACAATGCCGACAGAAGCGCCGCAAATGTCTAACCCCCGACATCTCTCTAACTAGGCGTAGTTTCATTCTAGGCCGGCCCTCTCCAGCATCTCTTTATATCTTTCTCCAATAGTAGCCCAACAATCTGGCGCCCTATCACGCAGCACATTTGCTACATATGCATGGATGAGTGAGACATGTGCGCGCCATCACTCCTAATGACTATTCCTGGACTATAGCTTCCGGTTTATTGGTTCACACATATCACAGGGTCTATCTAATATTGATTTTATGAGAAAACTAATGTTGCTTTCCCCTTTTTTAGCTTCGTCTTACATGAAACAATACCCTTTTCTCCTTTACTCTGCAGTGGAAAATACGACATCTAAATAAAACCCGAATGTCGCCTGCTGGCTACTGCCCTAAACTATTCAGCGCTAGAAAGGAGGACAGGGTAATGTGGTTCGTACGGTCTTGAAGCTCAACACTTGAAAACAGCCATCTCCTTACGGATAAAGCAGAATTAGCCGCACGTGAAGATTCTAAGATATATGGGAAGAAGGTTTCGGTCGGGAGGCACTGCCTGGTTAGCAAAATGAACTGCGATGTCGCTAGCGAATCGTCCAGCGGGCGGTTACACTGATACCCAAGGCACCTCCTACTATTATTATTTGCGGGAGTGATAGTCAGATCGTCATTTCAGGGTCGTCAAAAGCTACGCTGAAATCCCGCATTCTGACAGTACGGACGAGAGCATTATTGCCACTGGGTCCAGTTGACTCGCTGATCAGAGAATCCTTCTGTGACCATGTTTTCGAACATTCCGTGCCTTCTGTTGATTTGTGCATTCGTCGTTCAGTAACATAAGCTTCGCCATATGCCCGGCTTGTGTCGGTTAGGCGATTGCGGGACTGGGATTGCAGTGTTTACATGCGAGAGAATCTAACATACAAGTCCTACGTTACATTTCAGGGCAAGTTGTGACTGGCTATTTAATGAATCACCTGATTAGAAATATTGGCAATATATTGGATAAGCGATGAATCCTAAATGAAGACCATGGCAGACTAATATAACTTTTATGTACAATCTACGGCTTTCCATTTGCGCATGCTAGCGAAGCGGTATCCAATTACCCAAAGCGATACATATCGCCCACCGTAATACGACAGCACCTTGGCACCGAAGCGAGAAAACAGTATCGTGACTTTCATATCAGCTGAGTGTCCCCCGTCATCGTGCAGGTAATGCGCGACTGCAGCAGAATCATAATGGAAGAAAGGAAGCTGAGTGTCTCTCGCGGCAGCATCATGTGGCACGTCCCGAAGCGCCCGGCCGTGGCGGCGGCCAACGGTGCCTGCGCCACAATGTCGTCATTAAAAGTGGCTGTGGTGACCGAGGTAACCCCGGCATCTCCTGCGATGCCACTCGTCACATTCGGGATTGTCGAAATCGCTCACCCGCCCCGGGGACAGCGGTGTTTCTTGACGGCGGGCGCGCGAGTAGTTGCTTGCCGAAATGCGAGATAACGAATGCATGGCTCCGTCACCATACAGCATGGCATCGAAGGCAACCAGGCCCGTCACCGCCTTAATCCTCGTGTGGTTCACGACTTTGGCTGTCGAATCCCACCCCCACCTAAAGTATGGTAATGCACCTCGAGGGGACATTTTGTTGTTTCACGCACCAAGGGCGAAAGAAATTACTATCGCTTCTGAATCCTAAATTCAAATGGTAGTATGACTGCTCTTGAACACCTTTGGAGCCAAAAGGATCATATAGGCTTTCTACAACACGAGCTTCTCTTCGGGAAGCAAAAAAAAAATAAAAAAAAAAAGAAAACTAGCGAAGCGAGCGCATACTGCCTGCAAGATCCGGGTTGGGGGCCCAGACTTCCCCGTTTTTTATATTTTTTTTTCTCCCTTCCCTGACATGAAACTTCTTTGAAACATCCCGGATCTACAAGATATCGGACTGCCTTGTCTAGAATGATGCACGGGATCTGGGTATTCCCTTGCCAATAAGATCCATCAAGAATCTGTCTGCGGTCGCACAAGCTCGGAACATCAGTTGGTATTGACTCATTCCCCGGGATGCACAGGTAAACCCACTCCCAGTTTCTCTTAGGCATGGCCCGTGTACCCGCACCGGGCACCCGCCATCTTTTTATCGTCGTTTCGCTATCGTGATGAATCAACCCAACCCTGACTCAGCTAGGCCTGTCCTCGTAACACCAGGCCCTCAATTTTGCCCTGTGAGCTTCGTATCGGCGTATGTATAGTTAGGAACCGGGGTATAAAACAGCCTCAAGGTGACATAGCACAAACGGATATGGCGCATCGATGCCTTCAACCTTTACTTTTTCTATTCCTCCAGCACCCGAAAAACGGCTCACAGGTAACCTAAATAAGTGTCTCAATATTCGTGGAATATACTGAAAAATTCTGGAGTCCCTATTTTTATCACTACCAAGTAGTGATAAGGAGCCCTTGCAAGAAAAGTTCGCTCTCTGTGGCTGGGCTTTGGTGTGGTTGCTCCGAAGCGTCTAGCCTTCGTCGCTACATCATGTGTGTAACAACTGAATTGAGAACGTAGCATGCTGACGAATTTGATCAAGCGTCTAAATATAGGGGGTAACAACAGTTACATTTTCCCTTCTTTTTCCTTTTTGATTTTTGAGAATACTCTTCTTTCAGTATCCCTTTCTTCTGTCTTTCGCTTCATTTGCTTCTGGATACTATCCGTCTTTGCTTCGGCTTCCTCTATTCTCCTTTTAACCTCTTTTGCGATATCTTTTTGTGCCTTCAATGCAGCGACAGAAGTCGTATGCTCTTTGCGTAGTTGCTGCAGCTCAGCCTTGTGTTCAATAACATCCAACGGTGCACAAGTTACAGGGTGATATCGATGGCATGGGAGTGGATCGGACGGAACACGGATGTTGGGAAGGAGTTCGTGGATCGGTGTCGTACGCGCAGGGGCTGTTAGCGGAACCGGCCCTAGCTCTTGGGGTTGCGACTCCGGATTGGGTTCTGGGGGTGGAGATGGGGGAAGTTGGTTCATTGTAGTCATAAAAAATACTGTACAGTGGTTCGAGAATGGGTCATGCAGCCTATGGCCAGGTTGTCAGTTGTCACTCTGTTTTAACTCAAACCATCCAGAGTACCAGAACTTTTGTAGCTAAGTACAAACTAGTTGACAGATCTTATCTTCACGTGAACCCACATTTAAGCTCCTTGATAAGGACAGCAAAACATACATCAAGCTGGATCATATTATTGCAAAAAAGTTGAACGCGCGTTCACTGTTCAGCACTGTCATGATGGTTGAAACGCTACAGGGTCTTCACCTGCAGTGTATATAAAGAAACAGCACTAGCCACGTTGGGAAGGCAGCCATTGCCGAGCAAACAACAAGGGTGGCAGCTTTTGCGAACATGCAGGCTTTCAGTAAGTTCCCTACACCCTTCACTGACAGCTGTCTTTGCACAGATTCAAGCATGGATCCCCTCAGTGCTGTGTCGTTTGCTGCCAGTAAGCTGACAAGAGTATTCTCAGTCCCCAAAGGCAGACGGGTACCCTACTCTTCCCCCCTGAATTTTGCTGCATAGGAACTTACGTTGTATCTAACCCCAGCCTAAATTTACTCTTATCTTACGCGTAAGCTGCTATAGAAATTGCCGGCACTATCTATTTATTTTCTTACTTTTCTAATAGATCCTCGACATCATTAACGTTCCACTTGGAGTTGGAACTACGTATGTGAGATGGCAATTGCCCTCTTCCGCATCTCCAGAAAATTCCGGAGAAACAAAAAAAGAGCAAATTGAATCGCATAGAGCGTCATGGGATTATGAGAAAATGTTTACTGTGAGGCTTATGCTTGATCGTGGTCACATGCTCCAGGAATGTGGAATACATTTTGATATCTTTCAAGAATTTTCGCCAAATCACCGAAGTGACAAGACTTTATTGGGTACCATTGATCTGAATCTAGCCGAATACGTTGATGAAGGTGATACTGAGGACGGAGTCGTTCGCCGGTATTTGATGATGAACAGCAAAATCAATGCTACCGTGAAAATAGCTATCAAAATGAATCAGATTGAAGGAGATAACAATTTTACTAAGTAAGCAACTTATTAACTATGCTAATTTTCAACTAATACTCCTTTAGGCCACCTCTCTCACCGGCAACTGTGTTCAGTGGGATTGCTGGCTTTATGACCGCCGCAAAACCAGATTCTGATGATACGCGGCATGTTCCTTCGTTCTTCAACAGGACTCAGGAGTATACCGAGCTCCAGGATCTGTATTTTAGAAACCTCGCTGCAACTTTAGCGTGCCGGCCTGGCGAGGTACCACCGGACCAGGTCATTGAAGATATTTTTGCTGGCGGTGATGGCTGGCCTGCTGGGCGCCCAAGTGTAAAACGTCGCGACAACTACGAAGATGACGACGACTATGACGATGATTGCAACTGTTCGAATAGCGATACTGATACACGGCGTACATCGCGGAACAAATCTCCAGCTCGCAGCACAGGATCCGGATCCCTAGGGCATCATTTCCGCAACCGCAGCAAGCACTCTGAGTTTTCTTTCGGCTCTGATATTGGAACGAAGAACCGCAAAGTCAAAGGGAGAAGACGTAAAAATCGCGAACTCGATGAGTTTGAAGTGCGCGAAGACCTAAGGAGCTGGGAGATTTCATGGGCCAAAGAACCAACCCCACCCTGACCAAAACAATACTTGAACGGCCTTTTAGTTGTGTCAATAGTACATACTGCCACCCTTGTATTATATTGATCGCTTATGCCGTTCAGCCCGAACTGGACTGAGTTTACCGAAATAGGTGTTTTTGGCAGATGAACAAGCCCCGTTGAGAGGGACAGGAGCATGGCAAGGCAATCTATTTGGCGTCTGTGATATTCTTGACATGATTATTTAGTTTTTCTATTGAAGTATGACTACTGTACTGTTAATCTTCGCTGGAGTTTTTTTTTTTTTTTTTTTTTTTTTTTTTTTTGCACTTTTGCGCTTGATAGGGCTGAGCTTCATATTAATTGTCTTTTTCGCTGCCAGACTAACTAATCGTTTAACTTCTACAGTTAAGTGTGATTGGAACTTTCAACTACTCTTATGGTAAATATTCATGCCAGAACTGCTAAGGTTTCCGAGTTGTCGAGCGGTGCCCGGGTCCGGAAAAAGTAAACCCCCGGAGCTTCACGGCTAACAAAATTATGCATTTCAAGCTCTTGCAGCGAGTTACGTCGATTACTGCGCTGAGCTCTTATTCACACATATGTTTCAGAGATCAGTTAATGATGTGGCCGTCTGTCTACGATGCCGAATTCGGTCCCAATTTCCGCCGTCGCGCGCCCCCTCCATAAAACCTCCCACTGCTCGAAAACGATCCCTCCACGCAAACGCGAGTCACAAAGCGGAATCTTTGGCGCAAGAGCATAGGTTTTCGAATCGGCGATCAAAGCCACCTGCTCGTATAGAGCCTCTGGGTATTAATACACTTGGGAAACCATCCCATGTCCTACTATTACAAGACAAAAAGACACCTCCGGAGGGCAGGTTCGCGAGGCTGATCGCAAAGGAGGAAGAAGATCGACAATTATACAGCCCATCTGAAGTACTGGAAGAAGTAGATAAAGAAGAACGGTATAGACTATTTGGCGCGGAAGAAGTATCGGCCAACTTTGACTATCTCCACGCCCTCCACCAGCCTGGAGATAGACTATTTCCGGTGAACTGGGACAAGCTACGGGATGTTCTTGAACATGGATTTACGACATCCCAATTATTACGGTATATTGGAGATTTCACGGGCAATAAAAATGGGAGTTTGGAGTGTACTGATATTGGGGATATATCTCCCAAAGACAACCAGCGTCTCTGGAAAGCGGGGACCTCTCTCTTCTTAGAACTGACACCCAAAATCCAGAGAAGGACTTCTCAGAGAATCGAGGCAATGAAATACATGGAAGGGAAAACTCTCCTAGCTGAAAGGATTATGAGAGATTGCTGGCAACTCACTATTCGAAATGAAATTGGACAGATCGATTTACGGGTAGCACCGAAGCAAATACCTACACTGTTGATGGCGAAAACGGAACCACTTAAGAAGGTCGCAGAATCTTGCAATGTCAAAATAGATGTGACCAACTCGTTAAATCTCATTAGAATAACGGGGAGCGAAGACAACTCGCTACAAGCTCTCAACGCTGTGGAGCACTTGCTATCTCAGTTTCGCACTAAAGAGCTTGAATTCCCTACAAGTGGATCTATTCTTGAAAGTAGCAAATACCGGAGCCAGGACGCCGATCTATTGCGAGTGTTGGAAAAAGAGTACGGGGTTCTGTGTCGCGTGACCAAGGGTGCAAAGAAATTCATATGCTACTATTTGGATGGAGCCGAAGCGGATGCCGAAGATGTATGCAGGAGTGTTTGTCTTGCACGTTCCTTACCTCTCGATAACCCTCGAGATCTTGTCACCCATTTTCCACCCGATCAACCAGTAGGAAAATACTATGTTACCAGTCCAGATTTCATGTTTTTTCCTGATCGCACTGGGAAGTGGTTCAGATGGGCAACGCCTCTCCTTGGAGTTGATACCGTTGACGGGAGAGCTGTGAGGAGACCGCCCGCCTCAATTTACAGCAAGGAAAATACCGCTCCGTTTATAAATATCTCCAATTCCCTCTCTCGCAAGCTTGAGAATGCTTACGAGCATTCCGTTTCGGACAATTTTAAGCGTGAAGTCGTTACGGCCACCATCGGAAAATGCCTTTTCAAGGGGGCCTCTAGCGGTGAAAAGGATGAAATTGGTTTTTCGACCCTTAAAGCTTTGCCATCGAGGAGAGTGTTCATCCGGGATGTTCCTAACACTCGACGTTTGTTCAACACAATCCCTTCTATTGACAAGGGTACTACCATTCATCGAGTTCACCTCCTGCCGACTGTCCCGATTTTCCCTCCGATAGAGTTAGAAATGGAAATACCCCATTCTACTGAACCGCAAACTTTTCTTGTGGCACCAATCTTGAAAAAAGCGAATGCGGTTCTTGATAGCCGCGACGTTGATATGCTTTTGCCAACAGTTGCTTTGGATATTCGTTTCACAAAGACTACCTACTATGACATTTTGGAAGGATGCCAGTTCTCCCCCCTCGCGCCTAATACTCATCCTGTACAGTCTACCCTCGCAGCCTGCATGGCGAAAGTTCAATATTCGCTACCGATCGCTGGGCCCCAGCCTCGAATGCCTTCATTTTGCAAAATCGCTATTCCGAAAGCACTTGTTACCTCATCAAAGCAATTTTCGGAAGCTGCTGCATGCTCATCCCAGAAATCTGACTTTATTGAGGGAGAATACGTGTTCCCACCCCTTCCGTCATTCAAGGCATCACGAATCGCAAGGTTTAACTATAAAGACCTTGAGCTCAATTATTCCAACCCAAGAACGGGGCCCTTGTTTCCCAAACAAAGCATCGAGCTTAGCCTCTCAATCGGGCGATATGATAACGAGCTGCGCCCTATAGCCGTTTGGCCCCAGTCATCACAGACAGAGCAAACAGCAAGAGGCGCTTCCTTGGAGTCACTTTTTCAGCCATTATACACCCGTGCATGTCAATTAGCGTTTGAATTGAGTGCCAAAAATTAGCATTCATTTGTTGTAGGTTACCTAAGCATTAGATGAGTATTCTGATTTTGTCTCTTATGTCGAGCAGATAATGTATAGATCTGGCAAAAAAGCTTTGTCTTATTTGATGGCCAGAGCGTGCACGTTAGGCTGAGGTTTGGGGTGACGTAGTTGGCGAGGGGCGCGCCTGCTGTAAAACTAACCTCCAGGGCTTGTTCTTAGCGCTAACTTTCAGACTCTGATAAAGAACTGCAGCGCAAAGCAATCTCTTCCCCCTCGCCTTATTACTCCTATTGCTGCCCCTCTACACTCCTTGTGTGTTAGATTTCTATCTTTTAGTGTTTTCCAATCTATTTTCTTTATTGAAGCCACTTAGTTTCACACAATACCACCCTTTTGCCTGCACCCTCTCGTCATGCTGCTGCACGACCATCATATGATTTTAAAAACGTTGTAAGAGATAGAAACATGGACACGACACGGATCGCTAAGGTTTGTTGTTTTACTATTAAGCTTCAATATGCAGCATAAAGCTAACCAGTATTCTGGCATATTCAGGTAGAAAATGTCACCCTCTCCAGGCGTGGTGAACGGGCCACCGGCACCCTTCACCTTACTACCCATCATTTGATTTTTTCGCATATACCTCCTGCACCTGAGGGGACCGAAGGGAGCAACGACACTAAACCTAGAGAACTATGGATTACATACCCTATTATATGTTTCTGTACCTTTAGACCTGCCACTACAGCTTCCCGCCAGCCCTCATCCATTCGCATCAGGTGTCGTGATTTTACTTTCGTATGCTTCAACTTTCCAAGCGATACTCAGGCAAGAGATGTTTACGAGAGTATAAAATCATGGACGTGTAGAATCGGGCGTGTTGAAAAGCTATATGCTTTTAGCTACCATCCTCCAGCTCAGGAGCGCAAGTTCAACAGCTGGAATATATACGATCCCCGAAAAGAATGGGCACGACAGGGAGTTGGAAACCCGGATTTGCCATCAAGCTGGAGAATATCGACTATAAATATTGATTATAATGTGAGACTGAGTAGCGATCGAGCTTCCGATTTTCACCAAGCACTAATTATCTTAGCTATCACCAACCTACCCCGCATTGTTAGCCGTTCCGGCGAACATTTCCGATAACACAATAAACTATGCCAGTAGATATCGCTCGCGAGCCCGAATTCCAGCCTTAACGTACTTACATCCGGTCAATAATTGCTCTATCACGAGGTCGTCGCAACCCCTTGTGGGCGTCCGAAATAATCGGAGCATTCAAGATGAAAAGCTTCTTGGTGCAATTTTCGATACTTCCCGCCGTGAAAAATTAACAATTAGAACACCTCCAACTCTAGATACCGAAATCTCAAATTCAAGCTCAGAGGAGCAATGTGGTGTCCAGGCCAATTTTGAGTTTTCAAGCACAGAGGAGTTGGAGGACGAGGTTATATCTGCCGTTCAATCCGGCTCTATATCTCCTAAAGCTCAGATATACGGTGCTCAACAGCACAATCTTATAGTTGATGCGCGCCCAACTGTGAACGCTTTAGCAATGCAAGCAATGGGCATGGGCTCAGAAAATATGGATAATTATAAGTTTGCCACAAAGGCCTATCTGGGAATTGAAAACATTCATGTCATGAGGAATTCACTTAATCGGGTAGTCGATACTCTGAAAGACTCCGATGTAACACCTTTAGGACCCAATCGTGACCAACTGGAGCGGAGTGGGTGGCTGAAACATATCACTGGCCTCTTGGATGGTGCTGCTCTTATTGCAAGACAGGTTGGGTTACAGCATTCTCATGTTCTGATTCACTGTTCAGATGGGTGGGATAGAACAAGCCAGCTAAGCGCGCTTAGTCAATTATGCCTTGATCCCTACTTCAGAACACTCGAAGGATTTATGGTTCTTGTTGAAAAGGACTGGCTCTCTTTTGGCCACATGTTTCGTCATAGATCGGGCCACCTTAACAGCGAAAAATGGTTTCAAACCGAGAACGACAGGATTGGCGGTGAATCTACCAGAACTGGGTTTGGAGATCCAGCAGCAGCAGGGAAAGCCATTGAAAACGCATTCCTAAGCGCGAAGGGGTTTTTTAATCGGGATAATGCTAGCCGGGATTCTCTGGCCGATTCCGATGGAGAAGTAGTGCCTTTTGAAACAGATCCGGATACCAAAAAACCCATTCCACGATCGGGGTGTGCTGCGGTTGAGGTTGAAACTACAAAAGTGAAGGAGACAAGCCCTGTTTTCCACCAATTCCTGGATGCTACGTATCAGATGTTGTATCAACATCCTACACGATTTGAGTTCAATGAACGTTTTCTTCGAAGGCTTCTTTATCATCTCTACTCCTGTCAGTACGGCTCATTTCTTTTTAACTGCGAAAAGGAGCGTATCGACCAGAAAGCCAGGGATTTGACTCGCAGTGTTTGGGATTATTTTCTTGCCAGGAGAGAACAGTTTATCAACCCTCAATATGACCCCAATATTGACGATAACACCCGTGGTAAAGAGCGATTGCTGTTCCCTCGAATGGATGAAATTCGATGGTGGAGCGAGGCCTTTGGCCGGCCGGATGTTGAGATGAACGCCCCGCGGTCGCGTAATATAAACGTTCAAGACGGAGGAGCAACTGGCGGCACGCGAACTCCAGTTTTAACAGGGGTAGAAACAGCAGAACAAGCTGTAAGCGGCGACGCATACAACAAGCCTACACTTTCCTCTGCGTCTTCTTCGGGGCTTGCTGTACTTGCTGCAGGCCTTTCTGGCTTAGGTTTGGCATCGGGCAAGGACAGCAGCCCTTCCATCGAACCTAAAGAGCTGGAAGTTGAGATGCAATGATCCATTGCTATGCATTTTACGTTGGCGCCCGGGGCTTTAACATGGTGTTTCATTGGGCATTCTCGGTGGCTTAGATGGCTGTGAGTGTATTCGGATGGCAAGGTCATAGCGTTGATTGTCTCTATTGTAGTGGGTGATAATTGAGACTTCTTTCTGGGCAGCGAATGGTGCAATCTACATACATACAGCGTCAAATTGATTATGCATTATCGTTAGAAATACATACTTAATGATTGCGACGCCGTGTACGGAGTAATGGTACTTGGTAATTGGGAGCCAAGCACAGATGGCCTAAACTAGACTAGCGCATTCAGGGCAAACCCCAAACCCTAATTTCCCAGAACGGCCACCCCACTGAATTCAGAATGTGTGAAATCACGAACCTTGAAGACGATCGTTGGAAATCGAAGCTTTCTCTCCAGCACTCGCCAAACGACTCCCTTGTCTACGTGACCCCCGCGGCAAATTTCTCGATATCGGGTCAGCATAATCAGCAAACATGGCAGCTGTTCAGGGAGCGATCTCCAAACGCCGCAAGTTCGTGGCCGATGGTGTTTTCTACGCCGAATTGAACGAGTTTTTCCAGCGCGAACTCGCAGAGGAGGGCTACTCCGGTGTTGAAGTCCGCGTTACGCCTACCGTCACCGATATCAGTACGTCACATCGTTTGTTTTATTTTCCGGGCAGTATTTGGGTACCAATTGCGAATCCATATCAAAGAATGAACTTCTATGAAGTCAGGGATACGATATCGATTTGCTATATACTTGGATGGCCGAAGAGCTGGCTGACCGAGTTTGCGATTTGCTAGTTATCCGTGCTACCCACACCCAAGAAGTTTTGGGCGAACAAGGCCGCCGTATCCGTGAACTCACATCCCTTATCCAGAAGCGATTCAAGTTCCCCGCCAACTCCGTATCTCTCTATGCTGCCAAGGTCCAAAACCGCGGTCTCTCTGCTGTCGCTCAGTGTGAAAGCTTGCGATACAAACTGCTGAATGGTCTTGCTGTCCGAAGAGCTTGCTATGGTGTTCTTAGATTTATCATGGAGAGCGGTGCTAAGGGTTGCGAGGTTGTCGTATCTGGAAAATTGAGAGCTGCTCGTGCTAAGAGCATGAAATTCACTGTACGTTTTGCGCAACTATTTTTTGGAATCATTGGTTATCTGTACACTGCTGCAGTTGATTACAACCAGACACGGTCCTTTGGAGAAATCCTGTACATTCTCTCACTAACATATTCTTCCCAGGACGGATTTATGATCCACTCTGGTCAACCCGCCAAAGATTTCATTGACAGCGCTACCCGCCACGTCCTCCTCCGTCAAGGTGTGCTCGGTATCAAGGTTAAGATCATGCGCGGCAGCGACCCTGAGGGCAAATCAGGACCCCAGAAATCCCTCCCTGACTCCGTTACCATTATCGAGCCCAAGGAAGAGCAACCCGTCCTCCAGCCCATGAGCCAGGACTACAACGCCAAAGCTGCTGCTGCCCAAGCTGCGGCTGAACAGCAGCGACAAGCAGAGGAAGGCCAGGAGGCTGGCGAAGAGGCTGGTGCTATCCCTCAGGAGTGAAAATTTTAGCTTCTTTTCCCTCTTTGTTTGCTAGCCTCGTGTTTTTTCTATTCCTGTTGTCTCATTATCTAGGAATGCTGAAATGGGCATAATGAATGTGCAACAAACTCTCTAAGGTTTTTGCCAAATGAACGGAACATGGTGATCAGGAGTGTAGTTTAAAAAAAGAATACTTCTATCCAGGGCACGATCACGATCCCACTATGATAGAGTTAAAATTCCATGTCCAATGCAGTACAGAGCAGCAAAAGGCATGTGGTATCATAATTCTCTTTTGTTTTTGTGACCAAACTGTAACTCTAATCGACAAACTCCGTTTTAACGTCCGTCCTTCTAAGTAGTGATGCGGTTCAAAGAAACACTTCGATGTTCACCTCCAGCGTGCTCACCGGGTATTTCAACTCAAACTTTTCCAGAACAGTAGGATGTAAGATACCAAAGGCGCCAATTACATGTTCCTTCCCACCAATGCAAACATGTATTGATGCGGCGTGTCCAGGGAAGTACGTGGGATCTGGGAGCCAGGTAAGCATAAACAAAACAAACAGAATCAGTCAAGTACAACCTTCTAGTTCTTCAATCCAGTATCTCGAACCGCTCATGTCGGGGTTTTCAAGACCTTCTTCGCGGACAATGAATGCACTTTTCAGCATAGCCATTACTCGATCAAGTAGGCCATGTACGATTTCAAAACCACTGGACTTCCCATACCAAGCCGCGGCAAAATGTCTCTCATTTCTGCTCTTACGCTCAAGCGACATATCTTTGAAAGCAACATCGCTTACCTCGAAAATTTTCATGGGTACACTATGGCCCTTATTCTCACGGATAGTTTTCAGAAGGCCGGGTAGTAAACTAGTTCTAACCACTTGAAACTCAATAGTTTTAGGGTTTGCAAGCTTCACGGCTGTATTTCCATCATCTTTGCGGTTGAGCCACGAGAAATTTTCATCGTGCGAACAAAGGATCAATGGCATGACTTCCGACCATCCGGCCATTGCAGCTTCGGTACGGATTATGTCAGTTAGCTTATTCACTGGTAATGGCTGTGCAATGGTTCCAGTTTTGCTAGGGAAGGACCTTGGTAGTTCGTTAAAGCCGTATGCTATAGCGACATCTTCCATAATGTCAGCCTCATGGAGTACATCTGCACGAGTCATGGGTAATTCCACGTCAATAACGTCGGCAGCAGTTTTTGATGGAGTTGCAATATACGCCATCTTTTTCAAAAGGTTACAAATTTCACTCGCAGAGAGATTTAATCCGCAACACTGATTTATGTACGAAATGCTCGCTTGAGTCGGGCGCGGCGCAATGTTTGGGACTTGGCGGGTTTCATTATTGTGTTCGGATACAATTTGGATGGGCTCGATTCTAAGATACGTTTAAGTCAATTCAAGCCAAATGCGTAGGTAAGTATTATGGCCACTCGGGATGGGCTCACGTAAAAGGTTCTGAAGAATATTGAGAGAACATTGCAACCATAATATTGTTCACAATTTCCACTTTTGTCTTATCCGTAGCAGTGATCTCCATGAAAACATTTCGAGTATTTAAGGTGATTTTTGAATGGTCACCGTTAATGATTGGTGGGAGGGAGCACACTACCCTGTTCGAATCGTAGATGACCGGATAAACGGGAGAATCTCGAATGATATGAAGGAATTTGCTTAAATGCTTATCTTTCTGTAACTGTGTTAATTGAATTTGGCGGAGAAAATTTAGATAAAACTCACTTCATAAAATTCCATTAGCTCTTGACCATCCATCGATTTACTCTGATTGAGAGGCACAAAGTTGATGTCCCTGGGTGTAAGTGCTTCATAACTAAAGGGACCCTGCAACGTATCAAGATCATGGGTGCCAATTGAAACTAAAGTCCTTTGTCGTGCAAGGTTTTGATGCAGCTTGTCCTGCAACGCAATGAAAGAATCATAACGGGCTTGGTCAAAATGCACATTTCGCAGCACTGCCCCAGAAACATATGGCCGTATTTTTGCTGTCTATTTCCAATTTTTTTTAGCACACCATTCCAAAAAAGCGAACTTGGAGTATACCCACTTCTGCTTTCACTACGAGGGTCTGTATATCGCCATTGGGCGGCGTTACTAGACGGTAATTAGGTAGTGTAGTCCGGCCACGGAATATATTTAGCATAAGCGAGATGCCTTCGAAACATAGCAGATCGTATCTACTTTGCAATTAGCTATCAAGATATCAAACAAAATTCTGAGCAACACGAACCGATTGGCGGGTATCTCAATTTTCAGCTGAGGAGGCTCTTGAACGCCATTAACAATGGGCCGTTCAGAATTCGAGGTCTGATAGCTGATTAGAAACAGAAATCTAATTCCAGGAGTCATGAAAATACATCTTCGTCCAGCTCAAGGCCTAATTCAGAAAGAATTAGCGACTTGCCTTGTAAGTGCGGGGTACTCTGCAAGCTCACCAAATTCGAAGCACAGCTCGTCAAACTCTTTCGTGGTATACCTAGATAAGAGAAGCTATGTTAGAGGAAAGTAAGCGGCAATCTAAGGACGACCAAACCCTTACTCTTGCCCGAGGGCTTTGAAAAGAGCCGCCTTGTCCACAGATATAGTGGGCATGTTGACGCAGCCAGGATGTCCGCAGCAGAGTAGGGCAGAAGCAAGCGTAATCAAGACTGCAAAAGCCTTCAAGATAGCCTAAAACAACGTAGGTATTTGCAGACAGCGCACAACACCGGCTCAGGACGTTGGATCGCGGCTGTCCGTCCTTTCGAGTCATAGAAAAGCAAACAGCACCGCCACAGGGCCTGCTGCCCCTCCAGCCACAGCGGCGCGCCAATCAAGCGCTGAAGCTCGTCGCAGTGGCCGACCCATCCACTCGATCTCTCTGCCCCCGTCAACATTCAGCGCGGATACACCACCTGCCGTACACCCTCTGCTCTATCCAAATACTAATTCTCTCGGACGAGCTGAATTGCTCTTGGGGACTACTAATTCCTCAATTTGCTGTCTAGTCCCAACCGTGCTCCGTCCTGCTCTAACTCTAACTGTGCTTGTCAATGACCGGTTTTGTGCTTGTCGACCCCACGAGACTCTCTACGATCCTTGTCCAAACACCATCAGTCCCGCACTTTACTAACCTTTTCGCAAGCACGCCTATTGCAGCGCTTGAGGATACTTCTATGACGTGTTTGTTTTAATTTGCTCTTGGATCCCGCCTCTTCACTGGAACGGGCAGCATCCCTCTCAAGTACCATTTTCCTAAAAATTTCGCCTTTCCTACCCCATCGACTTCTTAGGCATTGTTGAATTCCTCGTGGCATCTGAGAAACTATCTACCATGGAAGGCCAGGCAGAAAATGACGAGCTCTACCCCATCGCTGTATTGATCGATGAGCTGAAGGTATCAATGACCCATCATTATGTTCCCCACGTTGAAATAAATGTTCCATATCACTAACTGCTGCCACTTCTAGCATGACGATGTTCTGCTCCGTCTGAACGCTATCCATAGACTCTCCACAATCGCCCTAGCCCTTGGCCCAGAAAGAACGCGCGAAGAATTGATTCCTTTCCTCGACGGTTGGTTCCCGGTTTAAATGTTCTAAAAAGAAATGGCGATATAACTCACCAGTTCCACAGAATCCATAGAAGACGAAGATGAGGTTTTGACTGCTCTTAGCGAAGAGTTGGGCAACTTTGTTGAATATGTCGGGGGTTCAGAGCACGCCCATGTTCTCCTATCCCCTCTTGAAAACCTGGCCGCGATTGAAGAGCCACTAGTAAGGGAAAAGGTACGCTTTGAGAACGTTCTACCGGTGCTCTTATAGGGATTTACTCTAACAAACTCTCCATTAGGCCGTAGAATCCCTCAACAAAATTTGCGAGCAGCTGTCGCCACAGCAAGTCGAGGAACATTTCATACCTCTAACTCTTCGCCTCTCCAAAGTAGAGTGGTTCACCTCTAAGATATCCGCGACTGGCCTATACTGCGCTCCGTACAAGAATGCATCACCCACCCTACAACAAGCCTTGCGGCAGCAATTTGGACCACTTGTTCACGATGATACGCCTATGGTTCGACGTCAAGCCGCAAACAATCTAGCAAAGTTTGTAAAAGGGATGGGAACGACTGAAATTATAGATGAAATGATTCCTTTGTTTCAATATCTCGCAAACGATGATCAAGACAGTGTGCGTTTGCTGACGGTGGATATTTTAATATCAATTGCCGAGGAAATCCCTAAGGAGCAACAATCGAGTCACGGAGTTCTACTTACATCTTTACGAAGCTTATTTGAGGATAAGAGTTGGAGGGTAAGATATATGGTGGCAGATAGATTCGAAAAGGTAATATGAAAATACTATTGGATGGAACACTCCAGTTGACTATTGTTGAAGATCGCAAAAGCAGTGGATGACCAGGTTGTCAACCGCGATTTAGTTCCAGCCTTCGTGAAGCTCCTTAAAGACACGGAAGCCGAGGTTCGAACCGCTATAGCAGGACAAATACCAGGTATCTATCTGCGCGAAGCATGAAATACCGCCGTATCTAAGTGCCTTATAGGTTTCTGTTCTCTGCTTAACCGGGAGACCTTGCTGAATGAGATTATGACTGGTATAGAAGACCTTGTTTCTGATCACTCTCAACATGTTCGTGCAGCGTTAGGTATGCAGATTAGCGGCTTGGCACCTATTTTAGGAAAAGACGAGTATGACTATGATGCCCATTATTCTACTTTATCTTGCCTAACACTTTTTATAGGACAATTCATCACTTACTCCCTATGTTCTTGCATATGCTGAAAGATGAATTCCCGGATGTTCGTCTACACATTATTTCAAAACTGGAAATGGTAAACAAAGGTATGGGGTACTACTATCCCTAACACATATCATACGAGCTAACCGATGTCGTTATAGTCATTGGTATTGAATTACTATCCCAATCACTTCTCCCAGCAATTGTTCAATTAGCCGAAGATAAACAGTGGCGCGTTCGTCTGGCGATCATTGAATATATTCCTTTGTTGGCTAGCCAGCTTGGCGTCAAGTTCTTCGACGAGCAGCTAAACAGCCTTTGTCTAACATGGCTAGGCGATTCCGTCTTCTCGATTCGAGAAGCTGCTACTGAAAACCTCAAAAAGCTAACAGAGGTTTTCGGTATCGACTGGGCGCATGAATCCATTATTCCGAAAGTTGTCGCCATGGGCCAACACCCAAATTATTTATACCGAATGACAACTTGTTTTGCTATCAGCGTATGTTTAAATGCGATATAAGATTTATTTCGCCCAGCTGATTCAATTCTCTAGACTCTCGCACCTGTCATCAATCTCAGAATGATTGAAGGTTCGGTCTTACCAATTCTAGATAGGCTCTCTAACGATGATATCCCCAACATCAGGTTCAATGTTGCGAAATCTTACTGTGTGTTACTTGATATCCTCCAACGGTTACCAGAAGACCGCACCATTAGTGAACTAGAAAAGGAAAAGCTACCTCAGGTTGCCTCACCGCGAAACGAATCTGTGATTGCACAACATATCCTCCCAAACATTGAAAGATTGAAGCAGGACGAGGATGTAGATGTCAGATATTTTGCCTCCATCGCTGCAGCGACAAATCCAGAGAACCTGCACATGTCTTGATCGAGCACGCTGGTTTCCTATCGTATTGGCGGATAGTGGTCCGGAAAAGTGATCTCATTGGAGTGGGGTCTGCCTCTAATTTAGATACAGGCGTGATATTGATGTCAGATTAGAGACGTAACCATTTGCATAGGCAAATTATTTATCCCCTATTCTTTCTTGTTTTCTAACGGAACGTTTGAGATGATACCATGCCGGCAGGTGGCTGTTTATTAGAGAATCTCCATAGCCAAACCGACGTACCATAAACATCGGCTCTTTTGGTATAATGCGAAGGGTAGCTAAGCAGTGGTCACACCGGGGCTGGTATCCAGAAGTTCCGGCTAACTTTACAGTTAACGACGGCGTAACTAGATCTTAGGATGGTCACCACTGTTGTTGTGTCAAAAACCAAGGTACCCATCAGGTGGGATTGACAAACAACTTCCCAGATGATATTATCGTAAAAAACCGTGTCATCATCATCATAAGCCAAAAATTATCTTTTTATTAAATCACGGGGTGCCTACATACCATCTAACCATAATTATAGCTAGTCCTGTCCCATGTGGCTTCTTTGGGGAGCATTTAGAGGTAAAATAGATACATATTGTACTTGATCCATTTTTAGAGAAGGAGGCTTTTGTATGTAGTTAGTTAACTAACTACGCAATTCTGCAATCCGGCTAGCGCTTTGTTAGCTAACGGTGCAAGCAATGCAACTTCTTACTTCAAATGATTTTCCGATGTCCGCCATTATTTAGGGTTTCCTGTGTATAAGTAATAGTTACACTCACTCACTCTACCCAGATACCCAAACTACCCTTTTGAGAGTGAAGAAAATGAACCTCTCTCCCCTCTGGTCATATCATTTCGTCTCCCTTACACAGCCCCAGATTGAGACGCGGCGAGAGTTGCTTGATCTGCGCGGGACCATTGCTCAAGCATCAGCACTGGTTGCTCTAATATGTGTGAGCATATACGGCCGTATGGGAGCGTCGAACTCTTCGGCAGGTTCCAGTAAGGAAAGAACAGAGAGAAGCTGGCTGGATTCCGCACCGGTCAATGGATGGAGGGAGACTAAGAGGCAGTATCTTGCTATGCTGGTTTGGATGGTTTGGATTATGGGTTTATCTGTGTGGAAGACTGGTGATGGTATGTCCTTTTTCTTTTTCCTCTGTAATATTTTTTATTCTACCATACTTGTTATCAAAAGTCAGATACCGGTGAAAAGGCATCAGCGGTTGGCCTCTTTCTTTTCACACTCTATTTTCTTTTCCCTGGTGTGTTAAAATGAGCCATTTATTAAAAAGAGTTCCTGAGCAGATTACCTTCACTTAACGAAATCAGTGGCACATACAGCGATTGCTACCATACCCATCCAGATCCTGGTTTCCCCTAAATTGGCCTCTCGAAACAGCCCCATTTTGCACCTCTTAGGCCTCCCACAATCTGTACTCAGACCGTATCACCGACTCTACGGTAGGCTTATACTTTTTCCGCTGTTAATATCGCACGCCATTCTATATACAACATTCTTCATTCGCAAATCTCTATTTTCTAAACGCATCAATGACACAGATGTGCAGTGGGGTGCTACTGGGGTTATCTTAGTTTTGGGACTTTGGTCCTTAGGATCCGGAACAAAGCACTTGAAAAGGAAATACTTTTATCTTACACATGTGACCATGGTGCTGGGGTTGTTGGGCATTATTTTTTTTCATGTTGTTTACGTGAGGAAGTATGTTCTGGAAGCAATAGGACTCTATATATTTGATCTATGTTGCTACGCAGTGGAGAAGTTTGGGACTAAGCAGCGGAAAGCATTGAATTTTATAGGAAAGAAAGATAGGGGTTAACGATATGAAGACTTTTCAATTTTTAGCAAATTTTCTGCGAATTAAGTCCGCCAAATGCAACACATAAAACAAATAACTATCTCCAGGCGCATACAAGAATTCGGGATTATGAAGTCTAACAAAATACGCCTTAACTGGGAAGATAATAGGTAGGGTGCAGGCCATAGAGGCTTCCATTACTGCTACATACCGCCACCACATTATGCTAAGGAATAAGGGTATCAGTATATTTTTTAAACAAAATGGTGATATGAAAACCAGAAAAACAGAGTAAGCTAGGATATTCAATACCGAAATGATTATTCGCCCTCCTCTTTCGAAATATCTCTTAATGCGCGATCAAGGAATTCGCAATGATGCCGATGAAGCCTTTCAAGCTGGTCCAGCGGGTTCTAGAAAACTCCAGTATAAGTATGTTGCTCTAAGGAAAGTCGCAAAAATATCAACCGTATAACGCACCCATTCCTCCTGTTTAGTCACACTTTCAGTATCTTGTATACTTCCCTTTTGGTCAGAGTCCTTTTCAAAATAACTCCCTCTTCTGATAGGAGCAGGAGTAACCGGGAGGCTTGGTCGTTCAACCTCAGTAGGAAAATCGGTTAGTCTCAAACTTGGTCTCCTCCCGCGAGAAACCGATGATCCTGGGGACCAGCTTCTGTCGGAGCCTGCAAGAAGCTGCACATTTTTCCGGCGCGGTTTTTGGAGAGATCGCATATATTGCTCGATTCCAGGAACTTCGTCCCAGGCGTTGGTCCGAGCATATGAATCCCAAGTGCTTGAAAGAGCTTGGGTAGGCGTTGGTTCGGTATGTATGGAAGATGTGATGTCGATGTCTATTGGTGTAGTCGAGTCTGGCTTAGTTTCTGTAGGGACATCCCCAGTGTCATGAAGAAACACCCGAGACGGAGCTCGAATCTGGCTTTCCCAAGGGAACAGGTGAGGCAAAGTGGACGAAGGAGCAACCTTTGGTGGTACCTTATAATACATATCTGTAGGTGCTTCAGGGTAAGTCTCTGGGGGCTGAAATAGCTTTGTGCTTTTGGACATTGTATATGTTTGAGTTGGAAAATTGGCTGCCTCTGGCTTGGAGTCGGCTGGTGGTGGAGCGCTAAACACAGTACTTAGAAAAGCCGATGTAGAACTTCGATATCAACAGCTTACCGTGAAGCATCCCATACATGCATTGGGGGATGAAAAATACGCGACGTTTGTGTAATAGTATTTTCAAGATCTTCTTTTTTTGCATCAGTGGATTCAATGGGGCAGTTGGCTTCTAAAGCAGGTGGAGGTTCAACATCGGATAGGAGGTGTTCTTTTGAGGATAGAGCAACGGGAATCAGGGAACAGGCAGGTCTTTTTGAGGCAAAGTCGCCAGTTTTAACAGGAAGATTAATGGTCAATATAGGGCGATGAACAACAGTATGTCTTTCACCGTGCACATATTGCGGAACGACACTCAAGGGCAGTTCAGGAGCGTAGAGATGATCTTGGGTAACGGGAGACTGCAAGTCCTCGTTGAGAATGGAAGTAGTCTCTGAAGCTGATTCTGACGATTCATTTGGTAACGCAGGACTTGCAACATACGCATGCTCACCTGGTTGGAAAGTTAATGGCTTCTGAATAGTGAAAGCTGGTATGGTGGACCGGCATTCAGGCTGCAATTTCTCTGCTGCGGCTTGAGATTCTGGCGCTGGCGGCTTAGAAATAGTAACTGCGGGCACAAAAGTCAATTGTCCAGAAATATTGGAGTTTTTATGTATGGAGCGCTGGTTTGTCGTGTGCTTACTCGACGGCTGTAGTGCTGTGGGTTTGACCTAACACACATTATAAGCTAAGTCCCAATTTTCCGTACATCCAATAGTTATCATACCACTGAAGACACCGGGCGATAATGACGATCGTATACTGCCCACCATCTCGCAAGTAGTTGACTATAAGGGCCTTCCACGGGGTATGTTTGTCTGGGCATGGTCCACGGCTTTTGCTGTCCGATGTAGTGCACTAAACTGATAGTGCTTTGAAAATGCCGGAACGCTGGAATATACTGATAATGCCCACTAGGCGTGCAGTTATAGGCAAAGCTCAACCTTTGCCAATTCTTAAAATGCATGTTCAAGAGACCTTGATCTGCACCATCAAAGCTGATGCCCCTCTGTGCAAATGCAAGCAGGGAGTAGTAGTCCTGCAAATTTGGTCGAAACACCATCACACCAGAATTGAAGCAGTCTGGCCATCCAATGTCTGGGGCTGCAGCGAAGTGGGTATCGAGAGTAAGCAATTCATCTGGAGCTCGTAGTGCTACAATATCGGCATCGATATAGACAATCTGCCGATATTGAACCTGTTTCCAGAGCTCGATTTTCGTAAATGTGGATATAAGATCAGGCCGGTCCATCAAATAAAGGTTGGCTGGAGACACGTTGACCACCCGAGTAACCGGAATTACTTCATCATAAACAGACTAAACCGAGGCGTTAGGCATGATTCTCACGTGTTAGGCAATGCAGGAGGTTACTCAGTACCTTCAGCTCCTGGATGGTCGATACTTCCAGTGTCTCTAAGGTGACAAGAACCACAATCTTTGCTTTGGTGCCATTGTCTCGAAGGGAATGGGCAAGTACCATAGCACCTATGATCTTTAGCATGTAGGTACTGGAACAAAACACACCGCAAACTGGTACGCACCTGGGAGATAGTTGTCACTCATTAAGAGCTGGAAAAACAATTAGTGGTATAGCTTTTTGCCTGAGAGTTTGAGCAGCCTACCGTACAGTAAACAGCCTCCCTATTGTCCGCCATGGCAAACAACCTAAGGCAGCGTTGTTCCTTTCAGCCGAGGGTTAACGTTGAAACTAGGTGCAGGTACAGAGTAGCCAGTATTGAACGTGAACCAGAAAACTCACGTTATAGGAAGCTCCAACGCCAGGTACCGGAATTGGCGGGCGTTGCCGCGCAGGTTGACAGGACCGGGTGACAGTTGATGGGTGTGGTTACATATATGTTTGTGTGTTCGCGGACCGGCCAACCGCGGGAATCACCTGTGTAATCTCTGTCTCGCCCAAGAAGAATATGGCTTGAAGAGTCGTGGCTATATACTCCGTGCTAGTTACCACGGATCAAATAATAATATTAACGAGTCGCCGCTGGCGCAAGTACGCGAAAGTTGAAGGTCGCGTGCGGGATGTTACTTGAAGGTCTTGGAAAGCCGTGAGAGCGCGATTCTTCCCCAAACAGGAATCGGAGCGCAACAACCAACTTCACAAACAAAATACGCGATATATCATAATCCCCGAGCTTGAAAGCCACATTTCTTGGGATGACCATATAATGGTGTTCGAAGCTTTGATGGTTTAGAGCCCTCCCGTCGATCAAACTAGAAACTTTGAGCGCCAAACTGAGAAATAGTTAACTAAGCCAGCAACTAACTAGTTAGTTCGAGGGTATCCAACCAAGGCACGGCGATTTCTGTGCTATTTTTGCCGCAAGTGAGCAGCCTCCGGCTTTTGGGGCTAGGTGTGTTGAAAATCAAATAACTAGTTGTTGATGTTCTACAAGTGAGACCTAACGAGAGCTTGTCTCCCTGAGAATGCTTGTCTCCGCAAGCTAGTCAAGATTCCAATTCTTCATAGAAAACGGAGGGCTCCAAACAGCGAGGTCGTTAGTTATGACTGATTGGGTGAAAGATGGACTTGCGATGGTTTTAAAAAATCAAGTTAGATAGAGCAATTTAGCGCGGCATTTAACCAGTTACTATCTTCAAAAAGAGGTGAGGCAAAGAATCTAGGTGGGCGAAAGGCATCTCTTTCGATGATGTACTCCGTACGGAGTACGGAGTACGGAGTACAGAAAATATATTTTCCACCCCATTAAACTGTGGAAATAAAGTTAAAGAGTTCTCCCTAAACAAAAGCGAGCTTAGACATAAGGGCTAAAAATAGCTTGAGACAATGAGACGACATTCTCCCTACTACTCTCCGTATTTGTGCCAAACCCTAGGTAGGTTGAAGGAATGGCCAAAGCAACCAAACCTGCATTAGAAATTGTCATAACATTACTTCTAGTGTCATTACATCAATTCAGAATGCACAAGGTAAGAGGCTTGAAACTGGCCTAACTCATGTGAACGTCTAACTGGTTCAAGGATATGTATGAGATATGTAACTAACTATGGCCTTGCTAATTTTCTAAGGGGTTAAAATACTAGCCTCGTGTCCAATGCCTTGACCTGCTGGGTAGTGAGTGTACACCGTGCGATGTTCCAGCTGCTAGTTCGAAGGCTGAGGGGAACTGATGTTAGCCAGCCAGTCAGTTTTTACAAAGCACTACGGAGTAGGCAAAGTAAAAACTCGTACACTCTTTGACATGGGTTGTTGAGGGGGTGCAAATGATGAGTTTGGAATGGCAGCTGGAACTATAACTTGGGAGGATAGTTGCTGGCCATAACCCTAGGTTAAAATGAGTGTAAGCCTAAGGGATAGACAGTTCTCAAGTTGGAAGGTAATAATACCTCAACCCAGTACGGCCTCCAGAAATCAATATCCTGATGATTAACAACCTTTCCGTCCTGGATCCATTTAAATGGTCCTGGGAGCTCCTTTTTATGATACAGGTTGATGGCAGTCTGGAGGTTTAGCTTTTGTGGCTCTTGAGTGGCAGAATCGTCGATCATGGCCTGCAACTCTGCAATACGGCCTGGCACATCCCACTGGATGGGGTTGGGGAATGTAGGCAGCGGATTGAAAGGCCGTGACATAGCTTCTGCGATGGATGAGGTAGTAATAGATTAAAAAGAGAAAGCTGCTTGCGGTCGTTGGATGAGCGAGTAGGGTTAACCAAAGTGGGGGAAACTACGAAGCACATGACCTCATAGTTATGGGTTAACTAGTTAAGTAGTTAACTACTCCATAGTGGTTAACTACACAATTTGGGAAGGCCGTATCCTGAGAAATGCAGCTCCAACAAGCGCAACTAGGTTATTTCTGCAGCACAAGTTTGGCATCAGGGTACTCTGAGCGAACCATTGATGCAATATCTCCCTTTTCACCACGAACAGCCCACTCTACAACCTTTTCAAGGGCCGCCCTGCTTTCAACCTCAACTTGCGGGAAGTGGCCACTTCTCGGAAGCACGATCAATTGGCTTCCGTGAACAAGGTAGTCGGCAATACCTTCTAATGCTAAGTGAGTGTCAATCGCAACGTCCGTTTTGCCCCACAGAATTGTTGCATTGGCTCTCAACGATCCTCGATCTAGGTCAAATACCCCAGTTCCGCTGCTTGTTCTTCGGGGCTCCTCAGTTCCAATGTTGAAGAGAGATGATATAGTCTCTAGACTCTTATGCCAGATCCCTGCTGCTGCACCATCACGATAATATGACGCAAGATCACCAAAATTCCCATATTTTTCGCGTTGAAGAACAGAAGATGGGTAAGTTTCGTTGTTTTCTGTTTGAGTTTCGTACTCTTTTTTACCTGGACCGAGCGTACTTGCCATAGACTCTTGGGCGTCACGGATAGTAAATTGGTCTGCTGTCCCCACACTGATCTTATGGACTGCCTTTAAGAAGGAGTAGTTCCCCCCTGTTCCCATGTAGCGTACAAAAGGCATTGGGAGCTGAAAAGCGAATATATAGCCAGAGAGCCAAAGTTGACGAAGCACAGGCATCCAAGTCCTGATCGACTTCAACAAAAGGAATCTCGAGCGCCAGGGTTCGCGGATAAATGTCTTGAACATCTTGGCTGAAGATTCCGTCAGCAGATGCATATTTGACTTCATTAAGGAGACCTGTCTCAGGGTCAGTAAACGAACAGCATGTGACTAAAAGCTAAAGCATACCAAAGGTCCGTTGATCATGATAAACCTGTCTGCAAGTTGGGGAGCTTCTGAAGCCAAACGAAATGCTAAAACTGCACCCCAGTCATGTGTTACAAGAATCACTTTTCTTTGATGGTTCCCTTGCTCAGTATCCACGCCACATTTCTCTCGAATGGCTAGAATAAATTCGGTCAACGCCTCCAACACCTCTGTTGCTCCGTATTTCTCCAAAGAATCGCTTCCACCGTATCCCGGCAGATCGGCTGCTACCACGGTACTTGATTCTCGTATCGAGGAGGAAGAAAGGACATGCCGCCATATTGCCCAGCTATCAGGAAAGCCGTGCAAGAAAATAACAAGAGGTTTACCAGAGGCTCGGTGGGCAATCCTTTCTCGCCCGTCGTTTGTAACATAGTGGATTTTGAATCCATTCTTTAATGTAATGAATCCGTGCGACAGGCCGGTCCACTGCTTCGAAAGGTTCCAGAACCTATCCCTAGCTGTGGTACCTACGTATCAGTACTTGAATTCATGTAGAATCGCCACACGTGATAGTTTGGGCGGGCGTGCTTTGTTGAAGTCCAGCTTACCTAGAACGAGTTCGAGCTTCTCTCTTTCTGTTAAGCTCTTGAAGAACGTCCCCTTAATAACCGCAATAATACTATAAAGTATGAGTGTAAAGAGTCCGTAGAGTAGAGTCAAAGCTAGACCCCAGTACTCAAAGAGAAACATCATTATGGGTAGGGAAATCGAAAAGAAGGATTAGGCGGAAGTAGTTTAGGGTCTGAAGGTTAGGAAGGAGGGAAAGAGAGCGCTCTTGGGGGCAGGGGGGCTTGGGGATGAGGGTTAGGGGGGAAGAAAGAGGAGGGTTAAGGTCAATAGGAGTTCAGCTCAAGCCTGTCCGATAGCTCCCTCCGTATCCAAACTCATGATCATCCAGTTTAAAGAGAAAATAACCTAAGCCACAGATCCAGGTGGCATAAAACGGCTCTGTCATATCTCAATGATCGCACAGGATCGCTCAAGCGATGGGAGTGCCTATCATAAATACGGGAAAGCCCGCTGCCGTCGACGTCGTTGTCTGACCCTTGTGCTGAACGTTGACGCTGCTGGTTTCAAAAACAAAGATCGTCAAGAATATCCTGAAAATTCCAGTGTGCAGGCCTAGGGTGAAGGTGTCAGTGGTTGACAGGATGCACAAGGACGCTGGTTTGTGGGAGCTGATGTCATGGCCGAACCTAGTTGCGGTCTGACCTTCGCCATGCTGGTGTCGGGGATCATGGATTGATCGCATTCAAGGGAGGGCTTGCTCTCGTTGATTCCATTGGACCGGGTTTCGCGGGGCTCTTAACAATTAAACCTATTAGTTTTCGAGTACTCCGTAAGGAGTACTTATTGTCATACGGAATATTAATACTGTACCTCATACTGCCCTGAATATTGTATGCTTGCGCTTTCAAAGGCGACTTTTCTCATTATTGTTATTAGTATCATCTATTCGTATTAAAAACGCCCAGCTGAAGACGGGCTGGATGTGCGGTCCTATGTACAGTATATTTCAACAAGTCATTTAGAGCTTCTCCCATTTTCCTGTTTCGGTGTTATTCGCAACCTCTGGTTTCACAACCTTGCCGCCCTTGAGCCAACCATTGCCGACAACACCGCCGGCGGGGAGACCGGCAGTGCCCCGATCCAAACAATTAGCGCCCTCTTTCACTGTGAAGTTGGCCAAAGTCACCTCAAGGGGGTTGCGCTTTCGAATATCAGGTATGCCAAAAAACTTGGCCTGCACTTCCTGTGGGGTAACATGAAGTTCGAAGTATCCACGATAGTACATTTCAGACCACTGTAGGACATCGTTGTCATTGACAGCCGATTTGGACTTTTTAATGGAGCCATCGATTTTGATATTTGCCCCTCCTGCAGAGCGGGATGTGACGGCGGAGCCAGCAAACTCAACGCCAACGGCTCCAGCTCCGGTTTTTGGATCATAATTTCCATGGTCTTGCCAATGTAAATCACTCACCCAGTTAGCATGGGAATCCCCCGCAATCATGATGGTGTTTTTAATTTTGTTATTGTAAATTGTTTCAAAAGTGCGGTTTCGATTCGCTCTGTAGCCATCCCAAGCATCCAAGTTGAAAGATGAGAAGAGACCAAATGCAGAGCGCAAATTCATGTGTGAGAATACTAATGTTTTTGTTAGTTTGTGCAGTCGAAGTAAAGAAAATATATTCGTACCTAATTGACTGCCCACAATTCTCCACGTAGCACCGCGGTCGGCAGATTTTTTCAAATTACGGTAAAACCAGTTCTCTTGTCGGGACCCCATCAGAGTGCGGCTAGCATCGTCTTTCAATTTCTGAACATAAAAGTGGTTCAAATACAGCTCCGTAATGGAGCGGTCGTAGTTCCTAGTGTCAAGCATCATGATATCGATGAGCTGGCCGACCTGGAAGTTTCTCCAAATGCGAAGGTTATCATCCATGTCCACTTGTCTATTTAAAAAATTCTTAGCATCTTATATGAAAAGAGTAGGGTTTTATCTTCATAGCGTACCGAATCGGCATCCACTCGAAGTATGCGCGCACAGCATTCATTTTTCGTTGATCAACGGAAACACCGCCTGATGCAAGGAAAGACAGCTCGTGATTTCCCAAAGCAGATGAACCGTCACGATAAGCATTATCAGCGACCTCTAAATTTTGTAGGGTTAAATTAGAGCCCAAGAGAAATAAATACAGTTGATGACTTTTTACTTACCGTGATCATCCCAAACTGGGATCCAGGCAAAATTCTGGTGGCTAGCAAGGAGATCTAAATCAGTGCGGTAAGAGCCATGGCGTGTTCGGTAATGGTTGAGAGTATAGATGATGCGATTTGGCTGGGGCACCCGTCCAATTGCTTTGCCGGATCCGCTTTCCTAAGTATTAGCATTTGGCATTCTTTCTGCTTGCAGCTCTGGACTCACTAAAAGCCGTCTCCAAATTCATAAATGTAATCACTGTATGGATTTTGGGATTAGCAAGACTCTAGCTTCATATTGCACTGAGAATAATCTTACCCAAGGTGGAGAACATAGTCTACTGAGTCTTTTCGCACAGTATTTCCGTACGCATTAAAGAAGCCGGCCGCTAGAAATCAAATCAACATTATTATTCTGGGAATATGCTCTCAGGATGTCATACGATAGTTTGCACACGAGTAAACAGCCAACTTAACACTGTCAACTTTCTGGGATGGATCTGGAAGGGTTTTGGTGCGGCCGAGAGGGCTCTTTTTATCCGAATTACAGATGGAAAATTGATAGTAATATGTTGTGAATGGGTGCAGATTTGAAGCTTCCACCTACCATGCAATTGTCAGTGTACTCTTTCTAAGACTTGAAGGAAAGCATTCGATAATCACCTTAAGAGTATAATCAATATCGGACCCCGTGTAAGCAATTCCTTCATCGGCTACTTGAGTTAAGGCCTTGTCCGTTGCGATTTTCCACTGAATGCACACCGGCGCCTTTGATCCCGGCTGTTGTTTCTCTGAACTTTTATGGGCCTTGGGACGGCCAAACAATGGACTGAAGCCAGTAACGGCACTGGTATCAGTTGAACTTTCAGTCGTTGGGGCGCATCTTGTCCAGAGAATGACCGAATTTGCCCACGGGTCACCGGAGGCCACGCCATGGGTGAAACTTAGCTTGGATGGATCGAAAAGAGCATTAGAATTTGATCTCTTGATGACTTTGTTTAATGCGATTCCTAGGTCTGGATGGTTGAGCGAAGGACTTCGGTAGTTCAGATTTGCAGTGTAAGATGCTGAGGCACTGGCGGCACACAAGGCCAGGAGAGACGTGTGGTATTTCATTGTTGACCGCACCCCAGGAAAACTGAACGGACGGGTTTTGGCGTCGACAAGGCTGGTCTCCGCAGACCAGCAAGATATGGACCGGCCATTGCGTACTTATATGTGCTCTGTTCTCCAGTTCCAAAGTATGTTTACAGCTTCAAGCCTTCTAGCGCGGAAGCCGAGAGCGTCCGCGCTATGGAAAAAGCCATGAGCGACTAGGCGCTTTTCCAATAATAATCATCATGCGGGTTGAGGGATCAGTAGTGGGATAGTACAACACGGAGCAAATAGTAAGGGAATTCAAAGACAATTGCATGTGCACAAGGTTTCCGAACACGCTCCAACTGGTTTAATTTCTGATCGAGGGCACCCCAGACCCACGAGGTGAGCTGCTCAAGGTTCGAAGTTGGGCAAATCGGGCCGGAGTGCCCATGGAGCTTCGTACTTGTTAGGCGGGTGCTGCGCTTGAATGGACAGCCCTCCCCTTTTTTGCCTCGGCGCTTCGCTGGTTTCTGGAAGCATACGAACCCGCGAAACGCCCTAGATAGATTGTTTCCAGCACTGGGATGATTCCCGCCGCGAAAAACGCCTCCACACGTGCCGCAGGGATTGCAAATTGAGGCCTGTCAGTGGCCATGGCCGACGCTGGGCTTCCATGTGATAGCGGCGCTCGACTTCAAGGTTGGCGATGGATCCCGCTCCTCCGTAGTCAGGATCGCGAAAGCGGGCAGGAAGATTACCTGGAATCCGAGTTGGCCCCATGATTGACTAGGAGACCCATTTCCCGCGGACGGGCTGCGACTCACGACAAGAGTTGGGCCTTGCGGCTCGTTTCATAATCTCAGTGATACCCCGGTGGCAGTGACTGTGCGATGCCCACGGCGATTATTTCGAAATCATGATAGTCGCGTATCCATGGCTCACGCGTCGAAGATCACCGGGTTAATATTTTTTAGTCTGCCTTGCCTTTCCCCCGCTTTTCCGTGACATGCCGGACTGGATGACCTGGTGGGGAGCCGATGCTCAATAGTCGATGGAGCCACAGGCCATGGCATTGATTTTGCGCTCAAGAAGGCGACCTGTGCTGGCCCGGAGGCGAACTCCCCACAAAGGCCGTGGCCGCGTAACTACGTCTCTACCCCGTACTCGTTTTGGGCCGTCTGTGCGAGCCTGGCGCGGCACACGAAAGCTTGCCCTGGCGCATCATAGTTTATCCGGGTCCGGTGTTGCACGCGACTGATATCAGGCCGGACGAGAAAATGCTTACGAACAGCTTACGGAGGTCTTCCTGCAGGTTATTATTTGGGTTACCTTAATAATCCCTTAGCGAAGATGTGCGGTCCTCTAATATCACCTACATTCGCCATGTCACAGATCCACAGCTACTGCCCAGCGTCAGGCCCGGCTTGAAGATCATTTTCTGTACTTTGTACACTCTGGTCTGAAAAATATCTACCAAAAAGATACTACAGGAATGAAATCGGCTTTTCAAATTATCACTCTTCTTGGTTTCTAGCCATATTGAATACATTAGCAAATGCTTGTTCTATGTCAACACTCAAGACGTTACCTCCCACATTTCGTCGTGTCTTGTATACAACCCAGAACAGGTTTTCAAGGCAATAGTAACGCGTCTCTAAAGAAGCAGCTTACTTGAATGAATCATGAGGATACTACGAATTACAGAAAATACCACTTTAGGAATTTGAAGGACAACGCGCTCGCATTAAAGGCAGTTCTTCAACCGCTCGTGGAGCACTTCAAGTGACCCTAAAATCCCCGGTATATTCGTGACTCCGACATTTGCATGTGCAAAAATGGTTCTTAATTGATGCCGACCGTGCTTCCAGTATGATGGTGATTGGAGCCGTACCTTGAGAGAGTGGGGTATGTACCTGGCCCATATCCTGTCGGTACCACACTTGCTGCCACTTACGTTCAGCGGATTACTACTCCTTTACAAGGTACTAAGCTGTGCAGGATGTGGAGGTATTGTTATTATTAATATCCCGGCTATCGTTCATACTCCTTTTTATTGAGAATAATATGCCTGGTGGAGGCCATATCATCTGGAGCAAGAATTTTCATAGTATGTTTTTTGGTGACTCGTTCCTTTTATACAACTTTGGAGTTTTTGGAATGCCTCGGACAGTTTTGATGGATATACTACCCGCTCTTATGTACTTCATATAGTCTTGTACCATTAAGGATAGCTTCTGGGATGGGAGGCGTCGAACAGGACTTGGAAATTCAATACCAGCTGATTTATCACATACCTGCCGAAACCAAAGCGCGCCATATACACTCCTCGCCGAGAGGCGACTATACCAACAGAACTTTTCTTCGTTTGGCAGCCCGCTGACATATACGTAGAATGAATACTCGTCCAGTCACGGTGACGATCGTGGAACGTGACAATAAGGGAAATATTAAGATGTTTGAAGAAGGGATGTCACCTCTCGGCAGCAAATTCAAGTAAAATGTCTGTGATAATGCTGACCATGGCTTTGAGAGTTTGGCGAGCCAAGAAACAGAAAAATTGTTTCGACAAGTCCCGGGCCGTCCCTAGACCACGGGCCTATAAAAAAGAAATCTAAAAGGATGAGACGAAAATTGAACTGATAATCAGCTCTGGGAATTTATAATAGTCTAGTCATATATACTAGAAAAATAGATAGGATAGATAGAACAATGCTATATCTATGCACGATCAAAAACGCGCCACGCCATGTACGCCAGATACATGCTTCATTACAAATAGGAGGGTAATAATCTGGTCCAGTTGTCCCGAACGCTCCATAAGTGAAAAGAAAGCATAAAAATGCCCAAAAAATGCCACATGCAATGTCTGGTTCAATCAGGACGAAGGCAACGAAAATCCTATATTGTCACGATTATCGTCGACGACTCTCCCATACCTAGTATAGGTTAGCATTGAATCAAGCGAAGTACAAGGTTGGGCGAGGGAAAAACTCACTCTAACAACAACCGGAAAAACCAAACCTCAAGGGCCTCGTTCTTCAGAGATTTTTTGGCCCACTCACTGCTCTCTTTGGCGATGGTTTGGGCGTGTTGCTGCCCTTCTTCCTCCTCGGAAAAATACCGCACACTTTCGATATGCTCAGTGCCTTTCAGGCTCAACGGGACATAGTGCACCCAAGGCTGTATCCATTCACTGTGCCATTCACGGAAGACAGCGATTTTATAGATCAGGCTATTGCTTTTCAAGAACGCATAGTAGCGTCCACTAAAGGCATTTCCATCAATATCCACGAGGTATTTGTAAGCCCAGGCATCTTGCTGGCCCGAAGGTTCGACGATATCGAAGAACCCTCTTTGAGCTTCACAGTCTTCAGGGTCGCACTGGCCAACGTGGCTGAAGTTTACATTGAGTAGGGGCCTGAAAGTAGCCCGCTTGACTGTTTTCGCAAGCCACTTCCCTTCGTTTTTTTCCAAGACCTTAACATCATCCAATGCATTTAAGCCCTTCACGAACAGCTGGCGATGCTGACGCCTCCAGCCACCCGCCCTTGAAAGCCCACCAGTCGTCGAACCACGCCAAAACAATTGATTTTTCTTTGACTTCCATTTGTAGTCCTTGCTGCTTTCGTATGTGACGTTTCCGGCCCAATACCAAGGGCTAGGATAGAGAATGTCTTGAAAGCTTGATACTTTGCTCTCAGAGAAAATGGGAAATAGGTCGCGGACGACATTAACCGCGTTAGGCCGCTCAAACATTCCAAATGTTTCTTTAAGAGAGGGCGAGAGGCAGATATCGGAAAATGCCGTCGTATTGTAGATAAAACCTAGGTCGCTGAATGAATAGGCCCCAATATTATCCACGCCGTTGTCATTTAATGCCCTTGCTGGAGAGTCCACTGGACATGAGCTTCGCGAGGTGGTCCAAGTAGGCTGGTGTGCAAACGCATTGAACCTTGTAATCCTGAACTCCTCAAATCGATCGCCTTTATTCAAGTCAGTCGGGCGAGTCCAAGATTTTTCCAGCGATTTATTGCCTCTATCCGAAACGATGCCACGGAGCGCACTCGAAACTAATCTGTTAAGGTCATCGCTTGGTATAACTACCCGAGGTTCGTCGTGCGTATTGAAAGCCAAATCCATGTCTGGAAGATATTCCACAAACGGCTTCATCATCCCCATCAAAGCCTTTCTCTTCCAAAAATTATTATCCCCTCCACCATTAGCGAGGCTAACTTTTCCATCCCTAATTAAAACCCCGATAAGAGCATTATCATACCCTAAGGCCTCTTTGGCTCGAGCACGTATAATCTTCGGCTGCAAGCCCCAGAAAGGCAGCAAAGAATGGTAGATAGAATCATATTCATCAGTCAATTCAATTCCCCTCGATTTCGCAAATTTGAACCATATATCGAAATTGGGTGGAGGGGGTAACTTGTATCGGCGCTCGTATTCCTTCACGGCCTCTTCGAGAGTTTTGGATTGGCGTGATCGCACATGACTCCAGGCGGACCGGGAATTGCCCAGTAGCTGAGCAATCGGATGGGTCTCGTGCGTTGGGGTGGAAGGAATTTGCTCCTGGCCTGCGGGCCCCGAGGGTCCCTCATGCGCGTGTTCAGGTACCGGGATAAATTGGACGGAGGTGTTGTTGGTTACGAAAAGGGCGACTCCGATAAGGGAGGCGAGTCCCAAAAGCCGTAGGGCTCGGTGAAATCGCATTCCAGACGATGAGCTCATCTGTCAATCTGCAACATGCTCCGTCAGATCGGCTACCTGTAGCAGAAGGTCGCCAACTCGATTGTCAGGTTTTCCGGCCATTCCTGATTTCATCTCGCATTTTCATACGCAAGGCCAATCGAAATATTGCTGCTTATATAAGCAATGGCATTTCGCTACCAGGGGCAAATTTGTGTCATCATGTCGGGTTCTGCACGCTTTCACGAAAGTTGTCAATTAGATATGGTTGCGGGTGCTCCCTTCTGAATGCCAGTAGAGCTCCAGGAGCCGCTCGATGAATTCAGCCTCAGCTCCTTCAGCCCCCATATGGGAGCACGGCGAAGGCGAGTTGCGTCCATACATATAACTCCGAGGATAACCCTGACCTACTTGGTAAATACAAACCTGTGCTACGAATCGATTTCCACTCCCGCCCGCAGGCGGCAAGCATGGCGCTCTTGTGGGAGTAGTATGAATATTCGGCCCTCGTGAGTAGTGTGGGACCAAAGTACGGAGTAAAGCTCCAAGCTCGGAGCACCGCTACGGGCAAGAGTCCCGTGGCCGAGAATCAAGATCCCTGTGATCCACAAGCGGCTCATCAGAGCCACAGCGATCACTCTTCCTTCTTGAATAAGGCCTTTGCCGGCCAGCACAAGTGTTTCTTCTCCAGCATGATTCAGTCGATGGGTATCGGGGTCGGATCAACAATGACCCGCATGATATGATTCCTCATTAGCCTGAATGGCGTGCTTGTTAGCGCGGATTGCGTGCTTGGACCCACCCCCCACTAAAGTTAGTATATCAAGCAGAAGGGTTCCTGGCGGTTTTGAAATTCCATTTTCTGAACAGCACACACTCAGACCTTACTTTCAAAGGATCATGTTTTTATTTTATTGAAGAGTGGAGTGCACATGGACATCTCAGCATAAATAACAGAAAGCGCCTATCAATTCGCAATGCCAAACTCAAGACTCGCTCGCTCTTGCTGCACAGCAGAGCGAAAAAACAAGTGTCATAACTCATGAGGACTCAGTTTACCCTAGAGATCCTCCCGTTGAGGGGACAAAATCTACCCTAGTCTTCTCACAACTTCTGCCCTGCTCGTGAAAAGAATGTGCACTGCTTAATATGATGTGACTTGCCTGTTCGCTCATCAAACAGAGAACACCCAAAGTGTGCTGCGTTGGGCGGTGTATACACTTTTGATGATTAGCCAAACACTAACTCAAACAGGAAACAAGCACTGCAACTTACAATGAAGCGAGATGGCATAGTCTTCAGGATCAGGATTTGTGATTCTGTGCAGGCCAAGCTAACCCAAAGGAATCAGTGTTGTCCTTGGCCTTGACGATGAGTTTACTTACCTGGTCGGACATATAGGTGACTTGGTTTTCGCTATACGTCCTCTCCCTCGTTACCTTCATTGGTCCAGCCTCACCGTTCGCAACCTGGTCCTCGTCGGGCCAGGCATATAGCGTCTCCTTGAGGTTTCCCTTCAAAATCTACAGTGGAAGGGATCAACTGGTGTTCGATAACAAGGGCATTACCTTATCCTACCTTCATGACGCAGTGGGCGTTGGCATGGTCGTGGATAGGGCTACTCTTTCCAGGACTCCACACAAGGATGAGCTGTGAGTCGGTGTCAGCGATAGCTCGCTTCAGGCGAAAGGGATAGACGCACCAAATTACTCTTGCCGTTTCCTTCGTCGACGAGGTTTCTCGTGTACGCTCGGCTCGGGTCAGCCAACGCATAGTGCATCCACTCCTTGGGATCGGAAATGTATCCCTCCATCAACTGCTGAATGTCCATGGGGTCTACATCATCCGAGTCGAGGCCGGAACTAGGTCCGAGGATGTCGCTGAGCTCTTGGACCAACTTGTGGAACTCGTCAGAGGGGCGTTTGCTGTTGTTGACGACGGGTGCCAACTCGGTGGTTTCGTTGTTGTCGAGGAACGGCATGTTGAAGCGGGGTTCTCGGGTGAAGGATAATAGGGAGGAACTTAAAGGCAGCGAGGCTACAGAGATGAATGTTCTTGTCGAGAACGATGCGGCGGCTCTAGGAATGAAAGATGAGGTTAAACGGTTGTCGGTGACGCTTTCATAGGGGAGAGCGCTGGAGAGATTGTTGGGTTTCAGGTTGTTGCGGAGTAGTCTTGGGTGTGATTCGCAACGTTTCGCTTTGACAAACAAAACGATTTTCCCGCCACGAGACTCCTTCCGCTTATTGCTCGTCAAGTCATCCGATTTTCGGGTACCTCATTAGCCTATTACGTAATAGTCTGTGTAGTTAGTGCCAGTTGTCCTCACCGCATTTCCTGCTGTATCGGAAAAATATATTGCCGTTATCAAACCTTAAATTTTGCTGTCCAAACCCCACAACCGTAAGTAGGCCTTTGGCGCTTTGGAATTGCGCATTGCTCTAAACACGATAGTTTACGCGCGGGCAGGGACTTGAAGCTGCCGCCTTTTGCTGTATCTGCTATTTTGAGCTCGATACTGACTGAGAGCCAAAGTAACAGCCATGGCGACCACCGTCGACAAGGTCTGGCGCCCCTCACATATTTAAATGACATTCTTCAATATTATAATTCGAAATGCTAACAGTGTCTTGGTGTATAGATTAAAGAGATCGAGTCTGAGGTCGGCGATTCCTGTTCTCTGAGCGTCCCTGGGACCTAACTTTCTCGCAGATGGCTCGAACTCAGAAGAACAAAGCTACATCGTTCCACTTGGGTATGACGAGGATATGTATATATTGAGGTTGGGTCATAGTTAGGCAGGAGGCTAATGACACGGGCTATATAGGACAACTTAAGGCTAAGCTTGCAAAATTAAAAAGGGAGCTATTGACGCCCAGCGGCGGAGGCGGAGGGGGAGGAGGTATGCAACCTCCGCCAAATTATTCCCCCCTAAGAATGTGGTACTCACCCTTAAATTATAGCCGGATTTGATGTTGCACGTACAGGTGTAGCGAGCGTGTATGTTCTGGCCTCCCCTCACAGCATACTTATATTTATTGACCTAATTGTAGGGGCTTCATTGGATTTCCCTCTGTAGGCAAAAGCACCCTAATGAGCAAGCTGACGGGGCAGCACTCAGAAGGTATTTTGGGTCGGTTGGTTTGATTTAACGCTTGACTGACAGTACGGTTTCATAGCTGCTGCATACGAGTTCACAACCCTAACCACGGTTCCTGGCCAAGTCATATACAACGGCGCCAAAATCCAGATACTTGATCTGCCTGGAATTATTCAAGGCGCGAAGGATGGTAAAGGGCGTGGTAGACAAGTTATTGCCGTGGCAAAAACCTGCCATCTCATCTTCATCGTCTTGGATGTGAATAAACCGTTGACGGACAAAAGAGTCATTGAATCTGAATTAGAAGGGTTTGGTATTCGAATAAACAAGTCTCCGCCGAATATTGTTTTTAGAAAAAAGGACAAAGGTGGCATATCAATTACCAGCACAGTTCCCCTAACTCACATCGATCACGATGTAGGCGACCCCTTGTTCCGCACTTATGTAAAGCAACACTGACAGGCTCTAGGAAATCAAAGCCGTTATGGGAGAATACCGAATTTCCTCTGCAGACATTGCTATTCGCTGTGACGCGACGATTGATGATCTAATAGACATTCTCGAAGCAAAGAGCCGAAGCTATATACCAGTCATCTATGCGCTGAATAAAATCGACTCTATATCAATTGAGGAATTGGATCTGCTATACCGTATTCCCAACGCATGCCCAATCAGTGCGGAGCACGGATGGAACGTCGATGAACTCCTAGAGCAAATGTGGGGTAAACTAAATCTTAAGCGCATCTACACGAAGCCCAAAGGTAAGGTACCGGATTACACTGCTCCTGTTGTCCTGAGATCAAACGCTCGCACAGTTGAAGATTTTGTAAGTACTCCCATTTTTGTTTCCAGTGTCATCAGAACATCTTTCTCTGATACTTTTGCACCGAGAATAGTGTAATGCCATCCATAAATCCATCCTTGAGCAGTTCAAACATGCCATCGTTTACGGCCGGTCTGTCAAACATCAGCCTCAGAGAGTAGGCCTTAGCCATGAACTCGAAGATGAAGATATCAGTAAGTCACAGCAACCGCATTACTATTGGACAACGCCGTAGTCCCCGAAAATGCTAATAAGCGGATGATAGTCACAATTATTAAAAGATAGGGTTAGTCGCCTTAGCTAGCATAAATGCGCCGATTATCGGCGCAGGCCTTCAGGGAAGACGCAACGCGATTCTCGTAGCTCTTGCGAAGTAACCAAGAAATTAGCAGGTTCTTCGGGCAAAAGTGGCCTTGATGTCAACTGCTCTTACTGGTTTAGTGGGCCATCTGGAGCCGTGTCTTGGCCGCTCAATCAGCAATTGTGCGGTTGAGTATGTCTCTACCCGCTCCTAGTGGACGTGGCGTTGGGTGATGTACGAAGAAATTCGACACATTGCGAAGGAATCGGGCGCAACTGACCCACAGATTGACCGAATGTATGTATGTACATAGCTCTGCCAATTGCGATTTTTTCATGATTCCCCGATGCTCAAAACGCGACCAAAAAACGAAATCGTTATTTTTTCCTCTTTTTTTTTCAGAAAAGCCATGTCTTTTTTTTGCCAGGGATGGTCGCCCATGGAACAGGGAAATTTATCCTTGTTCGTCGTCGTCCTACGTCGCGTATCGAGACGTCAAATCCTCATAACCGACTGATGTGAGCCGACTCTGCTCCGTATTCGATCGCCCAAGCTCATCATCCCCGGCGACCATCCTGCTCCCTGCTCCCTGCTGCCCTTCAGGCCTTGGCCTATCTGTGGTAATCAGGCCCGTGGCACCAAACGCCGACAAGACTGGAACGAAACAAAAAGCAAAAACAGAGCAAGTTTGCTTGATGCTATGTATGTACATACTTACATACAGCACATACATATATGTAAGTACTCTGTACCCCGTATACTCATTTCCGGGGTTGAGATTTTCCCTCTCCTAAGCGGTTCTATACCAAATGGGACGCCAAAAGAGTTGACAGGGGAAAGAGTTCCAGACACACCTGATTCCAATTTCATCCTCAAAAAGAATACGATCTGATGATTTACAACCCTGCTGCCACATCGCGTATCCGGGCAATAAATACGTCATGGCCTTTGCCTTGATGTGCACGAGTGAACCCCTCCCCTTTCCCGGTCTTCCTGAGGTGCGATTCTGAGGCAGAAAGCAAATATGTTAATAACAATGGAGAAATACTCGTTTCCATGCCCAGTGAAAATTCAAAGTGCAAGTCTCGACCTTGGCCCTGTAGCCAATCCTACACGCCATGAACGCCCGCGGCCTCCATTTGCCCGTAATCGCCGGCGGTCTCGATTATAAGGACCTTTGTGATCATATCTTAAGTAGATCTGGACTTTTTCATCGGAGACGATCACAAGGTTGGGCAGTCTCCCTTCTATGCTTCCACCTCCTGAAATGTTTGACGGAATGTCCGTTCCTCAAGGTAGTTCATTGTGTTGATGTTCAATGGTTACCAGCTATTTAGGCTTGCTAGTATAACTAGATCTCGTCATATGGAAAAAACTTGCTTTAGCTCCAGGCCCAAAATGGTGGTGGGATGCTGGCTACCGTTTCATCTGCCCGGGTACGGAGTACATCTTCGATACAAGACCCTTTGGCCTGGATAGCGATATTATCCTTACAGCCATATTATGCTTTGGACAACTCCAATTCCAAGCAGCCAGTAAAAAGGATCATATCCCGCTGTGCATTCAAGTTGCAACAGCCGGAGGGCCTTGAACGCTCCATGTGAAAAGCGATGGTCATCAATCTATGTAACAAGGGGGAAATGAATCCTGCCGTTAGCATCAACATCGCATGGGTATTTGTCAAATCTTAAATGCTAATTGCGTTCCCCCCGTCCTGAGTATGAAAAGCTCGTCTGGATTATCTGATCGATCTGTTTTCGGGGCTCAGCGAGATCTAGAGCAAAAAGAATACGAACTGGCTGCTGGCATAATTCAACACCAATCGACGTCCTGTAACTGTGTCCTTGGATTGTGGCGATGGTGATAGAAATCGTAATCCCATAATATTTACGAAAGTGACAGCTCTGGCGATTGAAGTTCTTCAGCATTGCCGACTCAAGGACACGGGAAGGCCCAGCCGCCATGAATCGTGATGAGACAGCGGGACATCCCGCGCAGAAACAGTTCTTTTGGTTTCAGTCTAGACACTTGAACGGGATGGGTGTACAGAGAGGCTAGGTGTCATGTAGTAGTTATATCCTTACGCATATGCATGTGTACCGGTTTGTTGAGATTATGCAGTTCTAAAGCAGACCCCAATCGAGAGTGAGGTTTTTGATATTCAGAAAACCAATACACACAAGAGAAGCTACATACTCACTCCGAACTTCTCGCAACTTGGATGCTCTTTTAGGGGTTTCTTCTCTCTCTTAACCTACTCTTTCTCTCTTACCAAGTGAGTACTTTGCCTGTTACACCACCACCCACGTAGAGGTAGGACGAAAATATGAACCGGTAGTTCTGTTCCGATGGCACTTGAACAGGCTATATCGGGGTTCTTGCGTCATCAAGTTTCTTACAAGCCATTATGATGCCCTCCTAATAAGTTACTTTTTCTTTTTCTATTCCGGGTACCTCGTACTGGAGACAATATCATAGGTGTATCAAATGTAAGAGCACATATGTATGTACTCCGTATGTATGTATATATTTACTCCACTTTGGTGCGCCTACTGATTTTGGAGGCTCCGATATTCAAGAAAACTGTTACATTATTGAAACGGCTGGGCAACGAAGATCCTAATAACGCTTCCTCTCTAATTCTGAATTTTAGTTGAAACCATGGTCTAGAGCTGCAATTGATTATTGCTGTCAAATTCAAGAGGAGAGTCTAATAAACAAATAGATATGCCAGGAGTTGGAAGATACCCAGCCCTTTGCAAATCGTTTAAACCAAAAAGCAAACCAAATTTGAACGCTGTGAAGATATATCAGCGTATGTTCTTTGACGGATAACATATCATAATCACCCGGGAATTCACTTTGCAATAAAACAGCGGATGGTGGCATCAAGTAGCTCAAATTCTCTGTGCTCTGATAACAAGCTTTATCTGTGTGACCGTCGACGAGGAACTGACTCCCGTTGGAGGCCCCGGCGGCTGGAATAGAGTGGAAATCATAAATCCCTATGCTTTCAGCCTGAAATCAGCCGGGAAGCATATCTGAGCCACTTCCATTGATCGCGATCCCTGTTCTCGGCATCCGCTCGAGGGGGCACGGAGTTTTCGGTGGCGCATTGCCGCTCATCAATCGATGAAGCCGGCGTGTTTATGTCTCTGAAAGGAAAAGGAAAACGAAAAGAAGAGGACGAAAAAGTAAAGGGGAGGTAAAATTATCACCCCTGACGGTCCGCTGAAGAACGGTTATTTGCATTGTGGCGCCGCATCATATGCATAACGCCAAATTTATCGCATTCAACAAAACGCAGAGCTCTGTTCCTTGGTGCACCAGAAGAACCATGAAGAAAAGGAGCGCATTAAACATGGGCAGACATATTAGAAATCTAGTACTCCGTAGTAAACCTCAGTGTCAGACAGGCTTTTTATGTCGTGACTACATAGTCGACTACGGAGTACATGCGGGGCACATAGCTCCGTAAAAACTCGGCCGAACACTGGATGTATGTATGTATATTCAACGGGAGCTCCGTATGCTCCAAATTCGAAAAAAACCCACGAAAATAGATCTAACGATCAATCAAGGGCAAAATAAAAGTCACTTTGAGCACGTTTCCCAATCGTGTAACAAGTCCAGTTCCGTATCTCTGGGCCTTGCCCTCTTTTGTTTCTGCTTCTCGTTGAACACACAATGATTCTCCCGCGAGGTGGCACAGATCTTCGGAAACCCAAAGCAATTTGCACGTAGGAGAAGATGACCAGCGATATTGGACAATGTGTGCGCACTTGCCGAAAAGAGATGCGAAACCAGGGGTCGAAGAAGGGCGAGAAATCGCCGGTCTATGGGTAAGGGTATGTGTGAAGATGCGTTTTGGGATGCACGCGCAGGGTACAGAATTGTGTGTGCCTGACAGGGAGGATGGAGCAAATACTGGCGAGGGCGGCATGCTGTGCATCCAAACAGGGTCCACTCCTAGAGTTGAGGTATGGGTGATAGACGTGCAGACATACCTGAAGAGTGAGGCGAGAGGAAACAGAGAAGGTGACAAAATCAGATAGACGGATTTGGGCACAGCACCTGCAAACAGTGCTCCCCCTTGTTGCCTGCAACGGACACCTTAGGCATTGTAGACGTTACGATGGCGAGCCCCAAGCCCCAATATCAGCATCACCACAAAATCCCACAATTAAAGTTTGGCTCTAGTGCAAAGCGGGCTTGGTGCGACCGGGCAAAGAAGGTTCAATCAGCGGATTTTCCGCCTACCGATGCAAGTTAAAGTCTGGCTTAGCGGCCACGGGTGGACGACGACGACTGCCAGTGGCAGAGCGGTGGTGGAAAGGGGTCTGGCCACTGGCCAAGCAACACGAGATCAATCCTTGCGTGCTGACGACGCGGCAGGTGGGCATCTGGAGCAACAAAGAGAGCCTGACGACGGTGGTAGCGCTGGCTATTGCAGGCTACTGTCGAAGCCTCGGTACAGACTGCCTTCAGTACCCAACAACAATAATAATGATGGCTGATTGACTATGTGCGTACCCGCTGGCCTTTGTCAAACCATAGGTAGCAGGATCGTCGCCGTAATTTGGCTATGGCTCCCGCACAGCGAGGATTTTCCCTTGGTTGGATGACAGCTCTAGGGAGAGTAGTGGCCGAATTATTGAGCGACGACTCTCATAACTAGTTAACTAGCTGCAGGCGTCGCAAGAGCCATCTTGGCACGCAGGCGGTCTTTTTCGGTCGTTATCCGTATGCCTAAACGCGCCTGTCCGTGGTTTTGGGATCCGAGCTGCATGAATAGGGCCCAACACGTAAGAGTTTGATGTCTACTCTGGTGCAGAGAATCCCATGCCCGTCAGTTGATCCGATTGAGAGGCTGTTCGTGTGCAAAGTAGAAGCTGAACACTACTAGTCAGGCTCCGCAGAGTTTGGGGATCGGAGGTGGCCTAGTTAAGCACGGAGTACGGATTTCTTCCCTGCTGGAAACCAGACCGCAAAAATAGCAGCCAGGTAACTCAAGCCTGGCGCCATGCCTAGTTCCTTCGCTAGCTCCCCCAAACCAAGGTCAGCTTCTTACAGGAGCAATAATAAAATATTATCAAATGTCACGCTGTGGGCACTGTGCCACTGCCCTTTTCCCGTATGGCTCCTGATGATAAGGCAAGCGGAGCTGCCACTACTGGAGCTCAAGAATATACCATACCTCCGAGAATAATACGTGGGCATGGGTAGGTTTCTAGCGTCAGGCGGTGCCAGGGTTGGTCCGAAGATCCCCCATGTTTTCCCCCCACAGTGCCCGCTAGCAAGTAGTCGATTTCGAAGCATTCAAGGTAACTTAGTCAGGGAAGCAGCATGTTGCAAGAGCTGGCGGGCGCACGGGACACTGGCACACAAGGCAGTTGTATGCGATGTCAGTCAGCCTCAGCACTCTTCAGAGACGGGAGGCTCAGCGATGGCGACCTGAATAGTTATCGTTCTCTCTTGATTTGCTCTCTCTTGAGTCCACTCACATCGGTGTACAGGACACCAGACTGTTTCAACCGGGCCGATCTGTTGATCAGAGTCAGGGTAAAGACTGTTCCTCTCGAATGCCCGAGAGAGGCTGTTGTCATCCCAAAGTTTTCCACCCGAGACAAGTCGTCATAATGGAAAACCTTGAGAGCAAAACCCGACGATACTGTGAGACGCTGTCCGTGTGTACCAGCATGCAACGACCTAGCCAGCTCTTCTATCGCAATCTCGCTGGGCGCTTAACACCAAAGCCTGAATTGTCGTCCAAGGAAGGAAAAGGGGTCCCTGGACCAGGGGGGCCGCTGCTCCTGAGCTGCTAGGGCTGGGTTTACAGAGGCCATCATGTGAACACGGGTGGCCCCCTAAGCAACGGCGAGTCAGGACATCGGCCCTCTTGATCGCCCTAGTGCGGTTGGCGCGGAAAGCAAAATCCAGATGCGTTCTTTAGAGGCGGAATGGCGTGGAGCGGCGTGCGGCATCGGTGGTACCCTTGTCACCAAGCCATGCCTTTCTAGGCTGTTGGATCGAAGCTGGAGCAGCGACAGGCACGCGACTTGGATTTGGGCCAGAGCTCACATGGCATGCAAGATGCGAGAATGGCGGGCAGGCGAACAAAGGACTCGTGTTTGTGCAGAAATGGGGCCTGCAGAAGCGGTATGATATCAAGCAGCAGATCGGACAGGAAGCAGCGCTCTTGGCGACTGAGCCCACAGGGGGACCGGACAAGGTCGCACGGGCACCAGACTCGCCGTTAATTCTTGCATCCAGAACGCACGGAAAGGCGCCCCGGCTGGCGCTCGGCTACAGGGCAAATGCATGGTTGAGAGTAGTGTTTCGAAGGAGTAAGCCTCCACCGTCGTTTTTTGTCGTCAGGGCTTGACAACTTACAATCCGGCCCGGACCCGTCCGCCAGCCCTAGTGAGTTGACTGCCCAGTAGTTTGGCAGCAGCACTAGAACAAAACACGCATGCTGTTTCTCCTTGCGGTTCCGCTCGCCGCCGCTGACGCTGGCGAGGTTGGCGGTCGTGTATACGCCGTACGCCGTACACCGTACACCGTACACCGTACACCGTACCGCCCGCCGGCGCCTCGCGTACGCGCGATACGGCCACCGTATTGGCCGCCATCCCACCAGTCATGTGCCGCACCGTTTCCGTGAGGTTCGCCAGCGCGCTTTCCTAGTGGGCCGCCGGCCGGCAGCGCGTGCACGCAGTAGCCAATCACGGTTTTTGTGACAATTCGTAAATTGCCGTTGGTGTAACAAAACCGGCGTATTTACCTGGCGCTGACGTTGGGCATGTGCTACGCCCGAATGGCTCTTCCACTCTTCATGACGATCGTCGGTCACTGTCGAACTGCACGCAATCCATGCTGGCTTGCTGCCCGCAGTGGACAGCCAGATCTCAGTTTTCTCAGCTGGACGCCCTCTCGGCCTTTGGGCTCGGGGTCGTATCATCCCAACAGACTACCCGTCCAGGGCGTTAGCTTACTCCCCGGGTGGGGGACAAGCAGCGGGCTCCCACGCCGCCGATGGGCCGTCTGCCTTCTTGTTGAGGCCCCCTGAGGGGTTTCTATTATTATGGTGACGATGATGCGCTGGAGGCCACTTTGCCTCCGCTTTGCCCAGCCGATGCTCACTATGCTAGCTCCAGCGCTCCAGCATTTCTGCCCTATCCCAATCACCGCTGGAAATTGGGCGAAGTTGGGTCAGTTTTCGCCATGCTCGACATAAATAATAAATATGTATGCCCTACAGCCATACATCCATACATACATCAAGCCCGTGCTCCACCAGTAACTAGTTGGTGCAGGCTTGCTAACGCTCAAACTCTGTTCGCAGTTCTGTGCAGATCCAGCACGACGTTCCTCCATTCGCCCTTCAAATAATAATATCCCCAGGTCAACGTCAGCCTTGATGTCAGGTGTATGCAAAAAAGAGAAAGTGTGCCCCTAATATACTCCCATGACTGGCTGCCGCTCTCCTCGCACCCACGTCCTTGGCTCGCCTCCTGCCGCGGGCAGGAAGAGCGTAGATGGACCTTCAAGCTCTTGGGAGTTACACTCAGCGTCTCGTCAGGGTTCGTCACAGCAGTCGTGCGAACACTCAAGATCTTGCTCCAGAATAACTGTGCTAAACACTCGATGGCCGCATTTTCTGGAGTAATTAGCATAACATGGGGGCAAGCTGATATGCCTGCTTGCCCTGGATGCTTGACGCCCGTGCTCAGAACATGTCGCTGCTTAAATCGCACAGTGTCACCTATAGTTACATCTGCGTCCCTCTGGTGCGCTGCAGGCAACGCAGCACGGAATAATGCTCTGCTCCTCTTTGCATCTCCATGGAGGACGGGGACGGAGTATGCTTTCTCCCCCAGCCAACCAACGCGCCGCCCTCTGATGGCAGAGGATTCGTGCCCGCCGCAAGTACTCGTGTGTCTTGGGTATCGGCCTTTCGATACGGAAACGTGTTTCGGTATTTCGCCAGCACCGTATCCGCGAGCCAGCCAATTAAAAACCGCCCTGCCTCTTAAGCCGTTACGACGCGCTGCTTGGCTGTCTCTATTTTCTTGCGCTGTGATTGGCGATGCGCGGCTCCCCTGCTCGTCCCTTAGCGGGCTTTCTAAGATACATACGTCGTTACCTTGTTCGGGCAATCTCGAACTCCCCTGTTGAAATTTGTGATACAAAGCCTTCCTCGGATCAGGAAATCCCCTACACTGATAGGACATCCCCGTTCCTTTATTGAAGCTTAAGTACGATACGGTGTATATTTGCTTTAATTCCGCCCTCTCCCCACTGTATGTATGTATACTCAGTCCTTGCCCGAGTTGGCTGCTCGGGCTCCTTGACTTGTTACGTCGCTGTATATCTATGACTGCGACCCCTCACCGACCTGCCTTGACCTACATATCCTTCCCCGTGCGCCCCGGAAGCTTCGACCAGCCAACGTCGCCAGCTAGCCTATACCTGCATCTGCTTGATGATATATCCTGCATATCCCATACCCGCCGCGACCTCCTTGTGCTATTGCTACTCCATATTGCCCCCTCTCTGTGCTGGCTCTGGACCCCCATCCATATGTTGGCCTGCCATACTACGAAATCGGCTTATAAGAATTGCACAACTGGCGGCGATTGCCATTGAATTGCCTGTTCCTCACGTGGAGCGAACAGTTGAAGCCGTACTTGCGGGAGGAGCTTTCTGGTGTCAATTGCCTTGTGGCTGGGAGTAACTATTGTCTTGGGGATGGACGCTGAGACCCAGCACTCGCAAGACCATGGCTTTGCGAGTTCTCATTGGGATGATATCGGAGCTTTCAATTCTCCTCATCATCCTTTAGGTGATTATCAAGGGTTTCCATTTGGCACCTCACAAATTGTGCCTTTGGAGCCAGCGTATAACATGTCGCTATCGCAGCCGTATACACCGCAACCGCTGGGCCCTCTGACGATGCCTCCAGCATGGCCAGCCATGTTGTCAACTCAACCGACTTACGGTCCAGTTCCATTAGCACCAATGCCTATATCGTCGCTCGTCCACTTGCAAAACGTGCATACTCCTCACGTTCCGCATTCACCTGCCCCACGACGAACGCTGACAGATACGGACCGTCGCAATATGTGCATGTACCATGAAGAAAACCCCCATGTGAAACAGACGGAGATTGGAGGTAAGACCCTATACGATTATTTTCATGGCTGTCCTGTCTATATGAAGCTAACTGCCGTTAAAAGCTATGTTTGGTGTTGAGAGAAGGTAATACGTTCTGCTCCAGTATACTTGAGTAACTTGGACTATTATCCTAACGCGGTTTGTTAGTACTGTATCGAAAGTGCTACGCCAGAAAGAGAAATATCTTTATCCAGAAGAAGGCAGCACGTCTCCTACTAAAAGGTCTAAGGTCAAATTCCCCGACATCGAGAAGGCTTTGTCTAACTGGGCCCGAAACCATCAACGTCAAGGCAGGGATCTGAGCGACGCTATGATCAAGGAAAAAGCGTTGTTCTTTGCAAATAGTGTTGGTAATGGCGATGGACACCAAAAGCTTTTGAACTCAGCTTGGCTGGAGAAATTCAAGAAAAAAAATGGCTTGTTTGTAACACAAACACGCAAGAACTCCATCGATACGGGAAATACTTCTGAAACTACTTCTACTGTTAACTCTGGGACGCAAACTCCCTGTAGTCGCTCTCCCCTGTCCCCTTCCATTCCTACGAGCCCTTCACCCATCTCCCCTAAAAAAGAATTCGATGTATTCAGGAAAGGGAGCATCGATTGCATAACAACGCAGAGAACCGAAGATTTCTCACACGTGTTCTCGCCCACCACTTCCCCTCTTGAAACCATTGCCATGTCGAATCATATAAGCTCCGCTTTCATATCAGAGAAGGATTCCACTGGACACCAGCCGAAGAAGCAGAGAAGCCAAACACTAGAAATACCATCTTTAGAGCAGAAATTTATTTCCGATGAATCAGCGGACCCTGGCCGCCCACAAGTCCTGCAGCCCTCTGTCATCGAAGACACCGCGAATGGAATTACTGATGAGACAGTCATCACGAACGGGCGTCCTCGACCAGAGATCAACACTGAATCCATACAATCGCCCATATTCTCCCAATCTAATCCTATATCCCCTATCAGTTCACCCAGCTCCCCAACGCAGGACGAAGCACGGCAAGCACTTGAGCTAGTGAAAAGCTATTTCCGCAACCGACCATCTGGTGTTGAAACACAAGATCTTGCGATGATCAACAAACTCATCTGTACACTTGATCTTGTCCACACCCGAAATCCTACGCTGGACCCTATTGATGAACATACCGACTTCCCACGGATGACAAAGAAAAGGAGCATTCATGCCTTGTGATTACATTCGACGAAATTGTGGAAACCTAGATGTCAATGCCACTAATGTTTACGGGTCCTTGCCGAAGATTGAGACATTCGCTCCCTCATTTACTATACATTTGGTAGACTTGCCATCTCGCTGTATTTTCTTCTGCCTAGCTGTGACTCGGGCCCACTTCCTAATTTTCAACGTCATTGTTTGCTCGACCACGCTTACCTGACTTCATACTACGGCATTTGTTTGTATTTCTGCTTTTCTGTCTACGTAGGGGTTTGGTTGATATGTTTTCTTTACAATGTATACCGCTCGCGCGGATGGAACTTAAAAAAACTCGCTTTTGGTTGACTTTGGTCTTTTAGGTTACCAGATTGGATTATGTTGTTAGGGATCAGGATTGAGACGAGAACCCGGTAATACATGTATGTACATAACGCAACTTTTTTTTTTTTTGGGCGGCAGGGGAGCAGCAATCGTGGCGAGATATACGGATTGAGAGCTTATTGCCGCTCTTGAGCATTTTTGTTTTTTGGCTGAATTTTTGGGCATTTGATTGTTTCCTGAGATGTGCAACATTCAGGGCGCTATGACGCCTTTTTTTATTCAAAGTCCCGCCTCCCCCTCCTTTGTTGGTGTATGGGGCAACCGATCGCTTACGTTTTGGTCCATCTGTACCAAGGGACAAGACATGTTGCGCATGGATTATTCGAAAAATAATTGCGGTCTTAGCTAACTAATATGCTCAAAAAGTATGTCTCTAGCAGGCCTCGAAAGCTCGCCTCGTGAATACAGCTTAACCGGGCAACGCGGAGCCATGGTAAGTAGCCCAGAAAAATTGACAAGCCGGCCCGCAAGATATTTGTCAACCGTAAAAGGATCGCCACCTCTAAGGGTTCTGATCCATGCTTTGCCCCGCCCACTCTTGTAAGCCACGCTCGGCCATGAGCTCTCCAACGGTATGTTCCGTTAACTCAGGAATGAGCTTAATCAACACGGCTTCAACAATGGAATAGACGAGATGTTTGTTACAATACGAATCTGAGAAAAGATCGAGCACATCCCGCTCAATAGCACAGAGAAGCTGTTCATCCTGTCGTTCTCGAAGCGAAGACAGGTTTGATTTCAAGTTCATTGTTAACCCGGCATTTAGGGACGGCGCTGTTGTGGGGTGAGGGATGGAATAGCCTGGTTGTAAATCACTGTTGCTGCTCGGCCCAGTTTCAGCCGTTGCGCCCGAAAATGGTGTGGAAGGATTGAAACCGACACCTATTGGAGGCAGCGGGGCAGTCGCGGCACAGGCTGGAATGGTCATATCGAGCGAAGCGGGGTGATGGCTGCCCTCGGCGCTTAAACCGGTGGCGTCATCAAGATGCTCTGAGCTTGGAATGCCGAAGATGGCCAGTCCGATGCGCCTTGGAATTAGTTGGCGGAGGCTTCTTGCACATGCACGTTTAACAGAGTTTAGTTTGGCGTTCTCCAATAATCCTGGATCGGATTGAAGTTGTTCGAGCTGGGGTGCGTTACGCGAGGAAGTGGACGCGCCCAGGGGCACTGAGACGGTGCCATCTTGGCTGGCGCCCAAACCTCCGATGTCGACGACCCCTGAAGATGGGGGGCGAGTGTTGGAGGGAAACACCGTGGTCCGGACCGCAAGCAGCAGATATGGTAGCAACGATGGCGTGAATAGATGCTTTGGGATTGTCTGGCAAAGGAAGCTGTTGGAAGAACACTCAGTTAACGGCAAACAAACATCGGGAATAGCGCCAAAAGAAAAAAAGGAAAAGAAAAAGGAAAAGCAAAAACAAAAAACTTGAAGGGGTTGCCAAGATCAAAGGAGCGATGTGAAGATCAATGCAGATGTTGGAATCGACAAGGTCCTTGTTTAAAGCTCCGGCCCAGAGCAGACGCGGTCGAGTATTTTTAGGCAAGAATGTGCATGATCCAACGCCTGGACACGATCACTTGATGGCCCAAAATTGAGATCCGGAGAAGGATGCCATGAAGGGGATTTTGCATTTCAGGCCGGTTTAAAACCCCATCCATCATTAGTTAGTGCCCTAACTCGGGTAACAAGTGCAGACATCGTCGATACGCTTGGAACAAAAGAGCCCCTTTCAAAGGTTTTAATTTCAACTGGCCCTGCGATGAAGGCAAAACAAAGGAGGTAAGCAGCATGCAAGCAATTGGCCGCAGAGATGGCGCGAGAACACCAATGGCATCGCATGATCTTTCTCGACTCAGATGATATGAGAAGCGCGACTCAGGCAGTGCTGTTGGCGAAAAGACGGGCGAGATCTGTCAATCGGCGTCCAGAAGTGCAAAGTGGAAATCTGGAGACTCAAGCGGGCGGGAGGGAGGGCCGACCCAGAGTCCAGCGGATGCGAGCATGGCGAGTTTTCAAGCCACTGGCGCCAAACCAATATGCGGATCTTCCGTGCACAATGCGCCAGCCAAAAGTATTCAGAGCAATACCGTACGGGCGCTGTTGGCATGTCGCGCGTTGCGGCAGCCCAAAGGCGAGCAGAAAATTCAGAAATTCCGGGGATATGAGTGGCTAAGCGGGCGGGCGGTATGGAACCGAAAAGGCAGGCGATCAAACGGTGACAGAACCGCTAGAAACGTCACGGAACGGTACGGGCTGGTATTCGATACCCCCCGGTACGGCGTAAGTTTGGCCGCCGAGCAAACAGCTCGATTGGCCCAGAACGGCTGCCCTCCACCAGATCAAGTGACCGTAGTGACATGCGGGCAATGCCACCGGTGGATTCAATCCCTGCTCTGCATTCTCATTGCCCTGCCAGTGCAAGGATTGCCAGAAATAGATCTCGGAGAAGACCTCACCATCCATACGACAGCTTAGGGCGCTATCCGCTTGAGGCCATGAATGACTCGCCCCGTTTCTGTGCGGGGCCAGCTGCGGACAAACGGATGCTGTGCAAGGGATTCATTCGGAAAGCGAAATTGGCGCAGGATTAAAGAAAGAAAAAGGGGAGCTCGACTCACCTATCGATATACCCGTCTGTCTTCCCGAATCTCCCCGGGCCTTCCAGCAGCAGGTGCTGAACCAAAGAGAAGGACCCTCCCAGCCATGGCATCCGTCTTGGAACATCAAATAGTTGCGCCGCTAGGTTAAAAATCCGGTACTGAATAAAGGGACGTCGCGCAGCGTCTCTACTGGGCCGGGATTCGGCGTCGCCTGCGCTATTTCTCGACGTTTTCTTTGACACGGATCCTCGAGCGGGGGTAAACGACGAGCGCGATGCCACCTGAACAAACTCGAGAAGAACGAATCGAATTGCCAAATACCCCAGATACACATACTGCAATAGTTTCCAAAATATATCGGATACAGACGATTTGCGTTTCGGGGCAGGATAGCCATCCGGAGTTTCGGTCTGACTGGAGAGAAGACCAAAGCTCTCCAGCCGGCTTTTCTTCTTTATTGGCTCTATCCCCGCATCTTGACTCGCGTCAGGGTTTATTTCTCTGGCGATTTTTGTAATAATCTCCCAAAGAAACCAACTCTGCGCAACTTTGCCTCCTACTATCTCACCAAGGAGAAGATCCGCCAGAATGTCGCCCACCAATGTCCGTAAGCATACATTTTCCAAGTCTTCAGTGGGGAGAAGAACAGCCAATACTCCTTGTGCTAGCATCTGGCAATAAATGGATTCGTTTAGCTGCTGCTGTTCGGCAAGCGCAGGGTCTAGCGCGTCCGGTACAGGCGAGAGGGACGGGTGAGGATTCAGGGCGTGGTAGGCCGTTCGAAGCTGGGATTGTGACTGGATTGCCACTGCGCTTTGATCCGCCACACGATATGCTACACAGATGAACTATGTCAACTCGATTCGTCGGGGGATAATATACTTTGCTGTTAACTCTCACCAATGACATGCGCCTCAATCAATGAGGGAATCTCGTCCAAGAGAAGAGAAGTTACATCCACCTGTCGTAACCGCTGCTCTAGAGAACGTGTACAATGGGCAATCACCTGTATGATTTCCTCGGTAAACCCATGATCTGGAGTGATCTTGGAATACCACGAGTAAACGAATTCCTTCATGATGATCGCAATCAAAGCATAAAGCTGGAGGTCGACTTCGTTGGAGCTCGTTAGAGGAGGCAGTAACTCCTCTAATGGCCGGGGAGTACCTCGTTCTCGTTGCTCTGAGCCATGTGCAGGTGTTACCTGGGCGCAGAGTACTCGACGGACTAATGCCACTGTCGCCCTTTCACTCGTAAAATCGGCAGGTGTGGTAGATCTGGGCGCATTTCGGACCCGAGAATTGGGCCGTACCTCAGCTGACGGTTTCCTTGGTGGGCCAGGTAGAATGGCTGCTGCTGAACCAGCGGATTTGGTGATTGGCGATGTGGTTTTGTTCATTTCCTCGGTGAGGTCACTGAGGACCAGCTGATCAACGGATGGGAATCATGGGGTATGTCCACAGCCTGCACCGAGAAGGGAGTTCGCAAGAGAGTCGCGACGGCATCAGAGAAATTGCGACTTGGTTATGATCCCTCGTTTGACGTGAGAGAACAAGCCGATTCGGATGTGGCTGATCAATCGCGATCACAAGCTGGCTGCTTATTAAGCAGATGCTATCAACGTAACCGTGGGGGCCATCGCAGGATCCCCACCCAGGAGTCATTACTCCTGGGCAGTCATACTGCTTCAGCCATTGACCCGTTGATCATCCCATCTCATTGTGTGCGATTACTGTGTGAACTGAATTGAACCGCGAAAGGAAGCCTGGCCCGTTCAAAATGGGACTAGAAATACAAGAGAGAATCCCGCTTTGGCTGGATTGTGATCCTGGTAGGTACCCCTGCTCCTAAATCATCCTCAGTCGCATTGACATTTGAAGATGGGCAATGCAGTTGTATACTAAGAGAAGTGCATTTCAGGGCATGACGTGAGTTTGCGACCTCTGCATAGCTACATATAGTTCCAAGCTGATTTTGGACCAAGGATGCTTTTGCGATTCTCCTGGCAGCCCATCACCCGCATCTGAACCTACTGGGCATCACCACTGTTCATGGTAACTCATCGCAAGCCAACACGACTATCAACGCTTGTAGCATTCTAGAATCTATTGGAAGACCTGATATTCCCGTTTACCCTGGCTCAGAGAAGCCCTTCTGCAGAAGAGCAGTTCATGCACCGGATATCCATGGTATGCCTATCTGTCGCTTGTTCTAGGATCTAGATCTTTGCTGAATATATTTAGGCTGCTCCGGTATTGACGGGACCGACCTCCTTCCCATCCCCAGCATTCCTGCAGTGAGGGACATCAATCCCATATTAGCGATGCGCAATGCACTTCTTGCACAGCCTAAGGATACTGCCTGGGTCGTTGCGACTGGAACTTTGACCAATGTTGCTCTCCTCTTCGCTGCATTCCCAGAAGTAGCTGAACATGTTCGTGGGGTCAGTATTATGGGAGGAGCCATTGGTGGAGGGTTTTCGAGTGTACCAATTAGCAAGAAACCTGGCGATGCTGATAGGATCGGGAATATCACCCCATATGCGGAATTTAACATTTACGCACGTTCCCACTTCTCACTCTTTCTGTATAGTGCTAATATGTTTTTGAGCAGGCTGACCCGGAAGCAGCTAGATCTGTCTTGACATCACCCATTGTGGCCCCTAAGACAACTCTAGTAACTTTAGACCTCACTCACCAAGTCCTTGCCACTCAAAAGATCCAATCTCTCATCCTTGCCACCGAATCTGGTGACGGTTCTGAGCCCTCTGTACTTCGTCGGATGCTGCATGCCCTACTTCTGTTCTTCGCCAACACGTATCAGACAGTATTTGGTCTGGATACTGGCCCACCTCTGCATGATCCAGTTGCAGTTGCTGTCCTTCTCTCAAATCTCAACAGCTCACAAATGGGTGACAAACAAGATATATTGTGGTTTAATGATGATAATGGCAAAAGGTTTGCTATAGATGTTGTCACTGATGGTGTGCATGGAAATGACATCAAATTGACAGGCCAAGTGGGACGTACAGTTGCCACAAAGGCGGAGTGTACTGATGGTGTCACCATTCCCACCGCCATGGATGTTGATAAATTCTGGGACGTTATTCTGTGTTGTCTAGAAAGAGCCGAAAAGTGCAATTCTGCAAGGTTTCTTGCAAATTAACCCTGACCATACTTTCATCAGACAACAGACATTACCAGGGTATTTCACTTATATTTATGCCTATATATACTCTATACTGTACATATACCTACATTTATAGATCAATTCTATTAGAAACATTTGATTCTGTTTGTTACTAAACACACACCTTTTCAGAACCGACACCCTAAATGAATGGTTTTAATACCCAAAAGCTCAAGTTATGAAAGCTATTTCGGCAGGGAAGGGGAATGAAAAGTTACATCTTAATCTACGGAATGCTATGGTGGCTGTTAAGTCAAGCGGCTGCCGCTAAGGATATCTTCTTGGGCGCCCAGTTGCTGAATCGTAAGTCGGCCGTGGGAGCAAAAATTTTGGCATACTATAGAAAATAATGTGCCTACAACGTACGCCAAGCTTAATATATCTCTTTTGGGAACATATATAGCTGGATGCTAGAGTAATAAAGCACTGAAAGAGTACTAAATCACGATTGCTCTAAAAATCTATTTCTTTGCAATGTATAGACGCCCAAGATGGCTATCTTCTATTTTCAAAAGTGCCGATGGACTGTCAAATTCTATCAATTTTCCTCTATCAAAAAGGGCTGCTTTGTCATAATTGTTTATTGTATCCAACTAGTTAAACAGTTAGAGAAATTCTCAAAATAAATGCGCAAAAAAAAAAAAAAAACTTCACAAGGGTTGTATGTGAGAATATTTATCCAAGAAAGGGGAGCATGAAAATATATTAACATAATTGATGTGTAATTGCAATTATAGTGAATTCTTGGAATTCTTTTAGGATAAGGTCTTGCACTAAAAGGGCTGTGTTGCTGTCGACATTGCTAGTGGCCTATCAAGCAGAAGAACCCTGCGCCCACCCTTCCGAAGCATGGCACGAACAAATCGAAAGAGCTGCTGTTCTCGGGCAGAGAGAGAGCCAAGGTCCATGTTCCAGTCTAGCCCCCCACGGTACTCGATTAAAGGCCAGAGATACACTTTTTCAAGCGCCTTTTGGATGCAATCATCAGAGAATAGTCCCAGAAGGATCTGCATTGAGACGAACAGAACCAGTGAGAACGAATTGGTCTTGGGGAATCGTGATGATTCGTGATCTGGTTTCATGTCTCGGAACGGTAGCAAGGTCTGCACCATCGATTATTATGCGCCCCGTCGACATGTCCAGCAGGCGGAGGGTAGTGAGAAGAAGGGAACTCTTCCCGCTACCGCTACGACCGCAGACGCAGATTTTTTCACCAGGCTTGACCTGCATTATGACATTTTCCAGCACCATAAATACATCATCGTATGATGCCGACACAGACTCAAATTGAATTTCATCTGCATTGGGCCAGTTTGTTGGTGATATCACATCTTCACCAGGCTGGTTTTCTGTTGGTGTTGAAGCAATGAGCGGTTTAACTTTTAGCAATGGCGCCTAAGGATGTTTCTAGCGACGTCCAAGAAGTAATCAGTTTTTCAAGTGACTGGTTCAAAACAAAGATGGTTTTTAAAGCCACTCCAATCTGGCCGGGACTGGTACTACTTCTCAATGTGAAGGCCAGAGCAACCATAATTGTAGTGAGTGCGGCCACGAGAAGGTCTAGGGCTAGGTTGAGCCACCTCTGTGCAGAAAAAAGAAGGTAGTAGAGTTTTTGTGAAGCTTCGAGACAGTATATGTTAATATTTTGATGACTGTTGCCAGTCAAATGCCCGAATTGTCGAAATTCCGTGTAGAATATCCAGAAAATGTGAATATATTGAACTTTTGGCCTCGAGATCCATGTGTCGAAGTTGGCGTGACGTCTTTAGATAAACGTTCTGGATAAGATAGATGATAGGCAGGGTAATTGGAAGCGTAAGAGCCATATAGCTAGAACCAGTGCAAACAAGTATAGCTTGGGCTACGCAATTGCAAAACTCTGTAAGGTCGGTCAGCTGAAGACACGGGTTTATTCAATGAAAGTAACTTATTCTTCGGGCTCTCTAGGCCACACCTATTGAGGGTAATCCCAGTATCTGTCTCCGCGAAGAAGGATTGTGGAGATCTTAGCTATTCATCAGTGTTACCGAAGCTACAGCCTTCGGGGCGTGCATGCCTTATCACTGCCTCTAAGAGACGCTGGTGAAGTCGAGCCGACACTTGAAAAATTGCCCCTATTTCCCACAGGTTGCCAGCAAGGGATATATCGGCCATGGCACACAATGTCACATATATTGGGATGTAAAGGTAAAGTTTATCTTCCCCAAATTTTATTAATACCTGCCTTTATGTTAGGAAGTATCCGCCAAATTAAAGTCGTATTTCCTTACCACTCTCTGTTTCTGCCCTCCACTTAAAATTAGTCCGTTGTTGCCAATTATGGTGTGATTACCATCTGGCTAGTTCTTGATATCGTCTTCCAAGCAACATGCGTATATAACCGCGTTGTACCAAGATTCATCAACTGCTTGATTTTCTAGGAGGCCGCAGATTGAATCAAGAATAGATGTGTTGGTTAGCCATGGCTATTGATGACAACAGGCAATGTGAGAGGAGGCAACGTTTATTGAGCCACTGTCACAAGGAAGCTCGCCTATGATTGATTTTAAAGAGACGTAGCGGTAATCGACCCGGCAGGGAAGGAGGTCCTCTTGAATGCGTTCGAAGCAGTCGAGACAAGCGCCAGCGCGGGGTATCGCAGCCATAAAACTTTGAGCGGGAATTGTCACAAGAGAAATAAGAGCCAGTGCGGTAAATGCCTGTTCCGTAGAAAGGGGATTCAAATGTTGAACCTTGGTTTGAATGGTGAAAGCAATAAAAGCAAGGGCAGGTGACCAGATGGCCGGAAGAGTTGCTAACCACAGTATAAGTGTCTAGACCTGCCAGTCATCATTCAAAATTTGCTCGCCAAGGATGTTCAAAATAAGAATAAGAAGCCACATATGTAAATCCACTGGAAAGATATAACTCATGAACACGTAGTCTCTGTAACATGCGCTCCATGATTTTCTCAAGGCCTAGTTCTAGAATATTAAATGTATATATATATATGTTTGTTTTTTAGTAGGTGACGATTCGTTAAGCGTACCCATAGACTTGATTGCCTTGACAGAGACAAGTGCGGACAACACGTTCTTGGATTGCCTGAGTCCAGAGCTGGCGTTTTTGCCAACATGCCGTGCAACAAAAGCTTGACCGAAAGTACAAACTAATATCTATGCTTAGCAGTCGTGCGCAACATCCAAGGGAAGGGTGGCTACCTAAAGTAATAACAATAGGTACTATACACTGGGCTCCTATCTGTCTTTCTAGAAGCCATATTCCAATAACTATTTTAAGCGTGCTTCCCTATATTTTATTGATCGGCTCAAGCGAGTCCACAATATTTTCTCTGTCTGGCGGAATTGGATGATCAGTAAGGCTATAAAGAGTTGTTAATTCTGTGTCTTACTGGTCGACATTAATGTCAAAGCTGCACCTTCAAACTGAAACTCATCTTGAATCTCCAAGGTGTGATTGTAGATAATTGTAACGATTACTCCACGAAACATGGTGATTATTCGAAAAATGCGCTGCCTATAGTGTATTGTTGCGATCTGCCAAATATCATGAGTATTTCACTAGATTCACGATTTTTGGGATTTAGCTTACGGCTTTTCCAATGTATACAAAAAAATAGCACCGATTAAGCCATATCCATGTTGTAGGTCCTTTACTTGGCCTCTATACGGAGTGCGGCTGCGTTTATCGAGTTTTTGAAAAGGGAAAAAGGTATTCCTCAACCATTGTGCTGAAGTTTGTGTAGAGGGAGGAGCTGCAGGCGAAAATGGATTGACCAGACGACTACGATAGTCCTACTTTTTATTTGGATTGATTAAAAATAGCCTTATTTCTCACAAGGAAAGGTTCTTAATGCCTTCAGGGAGCACCAACCATTATATTTCCCATTCAACAGGGCTTAGTAACCAGTCATCCTTTCCAGCTAGTTCGTCTGCCCTGGCTCTCTTTTTGGGGTCCCAAGTCAGCATCTTCCGTATAAACCGCAAGAACTGGTCTTTTTCTTCGCCTGGTGGAATAGACGTGACAAATTCCTCTAGAGAGTTCTGCGGTATTTCAAGCTCAGAGGATAATGCCCAGTTCCCTTGCACGTGAGCTTAGCTGCAACGCCCAACTACAAGGTTGAGGAAGAATAACAACTCACCATCCTCATCAAAGTAATTTGAGAAAATCGGGCTCTGTTGAATCAACTCCAGAGGGGGAGGGCCAAGATATCCAATATACTGCGCTAGGGCTAATGGTAAAACATACTGACTATGAACGCGGTCAACTGGATCAAAGATATTGTTTCCTTCCAAGAGCTCAAGAGTCTGTCAAAACGGCCATCAACACCGAATTTAGTTGCATCATGTAAAGTTGAGCTTACCATCACACCAATAGACCACATATCTACAGGGCAGCCCCATGGGAGTCCAAGGACAATTTCCGGGGCACGATAGAGATCCGACATCCACCAATCATTGTTTCCACCTTCTTCGATTGCACGCATTTGGCCGAAGTCGGTAAGAATTGGCTGTGAGGTAATTCTAGGTTCGACCGGAACGGACTTATAAACAACAGAGCCATCGTCATTCGTTATTGGGACACTGTTAGTTAATGGTGCCCGAGCCTCAACATCCTTAAGGATGGAATCGTTTTCAATTTCCATTAAAATATTTTGAGCGGAAATATCTATCACACAGAGTAAGAAAAATCCGACGTGCACAAAAAGAGGAATTCTCACCAGTATGTGCAACATTACAGGTAACATGTAGCCAATTCATGACGAAAAGGAGACGGTGAATAAAACATTTTGTCATTGACCTTGGCATCCTTGAAGTAGGAATAAGCTCCTGCAGCGTACGGAGACTGCTGCCTTGAGACTTGAACGCCATACAATAATGTTGCCCAAATTGGCTTTCAGTCTCGAAAATTTCATTTGCAAGGCGTATATAAGGCAGTCCAATATGCTTGTCCCCGTACTTAGCCTCTTCTTTTTCTTCAAACTCCCTCAGCCGTCGGAGCATATTGACTTCGTTAAAGACAGGGCAGGTTTCAGCGTTGTTAACTCGTACAGACACCTTTAGCGAGATATACTCCGATGCTCTAGATGCAGATTAGCATGAAATGTAGGGTCGTAGGGCCGCAAAGAAAAGACCTTCCATCCCACGAAAGCCAGACTGTAGAGTAGGCGCCATAGCCAAGTTTCGCGATTATTCGGTATCGATTGTTGAATATTTGACCAATCTTGACCGGGTAGTACTTTTTCTTGAAATAAAAGGACAGAGTTTGTTCTTCGATTTTTTCGGGGCCCGCCATCTTATGTGCCCATCGGTAAGAGAACAAAGGCCTGGAATGAAGTCGAAGAGGTCGAGGTCGCACGTATAATAAGTTGATCAGGCGCATCCCAATATGCTCCGTCGCACTCTTGTAGTAAACGAATGTTTGGCCAATTCTGGACTTGGGATGCGATGTTGCAGCCACTCCTATTTGACTTCAGTGTTCTTGAGAGCTCGGGCGGAACTAACAGTTAACATAATGTAGTAATGTATGTACGTACGAGAAGAGCCCGCTTACTGTTCTCTTGCTAGCAACTTAAATGCTGGAAGGAACAGAGGGTTCAAGGGGTTATCTGAAATATTCTGCTGTTCTAGATATTAAGTTTGTTGTGTTTTCCATCTCAAAGTACTCCATATAAATACTCAGTACGTGTTGAACCAGCCAAACATGACTAACTAAGATCTATCACAATAAGGTGTTGACCTTTTTAGTTGAGTGGCTTGGTCGTCTAATAATAACACGCTAGGTTAGATGTTATTACACAAGCCCTTGTCCAGCGGCTCCAGCCTGCCTAATTTGGTAATACATCAAACCCTACTACCGTACTCCGTAATTGATCGGAAACCATATCAAACTCTATTGGTAGCTAACCCTAACCCTTCCTTACTTCAATAGCTTTTTATAACCTTGACCTTCAAGTAGCTTGGAAATTGAGCAAGAGTTTCCCCCCGAGTAGTGTAACCTTGTTATATTTGGGGTTTAGTATTTGATGGAAATGGCCACGACTCGACGTGATCTACGAGTGCTGCGCAGCCATGTGCTTTGAATACTATGATCGTCAAGTGGAACCAGATTGATTCTTAAGGATGCGTTAAAGGATCGAAGAACGAAAAATGTCGTGACCGAGATTTATTTTACCATTGCTGCTGTATTCGAGTTGGACCTGTCAGCAGAGTCCCGTCGCCGGTTACCTCTTGAATCGATGAACGGTGAGAGCCCTGGATTTAACAGGGAAAGATGTTGTAATGTCCAAGAGCCACGGCGGTAGATCATAAGCTTTTTTTCCCTGGGAAGGGCATAGTCCGCATCTGCATCGAATTCAAAAGCAACATGGCCGCTCCAGTCTTTCCACAGCACGGATATTCAAATTGCATTGTTCAATTCCCCTAAATACGGTAAAACCGAGCCTGGGTATCTCTTTGTTACGCCTTGGGCGAATGGTCGCAGTCATCCTTCAATATACCAAGATAATGGCCAGCTTGTCTGGCAGGGACCAGAGGGAACCAGCTAAGGATTTCGACAGCAAACCCTCCGTGGTCAGCCAGTTATTGTTTACTGGGAGGGCCAGCTCAACAAAAGAGGCTATGGTTATGGCTCGATAAATATACTTAACAGTTCCTGCCAACGGATCCATAAAGTGATGTTTGTCGATGAAACTTGCAAGGCCGGAACAAAGCGGCAAAACCATCCTTCCTACATAGACTTTTATGAGGGAGTGATCACTGGGAATGGGTCCATCATTGTGACTGCAGTCAATATCACTCAAGCTGATCTTCGACCTGTGGCAGGACCAAAGAACGGCTGGTTCGTAGACGCCTTGGTTTATGAGCTTGATATCGAATCAAACAAAGTTTTATTTCGTTGGAGCGCAATTGAACATCTTCAGAGAATACCGTTTAAACTATCCAAGAATCCACTTGCTGGAGCCGGAAGATCTGAGAGAGACCCATGGAATTTCTTTCATATAAATTCTGTTATTCGATATGGAGATTCTTACCTTGTGTCTTGGCGGTATGGATGCAGCGTGCTCCTTGTATCGAAAAATGGGGAGGTAATCTGGAATCTCAATGTGAGTAGCGCAAATTCCTGATGAATGCCGTTATTTTCAAGGCTATGAAGGTCAAAAAAATTGGTTCTAAGTTCCTTCTCTTGAATAGGGCATCAATGGCGGTGACTTCAAACTGGGCCGAGATGCGAATTTTTGCTATCAGTACGGCCTTCGCCTCTCGGATCAGACAAAGGACAAGATCACTATTAGCTTTCACAATAATGACAATGCGGAGTTTACTACCCGATTGAAGATAACAACGGGAATGATCTTAGATCTCGATTTGCAGAACAAGACGGCAGTATTGAAGCGAAGAGTTTGGAATAACGCAGATCCGGTCAAAACCCAAGACTTGGGAAGTTTTCAAAGTCTTCCCAATAACCATATACTAATGAAGTAATGATAATCCCAGTGATTGAGGAGTATAACGAGAATGGTGCGCTTGTTATGAAAGTTCGCTATGGCTATGATAAAGTCGAGTCCACTTATTGTGTTCATCGAGTCCCTTGGATTGGCACACCCAAAACAAAACCAAGCGTTAAAGCATGCCGCACTGTTCCTAGTGGGGAGCTAACAGTGTACGTGAGTTGGAATGGGGCAACAGGAGTGGAATCTTGGATGGTCTATGAAAAGCCAACCGAAGGGCCGTCAAAGATGTCGAAGATCGAACCAAGGAATGGATTCGAGACGGCAATCAGAGGAGTGAAGGATGCAGGTAATACCGTTGTAGTTGGTGCAGTTGGAGGGCCCAATAATGGTGTAGAATCCAACCCCGTTGCGGTTATCGATTGTTCTTAATATGCGGAGCAGATAGGGAGAATATTTGAGCGGTGTGGACATTCAGGGGACTTCGGCACAAGATATCAGCTCTCAGTGAATTTCGAACTTGATATTAGATAGCAGGATGTATCATGGCGAAGAAGACCCGAACAGCCATGTCGAATAAACTCATTTACCTTCAAATTCGCCTCGTATCCTCAGCGTGTGCCAGGCCAGGAAGTTGGGGTTACATGCTGGTATAAAAAATATCCTCTTGTGGTACGGAGTGGTTACTGCATAATGCAATATAGCAAGATTCAGCTACTTGGCAAAGGTCCAAGATATTCCGAACAGATTCTCGTGTCTCCAAGTATGGCCAAGGCGTCCAGGGTTGCTTTAGAGCCCCCCCACCCTCCGTCTATCTGCTTGCTTCGATGTACATAGGCGAGCGATCTCTATGTCTTGGGCGGATCAAAGGCACATCCCCTGTGGCCCTCTGGAGTTGAAATCTCGATGCGTTTGCGCTTGTGACCCGTGTCAAGGTCCTCAGCGCTTAACTAAGGTCCCCATTTAGGTCAGGATAGTAAGATACGCGCAGAGGTAGGTTGGCGATGCGCGTTGTTCCCCGTAGTCCGCCTGCCGTGGGTTAGTTAACCACCGAGTTATGTAGTGGGCCGAGCGACATCATCGAGAATGCGAAGATGTCGCTGGCAGTGTCGCCCTGAGACGGGTAGGGCAAAACAGGAGCCTGTCAAGAGTCTCGCAGCTGTGATCAGCGCAGTCGCTGGCGGTTCTCCTGGCGTTTCACCGTGGCCGGCCGTCGCCCACCGTTTTGCCGCCGTTTCAACTGTGGTTAAAGTCGGCGCCTGGTTGCTCCTCTCGACCGTGCGATCGCAACCCAGACAGAACATCACTCCATCACATCACACTCTCTTACCCTTCTCCCTCCCTCTTTATGCTGCCTGCCGTTCGTTCACACACTCTCTTGTGAGCTGGCTGCTTGTTGCAATCGTTTGCTGCCTAGTCGCGCTGCTGACGCTCACGTCATTTAACTACCCACCGCCGATCTCGCCCGCTTAGGAGTGGAGGACATTATCCTCCGCCCGCGACTCCCTGCCCCCCGACCGAGAGTGTCATCACTCCGATCACTCCATCACCGCTGAGACAAAACGAGAGCCATCTCATATGCCACCGGCTAATTCGCCTAATGTATGTTATCGCCTCGCCCCCCCTTTTGCGCTGATATGACGCTTCCTTTGGCCGTTCTTGCTTCACCAGCTGACTAGGTCTACTCCAGCACGAAACGACCCGCGCTGCGACCTCCTCGCCCACTCCGTTCCTCCAGCAGCTTGAAATCATCTCTACCCCCCCGATAGACCTCGCCGCCACCCTGATGAGTCATCCAGAAGACTCTGCTCACGACCAGAATGTCAGTTTCTTGCGGGGTGCTTGGGCGTCTTACGATGAGCAGAATACCGCATCTGATCATTCCCGGGACTTGGGATGGAGTCGCGTATCAGACCCCAGCGTTCCTAGTCCGAGCAATGTAAATACTCTCCGGAGATACCACCGATCCAACAGGGAGGGTGATCGCGTGCCGATCGTGCGACGCCGCAGCGCTAGGCCAGGGGATTACCGCGAGCTGCCCTCGCAGTATTCGCAATCTGTATACGGATGGTCTCCAGAGATGGACGATGAATTTGAAGAGAGCTCAGGCCCGTCATCGGCTGTTCTGCAGCGCATGTGGCATTCTCGGGACATCGGGAGAGTCTCCACACGGTCCCTGGCTCCAACGTATGAATCGAGACGCCCATCGTCCAGGCCTGCTATAACTGTGAATGGCGAAGAAGAAGCGCGAAGGAATCGACTGACTCGCTACGACTTTTATCGCGACCCTGCTCTGGTCACCGCAGCTTTGTTGCAGTCTGTTCGTCGCAATCCGAGAATACCCGGGAGACAGGTCCCAGATTCGAGAAGTAGAGAGGACGATGACTTCGATGACCTCGATGATGATAGACAATCGCAACAGGCCATTTTGGCGTCTCGAGGCATTCACCCCCGCTCTCCTCCATCGATTCGGGGGGAGCTCTATCGGAATGAACTACGTCGAAAGTACTTGAAGGACCCGTCTATCGATCGCCTCAGAGAAGCAATTCAGTATTTGGACCGAGTTCGGTTTTCCAGTTCATACGAAGAGAGCCTCTCCTCGGCTGCGGCAGGTGGATTTGTCCAGTTTGATTACTTCCTCCGCAACGAAGACGATTTCATTCTAAATACTGACTCCATCGCGGCTCCTGCTGAATGTTCGTGGCTGAAACCAGGTGCAGTCTTTTCCGGTCATCAACAAGCTACTAACGCCGGCTCACCACGCATGCTATCTCACCGAGTATCTGAGTCCTCGCGTATAACAAATCCTACAACTATGTATGAGAATGAAGGGGCTCGTATTACTGTTCACACTAGCAGCGGCCGCCGTTATTGGGCGCGCAACTCGGTGGATCTCGGCCGCAGTGGAGCGGAAAGCGTATCGAACCCCAACCCCAAGACAGAACACTGGCCTGTCAAGGTAACTATTCATAACATCGATTACAGCACAATGACATTATCGGGGACAATGGAAGCTTATAATATCCCTGATAAAACCGCCTCTAACCAAAGCGCTCATATTGTTACCTTCTTAGAAGGAGAAATCATTGACTTCAACACTCATACATTGGAAACTAAGAACTTCAACGCAGGGCCAGAAATTGACAGCTGTTACTGGAGAGAAATAGAGCCTTTTAAAGATCAAACTTACGATGAGATTGTAAAAAATCTTGTCAGCAAGAAATGGCTTGCGGAGAAACTAGCAAAGGGCTGGATTCTAATGAGATGGAAAGGTGTGTATTTCGCCGTTTCACTACATTTTAGTCATTATTTTCTTTTGTTCCAGAGGTTCTGATAATAACCTTTTCTTTTTGCAGAGCGTTGCTTTGTTTCACCGTCCCACTCGCGCCAAGGGCTCACCATTGGTGGATTTTATTACATTTCCATCCGTCGAGACAACGGCCGCATCGAAGGAATGTACTACGATCCGGGAAGCTCACCCTACCAGCAACTAACCCTTGAGCCTGTCATGAAACAGAAGATGGTGTTCCCCGCCTACAGTTTCCGTTAAACACTGTACTCGGAGCTAACGCGATTGTGATATGATCGTCATCGGATAGTTCCACTTCTACTTACAGCTGTTCGGTTCCCAGATATCCAATAATTAAGGAAATATTTACTCTGCTGAGCCTTTTTATGTTTGCCGATACATTTATAAGATCGTCGATAACTGTATGTGTCCCCCATATTGGACGGAGTTTTGCATTTTCTATCTGTTAAATTAGATATCTACTCGAGCTTCTCGTATAAGATAGATGAATTACACAATGTCAGACTGTTGTATGAATAGCCACTATTTTCGTAGTTAAGTATGACCCAATTATTGAGTCGCTGATGATTCCAGATGATGCTTTTATTGGGTGAAGAAAAGCAGTTACAATAAAGGTTGCATATGAATTGTTGATTTCAAGCAATAAGTGATTTATAGAAGATCCATAAGAGTACAAGTCCAGGTTACACACGGAACATTTGGTCCGTCGAATCCGATATGTTTTCCTGGTCACCCAATGGAAACAACATTAAACCCCCTTGCCACTTTTTTTACGGTTATATTTTTGGTTGTATGAACCGTCATTGTTTTCAAAGATTCTCGGTCTGGAAGTAGTTGATGAGAATGGACCGTTCCTGAGATTCTTCTCCCCAGTCGCGTACGACGACGCAAGAGCAGTTGACAACCTTGCGGGGGTTTCCTTCGCGGTCAAGCACGCCTAAAAAAAGGGCAATTAGCCACCTCGAAGCCGTATAAAAACGACCTCAAATCTCCTCTCTGGGGGGAGCCCCGGGACTGGAGCAAAACCACATACAAAGTCCAACCCATTCGCCCAGCATCTTGCCATCCGGAACCTTGATCAACGGAATCTTATGCTCCAGGCACAGCGCAATAACCAACTTCTTGTAGGCCTCCTCCTCGCACGCCTCGTTGAGCACGCACATGTGGGCCTGGCGACGATCGAGGGCTTTGGCGGCCTCACGGAGTCCTCGTGCAAGACCGTCGTGGATGAGAGCGATCTTCAAGGCACCCTTGAGGGCATCCATAACGGACATAGAGCCACCGGCAGCGGTACCGGAAACTTCGACCTCTTCGGCCGCGACAACAGGATTCTCTTCTCCGTCCGACTGTAGTAAAACAAGCAAAAAGTGTTAGCCGTAAGAAAACTCGCATAAGACTTGCTCAAGTGGTCGATTCCTAGCCATCCACCACCTGTACAAGCAGTGGTGTTTGAGTTGAATCATTATTGGCAACATTATTGATCCAATTATCGTCTTTCGCATCGAGCGTAGAGGGGTATATGCGTACCATATTGACTTGAATTATAGCTACTGGAGCTCTTTCAACAGCCGGATTATCCTCAAAGAGTGATGGGTTGAGTATGGAAAAAGTAGACGTTTGGTTGTGCCCAAAAGGGATTTGATTTTAGCTCGGCTAATCCGTGTGCCCTATGTGATTATGTAATGACATCGAGCCAATGCCAAGCCAAGCGCCACCTTGGAATTCAGACATGAACGAAGGAAATGACAGCCACACCGCCAGCCCAGTCGTAAAGAACGTAGTAATCGATCCCAAACGAATAACACGCTTGTCCAACCAGCAATATGGAACAAAAACCCACAGCCACGCTTTGCACAAGAGGTCTAATATGTCCATCAAACCCGAGAGTCGCTAATCCGCCCATAAGAATGAACCTGTGTAAATGGTGACGATTAGATAGCCTAGGATGGAATCAAGGACGAACTCCTTGTTCACAGGGTAGGAATAGTATGATTAACGGTGTTTGCAGGAGAAGTAACATTATTAGCGTCAGAAGCCTGCCCGCTACGATGTTGCAAAGATTGAACATAGACACGTTCCTCCTCAGGCATATCCATAAAAGCCATGTTACGCATATGGATTTGGAAATCCTTCAGATGTGGAATATGCGGAACTAAGTCCATAAAATCAGATAGCTACTATTTGATTAGCAACTACACACGAAAATTATCCCGAATCCGCTCACCTTTACCCAAAATATATGTTCCATGAGGTAGAATTTCGGCTTAATCGCTTCAATACGACGGCTGGTGTCGTCAAGAGAAGAACTAAGAAGGCACAGTTCCTCAGCATAAGCCAGCATGCCTCGGGTCAAGCGCCAGAGGCCATATCTTTGTTCGAGGGTCGCGATTCGTTTTTCCCAGCTTGGGTCTAGAGGACCAATCAAAATCAAATTTTAAACAGCATGTTAGAGGAGGTGTGGGACTTACATTGAGAAAGCTGGAGGTCGTTGGTAGCGAGAAGAGGAGCAACCTGGTAGTTCACAATCCACTGTTCCTCCCCCACTGCCGCGTCGCAGGAAACATCGATTGCTCTTCTCTTGACAGTGAAAAGAGGTATAAATCTGCTGAGCCAAGCGTGGTCTTTCGCCTTTGGATCATTGGAAGCAATAAGATTTGCCGCTGTACGTAGTCGAAATGGAAGGGCATCCCGACGTCTTTGCTCTTTTTCTTCTTGTTCCCTGCGGATTTTTGCCAGGCGGGAGGCTTCCTCCTCGATCAGTCTTCGTTCCTCTTCAGCTTGCTTAATACGTTTCTGTTCTGCATCCTTGCGTTGTCTTTCCGCTTCGTCTTCTTCGTCTTCGGCCCGCTTGCGTGCTGCTGCCGCTGCCGCTGCCATCACTGCTGCTGCCGTTGCTGCCGCGGCATCGGCCACACCAACGTCAGAACCTTGAGTTTCGTCAACATCGCGAACAGTCATAGCGTCCAACGCATCACCAATTCGCGCCATCTCACCTGAACGATGTTTTTCTTCTGTACGATCACTTCTTTGGGATCTATTGACTTGTTCCACCCCCTTTGCACTAACATCATCCACAACATCGGCAGTGGTGGCGCTTGAGGGCACTTGAGCCATTTCGGAGTCTTGTAGCTTCTTGCTATGAAGCAGACAGTCGATAGGTGTCGTTCTTCTTGAACTTTGAAGGCTGGGATCTTTAGGCTGAGTATTTGAATGCAGGGGGTGATCAGTAAAATGTCGTCTTGCTGATTCTTTAGAAGGAGGGCTTTTTTCGGCTCGGATTTTTCGCCTTTTATGTTGAGCGTCGAAGTTGCTCTCGCCACCCTTACTTCGGATCCGGGAAGACGGCGTTTTTGGGGATAAGCTTTCTCGAGACCGTTTCGACGGAGAAGATTCCTTGACACGTCGTGGGTCAAGGTTAGGTCGTCGCTCCTTTGATGAATCGTCTCGAGCTGAATTCGAGTCTGTCGACATAAAACTCCCTCTTCTTCGATCCGGGGGGCGTCCAGCAATCAAACGGCGACGCTTTACTGGTTCTTCACTTTGGCTACCAGTTTCGCTATATTTTTTAGAGTCGGAGAGTAATTTTGGTTTCGTCATTCGGGAACGTATAGAATCCGGATCTGACGCTGTTTGGTATTCACTAGTATCGTCTCGAAGGTGTGTTCTTCTATGCGATGTCACGGACGCACGATCCAAACTGTCATCCTTCCTGATATCCCTTTTCGTTTTGATGGAATTTTGCAACCCTTGTTGAGCACGAGAGTCGGGGCTTCTTCCTGGCTTGCGATGGGAGGATGCGGGCGAAACTGAGGCTTTTTGAGAATGCCTTGGAAAATCTTTACAAGAGTCCCTAAACTTTCTGGGCGATTTGAGTTCTGGCCTCCCTGGTTTTGAAGATTTGATGAAGTTGTCATAGGCATTTTTCAACAACTCAAATTCGTCCCGCCAACCCTCACCTTTTCGGTCTTCAGATAGCTGATAATAGGTGCGACCTCGATGATCCGTACGCGTAGGATCAAAGCCCTTTTGTTCAAGAAGGAGCTTTATTACCGAATTATTACCTCTACCAATAGCCGCTAACATGGGGGTGTCATATCCTGGTTTGTGGTTACTTGCCCGAATCGGCTCTGGATTTGGATCCGGATTTCCCATCCCCAGTAAAATCCCCAACACTTCATCATGGCCTCCTTTAGCCGCTGCAATCAGTGATTCTGAATCCGCTTTTTGAAGAACATTAAGAATATTAGCCACGCCAGCTATGTCCCCTTTAGCCGCAAAGTCCCGCAAGTTTTCCAACGTTTGCCGCGTCCAAAGAAGATCATTTCGCGTAGCTTCTCTCCTTACATTTTTCCGCCGATTTAATCCTATTGGAGGGGAGGTTCTTGAAGCATGGGATCCGGGAACGGGCGGCGAATTTCGAGGACTTGCTACTGATGCTCCACGGGAAGACGCTTCCTTGATGGGGGCGCTGACTGGTATGCTTCCACTAGTATCCGAAAGTTTCCGTTGAGGGCCTCTCTCCTTCGCCTCCTCGATTACTTTGCGTAGTTCTTCATAATCTTCATTCTCTACTCGAATAAGGTCATACGGCTCATCACCCTGTGCATTTCCCACGCGAGGGTTTGCGCCAGCATCGAGCAGCAATTTGACCACGTCCAGGTGACCGTTCTCCACGGCATCAATCAGGGGGGTGTCCTTGTCAATATTCTTTGTGTTTAGATCGCAACCGGAGTCCAACAAAAATTTAACAATATCGGCACTTCCTTCAAGGGCTGCTATTTGAAGCGGTGTATTTCCAGCGTTGTCGGGTACGTCTAGTTCCTCCGGATGTGTTGCATAGCGGGCTTTCGCAACCTCCACTTCTTGGGCAGCGCAGGCACGAGCCAGTCTCGTCCGGCCATTTTGATCGCGTTGCCGTTTCATCAGTGGAATTTGTTTCGCAGGTGAGGTCGCACTGTATTCGTGGCGAACTCGCCGTCCTGTCGGCAACGGAGAACCACGTGAAGAAGAAGCTAGAGAGTCTTCCGAGCTGTGCCGTCGGCGGCCAGTCAGGAGAGGAGAAGGAGGACGCTTTCTTTTTTGTGAATGATACGTTGGTTGTGATGATGTTGACAGTACACGCTTATGTGAGCGAACAGCTGGAGATGTTGAACGGTCATGAGAAAGGTGACGGGAGTGTGAGGAATGGTGTCTTGTTTCACGCAACGCATTCCTTCCTTGTCTTCCATGGCGCCTTTCATTTTGAACGTTATCATCACCATCCCCAGAAACATATTTCTGATGCTCAATGCTTCCAATCACCCTCCCATTCTCTGAACGAGATAAGGAGACGGCGCGAGTAGTGGAACCAAATATGGGCTCCTCCACCTTTTCTTTCTTTAAGACCAAGGTAGGAGATGGTAATCTTGAGTTTGGTCTGCTCGACTGGCGGGCCCCGCCAGCCTCGTCGTCTCGAGGGTCATGTTCCATCCTTTTTCTTTTTCTGGCCTTAAAGTCATCGCCCATTGAAATACATCTCGTCCCAGCAGGTTCATGATGGTGTCGTTTTCCACCGTTGCTCTCAAGCTTCTGCTGTTGTGGGAGTCTCTTTTTTTCGGGTGAAAGCTCCTCTCGCCCCGATTGAATGATGGTTTCCGCTTCGGAATCGGCTTTCACACTCCTCGCATCGTCATTGTTGTCATCAGCCGCTACCTTTGCTCCATTGAGAGGTGTTGACGTAGTGGGTGGCGGCAAGAAGAATGCTTTTTCGCGTTTGTCGTCTGCCAAACGTTGTTCAGCGGGGTGGTTGTTGGAGACGGCCGGTGAGAGGACTGAGGCCACTTCAGCATCATTCATAGCGGCTGCTCTCGAGACAATATGCTTATGTGTCGCATCATCAGCGGCGGTGATGTGTTTGCCGATTGAAGTAGCCACCAGCAGGGCGAGATGGCTGTTTCCGTCCCAAGTACGAGCGTGCGGAAGACAGGGGGACCCGGGCGTGCAGTGGGACCAGTGGTGGGCACTTGAAACAGAGAGCGTGGCAAAGGTGGGTGGTCTACAGTCGCAGGTGGTGGGTGTGAAGCGCAAGAACAGGCAGACAGAGGCACAATCGGCGGCAGCGTTGAAGTCGAACGCCGTCGAAACAGCGACGAAGGCAAGAATGCGTCGTATTGAGATCTGGGTTTGGCGCTAGCATGCTTCGGGCAACCCGGGCTGAGGTCGCTAAGCCCGATTGGGGCGGCTCACTGGCTCGAGAGCTTTTTGGCTGCGAAACACGCGATGAAGCCAACAACAACAGCTTGCTAGCCGCGGCGACACTCTGGAGGCCGAGGACCCTGCCTGCAAGGGCGGTGGCCGCGCGGGCTCTGGCTATGGAACTCAAATGGACCTCGCCGTATTCGAATACGGTAGACATGCTCCGCGCAGGTTTCCTAACGGTTGCAGGGGCGGTATGTATCTGTGCCCGATCGCGATGCAACACCGCTGCACCAAGCTGATCGACCCCAGATCTTGGCCGCGAATAACATCGGCCTGCTTCGTCGGCGGTTCATATCGTATGGAGCACGATCTGGCCAACCGTCTGTCAGCACTGGCGGCAAAAACCGTCAGAAACAAACTGCGGAGACGCCTCGAACCGCACTGGAGCGTGTCTCGGACTTTATAGCCGGGTGGAGTGTACCGCACGCCTACTTTATTCATTTCTATATCGTGTCCGTCCTATTTTCTCTCGTCTGGGCTACCCAATTGGCCACTCGAGGACCTCTCTTCAGGGTTGTAGCCGCCACTCTCGGCGAGGGAAATCTAAAATATTCCATGTCACCCAATCAGGTTCTCCTGTGCTGGCTTCTATATACAATCCAAGGAGTTCGTCGGCTCTATGAGTGCGTCACGTTGATCCGGCCATCAAGCTCTCGGATGTGGATTGGCCACTGGTTGTTTGGACTAGGCTTCTACATGGCCATGAACATGGCTATCTGGGTAGAAGGAAGCGGTAAGGATCACAAGTCGCCCCCTGTCCTCATACGTTTCAATATCTCGCGTGACCTTGATACCTTATTAACATGAAACCAATTCTAGGTGCCTTGCTTTCAATGTCTTTCTTGCTAGGGGATGTGAGGGCGATCTCGCCATCCCTGAAGACAGTAGTGTTTCTCCCTATTTTCTTAATTGCATCTGGTATCCAGTATGATTGCCATTGTTATCTGAGCTCTCTCAAAAAATATACCCTCCCCGATCATCCGGCATTCTTAAGGATCGTCTGCCCTCATTACACGGCAGAATGTGCTATCTATTTGGCCTTGAGCTTTATTGCGGCGCCTGATGGGCACATCGTGAACAAAACTGTTTTCTCCGCCTTCTTGCTCGTGGTTGTCAATCTAGGTGTTTCGGCTGGCATCACAAAAAGCTGGTATTCTCGAAAATTCGGCGCCGATAAGATGCAGGGCAAATGGAAAATGATCCCCCAGCTGTACTAGATCGCCATCCCGGCTTAAAGCCAGCAGTTGTAATACCATCGTCATCTCTTGTTGAGAAATTTTATTGTATTCCCAAGTTTTGACACTCGAAGAACATCTCGATATGTCAGACTGACCCTTGTTTGTCTGTTATAGCTCCCTGCTTGGAATTGAGTTTTATCTCCAAGTTGCTCCCAATTGCTTATTTCACCTGAGTCAAGATCATTATCGGTTGTTCTCTCAGCGATACCATGCATATATTCGGTGTACAAGTCCCCCGTTGTTATCAGCAAGCTACGCGGCTCCTGCAAGATCCTATACCGTGGTGTCTGGCTGGTCATGATATCGCTTGCCAATTCTATAGATTGCTCATCGTCGCGCCTCTTCTCATATATGTCCAAAACAATGGACGCAGATATGCTCACTGTAGCCACGATGGGGTAGTATGCCGCGCCATCTTCATGAGGCATGATGCCCTGGCCAGGCTGGTATTCATTGATGAGGACATGATTTGGGGCCTGGTGAGGCGAGCAGGCAAATATGTTCAACTCTGTAAATCGAGTTACTACTGGAGAGACAAGCCAGTCTGGAAGTGGTGACTCTAGTAATATGTTCGATTTTGTAAGTGCGGATGGCCATGTCTGGAGACGGCGTCGAGACAGGTGAGTCCAGCGAGGCAATGGCACAGATGTGACCTTTAGGCGAGGTTAGTTTGAAATTTACATGGCCAAATCACAATTATATGCACGCATGAAGAGAATAGAAAGTGAGCTGGCGCACCTTGCTCAGCAGGCGTTCTTCTTCCTCTGGAGAGATAAATTCGGGGATATAGTAAATATTCTTGGGCAGTGATTGAATACGAAACTGCTCCAAAGTGACTGCCATTATTTATTATCTTTCTTCGCCCCCTTGGACATGCTTACTAGTAGTATGAATACAGAGTGAGAGGAGTTTAAGATGGCTGTTAAACCATAGCGTTTTCGGTTGTTGAAGAGGTGACGTTGGATTTGGCGCAGTTTGGATTGAATCGGAGCGTGAACCTTGCCCCTCCTTGACGATTCATACATACATATCACAACTTTAGTATGTACAACGGTGTGGGTTCATAAACGTCGTATCAGTTTAGATGATAAGATCTTTAGTATTTCCTCAATAAACGCTACATTGTCCGCTCATATAACACCTATAAGCTGCAGCCGGCATTTTATTCTACTCCCCCACTTTGGCAACGCGGTATGGCCCCCAAAAACAAAGGAAAAGGAAAAGCGAAAGATAGCTCTGAAGGAGATGCGGGCGGAAAAAGCAAAGGCTTAAAGCCCGCAACTTCTATCAATGTTCGACACATTCTTGTATGTTTGTTCCTCAATATCCGACATCTCGCTTTACTACGCACCAACAATCTCCACCCCACGGCCGAAATATGAAGAGCATTGACGCATTCTATTAGTGCGAAAAGCATTCCAAGAAAGAAGAGGCTTTGGAGAAATTAAGATCGGGAACCAAATTCGACGATGTGGCGAGGGAGTTTTCAGAAGATAAAGCCAGACAAGGTATGGTGACTTGGTGACAGCGTATATACCGAAAATTCTAATGTCTCTATTTCAAACAGGCGGATCGCTGGGCTGGAAAATCAGGGGCAGCCTCAATGGGGACTTCGAGAAAGCCGCATATGACTTGGAGCCCAGTACGACAGCTAATCCAAAGTATGTTGAAGTAAAAACGGGCTTTGGCTATCACATCATCATGGTGGAGGGGAGAAAATAAACTGGCTATAGTACTTGTGTAGCAGACACTGAGATAAATAAAGAATCATCCGATCCTCCAATACCAATCTTTATCAAATTGTAAAAATATATGTACATTGCACGTTCTGCCCCAAATCTATTTTTTCTAGCTGTATTCATATAAAACATGAAGCCACACCAGCTTTTATAATTCTTTTTTGGCCGTTACGGCTTCACTCTTCGCTAACCTTTCTTTTTCTTTGTTCTTTTTCGCTTTCTCTCTTCTCTGGACAATAGCTTCAGCTCCAATGCCACCAAACACCAATCCCACGCCAAGCCACTGCCCTCCAGTAAGCCTATGGCCAAACCACATCACACTAAGAAGCATTGTGAGCATTTTTCGGGTTACCGTTACTGTGACAAGAAGTAGTGATGAGAAGTGTGCCAGCGTGTAGAATATAAACAATTGGCCAACTGCGCCACAAGCAGCAAATGCCACGACATCTTTCGTGGCATGGGGGTGGCGGGATAGAAATGACAATGCAGACGACAACTCGTTCGTTTGCGATGGAGGTACGGGTAGCGGGAGAATAGGAAGAATCGAAGAAGATATATGAGGCGCAAGTAGGAGGTAGGAACTCGTAAGGAGAGTTGACAAAACATTTTGTGCAACCATTAGCTGAGGGCCGGTGAATTTAGAGTATAGGTTCGGCGACGAGAAGATGTGATCCTGGGTAGTGTTGGTCAAGCCATCGAGAAGGAGGTTGACGGAGAGAAGAAACAGTCCGAAAGCTGAGGAATTGTTGTCGTTGAGTTTGCTGCTCTTCTTCTTGCTAGCCGTAGGATGATGCAGGGTAAATGTAGCAACACCCACAGTGACCAGAAGGATCACACCATATTTGTATAAGGGGTATCTCTTCCGAAAAATAGTGAGGTGAAGAAGCATGACAGGGAGAAGTTTGCACGATTTGGCAAGAATGAAGGTAAGATAATCGATGTGCGCCAAACTCGCATATCCAAAGGGCGAGGCAAGAGAGGAAGATATGCTGACGAGAATTAGGGGTATCAGGATGCGACGAGTTGGGAAAACAGGTAGGCGTTTCTGGCCTCGCGGAGTGGAAAAGTACAGATAGCAGAACCCGGTAATCGCGGCAAAGAAGGATTGAATGGTGTTAAGCACGACAGAGAAAGTGAATCGCTCTGTTGGAGGGTGCGGATTCTGTGCTGTTGGGGGCTGGACGGGCCAGGCGGTTGTAGTGATGGTCTCCTGGAGGACGCCCCAGGAAAGACTATGGAGAACATACAAATTAGAACGGAGACATTGTGGCAAGTTGGCAGGAGGTATTAGGCTCACAAGGAAGCGTAGATGCCCGCGACACAAATGACAAGCTGCAAAAGACCAGCCTGTTCCGAGGAATGCGCGCTGGAGCTTGTCGCGATGCCGTTCACCTTGGGCTTGATCTCCGGCAGGTCTGGCGGAGCTTGCATGACGCCCGACGACGGGATCCGCTGCAAGGGTACTTTTTGCTTCTCGCGGGCCATTGTGTGTAGGTATGGGAGACTCAATTCTTCTTGTGTGGATGGAGAAAACGGAGTGTTATTCAAGATGCCACGTTAGGCTTGTTCACGCGCTCGAGGTCTTTTTTTTGGTGCCGTTTTTATTAAAGGACACCATGGCCTGTGAGGATCACGCGCATAGCTCCTTGCCCCCGTTCTCGTCGCAAAGCCGTGGGCAGAATTCTCGATTTCTAGCTATCCAGTCAATGCCTTGAATTCAAGAAGCTGTCAAGCTGCGCGCCTCCCGGCAATCATGGTCTCTTGATGTGGTTGAAGGTGTACTGAGCCTGGAATGGACGGAGTCTGGCCAGCTGGTTTAGGTAGTTAGTCAACAAGTTTAAGAAGCAAGCTAGCAAGCGGGACCTTATCGGCAACTTTAACTGCATCTCTGCATATCGACCTGACACCTGCACACGAAAGCTCCAGCAAGAGTGGGGGAGAGATCTCGCGCCTCCAGCCATGCCAGATCCTGCAGCCTGAGCCCTCACCGCGAGACAGCCGCAATGGTCGCCTCTGCCTCGTCCACCCCGCAGCCCTCCGCCCTAACCACCCTGATCGGCTCAACCAACAGCGCCGCCGACGCCGTCGCCGCTCTCAGTGTCCAAATTCTTCACAACCTCCAACACCAACATCTTTGGACTTCCTTACGAATCCATGACCCTTGTAGTCTCTCCCCCCGCCAACATGCTCCCTTAATCTCCGGTTTTCCTCCGCAAACGGTCTACACGCACCCCGATGAACAAGCGTACCTCCTCGAACACCGCATCTCCCCTGACTCTGTGCCAGTAGAAAGAGAATGGATTATCCCCACGGCCCAGGGCCAGTCGTGGACTTTGAAAAAGCTATCTGGGCTGTTTGATTCCCTGCCAGAGAAAAAAGAGGATTTACCGGAGGAAGATATATCAGCAGAGGGGAAACCGAGAGATATGAAGTTGGAAGAGTTTATTAGGCGCAAGAAAGAAGAGCCTTGGGCAGGGAAAAGAGCCCTGCTGGCAATGGTGAATAGAAACATGGGTGGTGATGGCACTGTGGTGTACTACGTAGTGCTTGAAGGTGCTATTAAGCCTAGACAGAATTGAATCAGAGTTAGGTTTGACAATCTCAAACAATGATTTTGAAAAAGGCGCCCGGAGAATTCATGCTACATTTGATTCAAGGGTCTCAAATTCTACATTATTTGGAGGAAATGGTTATCAGTATCAATCGCAGCCTGCTAAAATCCAGTGTTTACGACCTATGTCACAACGGATAGTTATACATACATGCAATAGATGCCAAAATAAAATATGTCCATATATGTCACACTGCTGTGAGCCAACAACGATATAAAAAATTGGGTATCTAATTTTGGCCCGACCCAAAAAGAAATGCGGACAAGAAAAAAAAAAGATGCTTATTAGCGCCACCCATGCAAATCGCTGACCATTTTAAATGCCCGCTATTACCTTGCGTTGTTGCTCACAACTAAAACAGTAATCTTTATACCAATTTTCAACATCCTCGCTCTCTGAAAGGTTTTGCCGCATTTCTTCAATGCTCTCATTCTCAAATCGCCGTCCACGAAGTACGTGGTCGACCATTTGGCATCGTTTCGTTTCTTGTCGGACCCATCGCTCCCATTCTGCGCGAACAACTTCTTTTTCAATGCTATTTACTACCCTTAGAGCCACAAGGAGATCGTGGCGGTACGATCCAAGTCTCTCCCTTGTGCGTTGCAGGCGGTATGCTGCTTTATTAGGCTTCTTAGATCCCCCGGGTGTGCTAGCAAGAGCGAGGCTACTCTCGTTTGTTGTACACATAACATTTTCCTGGAATACCGAAAAACTAGATGCTATCAGGAGGGCATATTAAAATTTACCAGCCAGTATCGGTTAACTTACCAAGAACTAGAATCAGTAAAGTTTCCGTTGGTGATGATAGCTTCGTCGATATCCTTGATATATACCGTCTTTACGAGAGCAGTATTGGGACGAACGCCTAGGCGAGCCATGAAATTCCCAGCATTTCGTTCATGCCACCAATCGAGAGTGTCACGGTAAGAGTGATATCCATTAAAGAGTACACTGCAGATAAGAAGCGATATGATTACCCGGTGAGCGCTTGATGTTTTCCATATCCAGCGGACCAGAGCCCAGAACCATATCATTAAGGAGGAAACGGCACTCTGGAAGAGTGAGCCTGATGTTTCGAGTAGCAGAGGCATGAGTCCGTTTTGCCGCAGAGATCGTCGGACTTGTGATCTTGGGTCTAACGCAAGAGAGTCGGGGGTAAGTTTAAATGCCTGGGAGTCCTGCCCAATATCTCCAAACATAGAAACAGCCCTTTTGGTTGTATGATGATGGCCCAGTTTCCTTACTTGATCAGTGGCCAAGTCGAGCAGGTCAAGGGCATCTTGCTCGAGATCCTTCATCGCCTCTCGCTGGATGACATCTAGGGCGTATTAGTTAAAATACCAATGAACGCCTAATAGGAGAGAAAGCTTGCCTTTGATAAGAGGTGGTTTAAAGAGCCAATCCACTCTTGTGAAAACAGCAAGTTTGCATTTCGATTTTGTAACATGTGTAATTACAACCTTGCTGACTAGTTGAAATTGCTGTTTGAATGGAAGATGCCAAGGTGATCGTTTATCTGTGACAACATAACAAAGGTGGTCATTAAGAACATCCACAATTTGATAGTCAGATACATGCTTAAAATGACGGCGGCCTGTGAACAAACTTTAGCACAGCTAGAAAATAACATGGTAAGACTGGCAACTAACCAAAAAAGTCGGTGACTTCTATCTGGTACTCGAAGTGGCGTCTCATATGTGCACTATCAGCGTTCGACCAAACCCCTTGTTCAATATCTTCATATCAAATTAGCTCCCATTCTTACGCTGAAAGGTGTGTTGGACTTACTTTGCGCTGTCCGCTGAAGCTGAAGAAACTGCCAAACAGGACTCCGATCACCAAACAGAACATGAAACAATGCTTTGGGGCTAACATCAAAATACTTCTCTGCCACGGCATAAAGCTGGCCCTGTGGGATGTACTCAACTGGTTGAGCAGGCAGCCTGAATCTCGGCACCTCACCATGATGCTTAGCCTCGTTGTGGTCCAAATCAAGAGCCTTGTCAACATAAATACTAGGTTTCAGGTGTCTTTCTACTTTCTTGGTGCTTGAGCCGCTCATGGCCTCCGTAGATGTGCTCACATCATCCCAGCTGTCGACACTTGGATTCCGCTTTGGGCCTTCTTGCTCCATTTTTATAAGCGATTTAAAAACAGCCTCTAAGCTAGCGGGATCTTCTGAAGTCGCATTGTCAACAAGATAGTTCAGTCTGCGTTGAAGTAATTTTAGAGGCTCAAGGAACGTTTTGATCGTTAAACGTCCAGGGATATCGCTCCCCTTCGGGGGGATTAGATGCAGGTATAAGAAATCACAATCTCGGCCAGAAGCAGCAGTAACTTCCGATATACTACCAAGGCTTGCTGATGATGTTAGAACCAGTCCAAAGTAATTACTGTAAAAATAAAGCCTTTTTGTAGTAGTGTATACCCGTCCCGGAAAGTCATGCTGGTCATTTGGGCTAAACGTCGCTCGATATACTAGTACAAGTTGCTCATCTCTAGGGGCTTCTGGAAACAGTAGACGGAACTGGGCATCCTGAGGTTTCAAAAGAGATGGGTAATAGTTGGGATACTCATGCCGCGTGGGCTTAGGCTTGTCTTGGAAGCTGTTGCTGTCTCCAAGGCTGAGGGTTTGTCTGTGGCGATTGAGTGATGAAGTGGTGGGGCTTATAGGGTCATCGGCGGCGCCATCATAAGTCTAAGAAATGTTAACAAAATCCATACCAACAACAGAAAAAATTCTATACCTTTCCACCCCCTAACCCATCGGCTTTCTGTAGCACGTCACGCTCTAACTTATTTATTAATGCCCAATTCGAGGTACCCCATAGATTAGCCATCATGCCGCTAGGTACAGTCCCAGCACTGTCAGCAAGGCCAACGCCAATACCTCTTTCAACACTGACGGAAACTGCGGCTCTGCTCGTATTTGTTGGTGTAGGCGGGCTAACTAGTGTCGGCGGCGCGAGCGTAGAAGAAGGGGGGTCACGAAGTGTGGGTGGCAGCGGGCTTATCATGGGCTTAGTTTTAGTTTCCTGCTCAGCATGGTGGCCTGGAAGCAAATTATGACTCGCGGATAGAAGGCTTCCAATTCCAGAGCCAGACTGAGGAGATTGGCTGCTCGTAGCATGAGGGGCAAATGTTGCTTTTCGGTGCATTTCAAACTTTTGAATGATTCGGGGGGTATGATCACGTCCACCATCCACGTCTTTGTCAACCGCAGAGGTGCGTCTGGCTGGGGCCTCAGTACTAATGCGGTCTGGTAAAATGTCTCGATCAATATGTGCAGTACTCCCATGCTCATCGGTAGCGTTAGGAGTTAAGGACTCAGAAACATCTGCAGCGAACTCAGGAGCTGGAGGTTGGGAAATAGCAAATGCCGGGTCTTGAGAGGGCTGTTTCAAAGACGGTAGAAATTCCTGGCTCGGATTCTCGAGAGCCTTGCGTTTTGCAGCTTCGAATGAGCCAATCCATTCAGTTAGCTCCCTTTGTGTCTCAGCTTGCAGCATTATAGTGTTGCTTTTTGTTTTTACTTCAAAGCAAAACCGGCGCTCTTCTTGGAATGCTGGCCGAATGCTGCATAGCAAGACGCCGATTCGTTCACTCTCCTCCACTCCTCCTGTCCGGGAGCCTTGAACTAAACAACCAAAGATGCCATTTTTCAGAAAGGCCCATCGACGCACCCACACACTTCTGGTAGGCTTCCCAGTCAAAATCCTCAAGCTCAGCCAACCCTGCCTTTCTGGTGAAAATGTATGATCTGTTGCCATTTTACTCAGTGATGCAGCACCTTGAGACCCAAGGAACGGAACCGTTGATATTGAATAGTCGTCAAGTTCTCGAGATGGACGCGCTGCATATTCAGCAGCATCTTCTATCTGCTTCCTTGCCGCTGTGATTTCACGGCGTGAAGATTTCTCGCTAATTTCCATCTCATGAGTCCAGCCCTTTATACGGTCCATCTCTTTCCCGTGTTTGGTAAAAAGTAAAGAGCTATTGTCGCGAGCAACTTTGAACTCGCGCCACTGACCAAATGATATTTGAACAAGTAGCTTTTCCAGCGTAACCTTCAACTGTGGCGATTGTATACAAAAGTCCATGGATGCTTTTAGGTAAGCTTTTCTAGCCTCATGGAGCTGGAAAGCATCTTCTCTCAAGGAGGAGGGTTCCTTAGACTTAGTTTGGGCCGCATATCTAGCCTGTAAATGATCATATTGTTTCTGGGTTTGGTCAAGAACACGGCGAGTTTCCTGCAGAGGTAGGTGAGGCAAGTTAGCAATTCTCTAGGGTTTTGCCGCGTGCGCCGAATGACATACTTTGAAAGAACGAAGGTCTCCTTGAATAAAGGTCCTAACTGGTTCACTAACGAGTGAATCGCATTTCTTCAACGTGGAAACAACTCCATGCCAGAAATCCTTAAGAGATTCCCCGTATCTTTTCACAGCCAGTAGAGCATAGTCGTGGTCGAGTATGGCCTCCGAAACATTTAATGGAGAGTTAACATGGGATACGAAAGAATTGGTAATTCCCTCAAGTACAGGAAGCTCCGATGTCAATTTTGTGGTGGATTTGAGATACCCGTCCAGCCATTTCTCAACGTAATCGATCTGGTCACAGAAATGTACGGTTGTCGAGCGGAAAGTCGGTGAATCGATGGCAGCTTCCTTTAAGCCAACCGGTCTACGAGAACCAATCAGTATTAGAGGTGCCCATTCGGTCTAAGGGTCAGAGGACTTACATGACGTTCACAAGGTTCCCGGTCTGGGAGATCGCGGAGTGCGAAGTCGACGACATTTACCCCCTAGCTACACCATAGCCTAGCTTCTAGGCACGGGAGCTTCTTAAACGAAATAGGAAGGATACGTAAGCGTAGAATAGGGCTAAGGAATTATTAATTAATAAACATGCTCCTTAATAAAATACTCCTAAGAAATGTCTCTGGGTACTCCGTACTCTAGGCGGCGTACGCTGGTCAGACGGTCGAGGAGCTTGATCCACTGCTCGATCGAACTGACGATGTGCTTAGTCATAAATAAGAGTGTGTTGGTTGGTTACCGTTAGAATTAGCTCCGGGTTGGAAACTTAAAATTTCGCCAGTGTAAAATCCAGACGGGCAAGAGAAAGAGAGAACCAAAGCCAGGCAATATCAATTGCGCCGCCAACGATGGAGCCACCGTCGAAAAAGCAGAAAAAAGCGCTGCTTGATGATACTTGGGACAGCGAAAGCTCCGATGAAGGAGGTGTCAAACTTAACGATGAACTGGATTTCAAGATTAACAAAGAATACGCCAGACGCTTTGAGTATAATAAGAAACGAGAGGAGCTTCAGCATTGTATGTATATAGGCGGGGGTTGATACTTTGGATGCAAGTGCTGACGGCTAGTATAGTGGAAGAAAAGTTAGGAAAGTCTACACCCTTTGCCAAAAAGCAGAAATTTGAAAAGGCCGACGAGAACGAGGAAGACGATGAAGATGAATCTGAGGAGTCCTCTGAATCGGAAACTGAGGACGATGCGGCAGAATTGGTGACAGAGGCCGTGGATTCCGAGATTCTGGCTACAATACAAGCAATCCGCAACAAAGATCCAAGAGTATACGACAAGGGTGCCGTTTTCTACACCAAGCTCGACGACGAAAGCGTGCAGCAGCGTGAAAAAGAGCATAAGCCAATGTATCTACGAGACTACCACCGTGAGAATATTTTACGTGGTACTAAAGAAGATGGCAACGAGGACGATGAGCCAAAGACATATGTCCAAGAGCAGGAGCATCTGAAACGCTCTATTGTCAAAGAGATGCATGCAGCTGCGGATGCAGATGGTGAAAACGGTGACGGTGGTGATAGCAATAGCGACGATGATGGGTTCCTCGTTCGCAAATCCAAACCAAAGGTGATGGCCGTGGAGATTAAAAAAATTACGGAAGAGGATGTTGCTACAGCTGATAAGAATCCTGAAACGTTTCTGTCTAATTTCATGGCGTCTCGAGCGTGGATTCCTTCTACACGACCAAATTTTCAACCCTTTGAATCAGATGACGATGAAGAGGAAGCTAAAGCAGAAGCATTCGAGGAAGCATACAATCTTCGATTCGAAGACCCCGACAAGCTCAATGAAGCCCTGGTTACCCATGCAAGAGACACAATGGCCAAGTTTTCGGTGCGGAGAGATGAACTTAGTGGTAGAAAACGAAAGAGAGAGGCAGAGAAGTTGAAGAAAGAAGAGGAGAAGAAGCAGCGTCATGAAGAGCGCGCGCGATTGCGAAAGTTAAAAATAGAGCAGTTGGAGGAGAAAGTCACGAAAATTAAGAAGGCTGCAGGACTTCGGGCCCAAAATATCACAGATGAAGAATGGGCTGGCTTTCTTGATGATGGCTGGGACGATAGTAAATGGGAAGAGGAAATGGAAAAGCGATTTGGAGAAACATACTACGCAGAAGGGGATCCAAATAGTGACGACGACGAAGCCGAATCGTCGAAGAAAAAACGCGTTAAGAAGCCTACATGGGATGACGATATCGATATCAATGACATAATTCCAGACTTTGAAGATGACGAGCAGAGGCAGTTTGATATATCAGATCCTGAAGTAAATCTTGATGAAGAGGCCAATGACGCCTCTGATAAGGATCAGAAGAGTAGTAAAAAGAAAAGGCTCCAAGAGAAGAAAGACAAACAAAAGGAAACAAAACGAGAGCGAAGGAAGATCGAGACAATCGTTGACAAAAGCCTCGATCTCGAGCCATCATTACTTCCTGGCGCATCAAAGAAATTCTCAAGCTCATTCCGTTACCGAGAAACTTCTCCTATTAGTTTTGGGCTTACTTCGCACGACATCCTCATGGCAGACGATAGCCAGCTCAATCAATTTGCTGGGCTTAAAAAACTTGCACCCTTCCGCGCACCAGACAAGAAGCAGCGGGATTACAAGAAGCTGGGAAAGAAGGCGCGCGTGCGGCAATGGCGAAAGGACACGTTTGGTGATGAGAATGGGCCGCAGATGACATTTGCTGAGCCTGAACCGGGGCCAGCCGATGCGCCAGACGGGGATACAGAGATGAAAGTCGACATTCATGAAGGTGGGAGAAAGAAGAGGAGAAAGAGGTCAAAGAAACAATGAGTGTTTAGCAGTGATACCATGTTGATGTTCATGTCTACGGAGTAGTTATATTGTAGCTGTGGTACGGAGTACAGTGCCAGGTGTTGTAGATCCCAGTACCGCATATGCGCTCAACTTCGTAATAATACGAAAATAACTGCCAGTAGACTGCTACGCTGACAATTTCCACGGGCCTATACGTAGAAGATGCAGGAGGAAAATAATTCTTTGGTCGAATTGTCACCAGTGCCCCGTACAAAGTAGTCCCGACTTTGATGGCACACAATTGAATCTGATAGCAGGCCCAAAACTCGGCTGAACAGCGAAGATAACCGAGCCAGGCGGCTGCGTCGCAACTGCGGAGCACAAGCTCGCCTAGCGCCTGGGCGCCGACAAAGACCTGCCTTGTAGCTCGAGCCGGGGGGGTTGACAGCGCGCGAAGTCAGGGACGGGAGGCAAAAGTCGCAGCCACCAAAAGCCTCTGTGCAGCAGCAGGCAAATGGGCGGCAGCCATGGCCAGTGGAGCCCAGGGCCAAACCCGAGGGAAGCCAAAAAAAAAAGGAGCGGCCGTGCTGGTGCTGGACGGCGGCGGCGATGGTTGCTGGGCGGGCGATCGGGAGATGTCGGTAACGCTGGCGGGCCTAATCGGGCTTAGCGGCGTCAAGAGTTTTCCTCCTTACCCAAAATACCAAATTTTTCATTATTTCTTCTCGTTCTCCCTCGCTCTCTCTTCTCCTCTTCTCTCCATCTCGCCCTCAAGCCTTTTTGCTTGCTCTCCCCATCCCCCTCTGTCTGAAAGGACAATTCTCCTTCGCTCTCAGCACTCTCCCCTCCTTTCTTTACTTTAACTAGTAAGGCACCGCAAAAATGGCGACCCAGCAGGATAAGTCGTTTATGGGGATGCCCGTAAGTACTCTCACACAGTCCATCCCCAAACACAGAACGACGTCCATCGCAGTATCAATGGGACGCTAGGTTTTGATGCCAGGAGCTTTCCAGCTCCAATGGCTCGCTGGAAGCCCGAAAACCGAGTCCTTGAAGAAGGCGTCTGAATTCTCGGTGGCTGGTAGCTGGTGCTAATGCGTTTCAAATTTTACAGGGCTTCGTCGTGGACTTCATGAGTATGTGTGACTCTGTACCTTCGCGCTACGTTTTTTTGATGATGGGTTTTGAAATCAACGCCATGCGACAATTGCAAGGCGATGAAAAAATTTTCACTGGTTCATGCGTAGACTGACATGGGTCGCAATTTTCAGTGGGCGGTGTCTCCGCTGCCGTCTCCAAGACCGCCGCTGCTCCCATCGAGCGTATCAAGCTCCTTATCCAGAACCAGGTATGATTGCCTTGCACGTTACGACAATCGTCCCGTGGTCTCGCTGCCTTGACTGCGATGTACTCGCATAAAATGCGGCGCTTACCCGATCGAGCAATCGTGACCTCAAGATATCAATGGCCAGCCTATTAACGTATATCGATGCAATAGGATGAGATGTTGAAGACTGGCCGTCTTGACCGCAAATACAATGGCATCGTCGACTGCTTCCGCCGCACTGCACAGTCTGAGGGTGTCGTCTCCTTGTGGAGAGGTAACACTGCCAACGTCATCCGTTATTTCCCTACTCAGGCCCTCAACTTTGCCTTCCGTGATACCTACAAGGCCATGTTCGCCTTCAAGAAAGAGCGTGATGGCTACGCCAAGTGGATGATGGGTAACCTTGCCTCCGGTGGTGTAAGTAGCTGATGTTGTCGTTTGGTCGAATATGAGCTAATAGTTTTAGGCTGCCGGTGCCACTTCCCTCCTCTTCGTCTACTCTCTTGACTATGCCCGTACTCGTCTTGCCAACGACGCTAAGTCGGCCAAGAAGGGCGGTGGTGATCGTCAGTTCAACGGTTTGGTTGATGTCTACAAGAAGACTCTTGCTTCTGATGGTATCGCTGGTCTCTACCGTGGTTTCGGTCCCTCCGTTCTTGGTATCGTCGTCTACCGTGGTCTGTACTTCGGTATGTACGACTCCATTAAGCCTGTCCTCCTCGTCGGTCCTCTTGAAGGCAACTTCCTCGCTTCCTTCCTCCTCGGCTGGACTGTCACTACTGGTGCTGGTATTGCTTCTTATCCTCTTGACACCATCCGTCGTCGTATGATGATGACTTCTGGTGAGGTACGTATCAAAAAAATCGCTCCCCCCATCCTGATTCAATTGCTCATGCCACGTTGCAATAGGCCGTTAAGTACTCTTCCTCTTTGGATGCTGCCCGTCAAATCGCCGCCAAGGAAGGTGTCCGCTCCTTCTTCAAGGGTGCTGGTGCTAACATCCTCCGTGGTGTTGCTGGTGCTGGTGTGCTCTCCATCTACGACCAGGTTCAGCTTCTCTTGTTCGGCAAGGCCTTCAAGGGTGGCTCTGGTTAAACAGTTGGAGAAGCTTCTGGGGACGTGTCGTCGAAGATTTCGATTGAGAGCCGGGGATGCAGGTATGGGGAGAGAGCATAGATGTGTGCAAAAAGAATGGTTGATTCTGGAGCATAGAGCAATCAAGGTTGTTTTCTCCTTCTTGCCTGCCTGTACTTTACTACCTGCGAGCTTACTTTTTTTTTCCTTGTTAAGTATTCACTTGTGCACCGTGTTTAATTCCCTCATTCATCTCATGTACTGCTGGCTGGATAGAAAATGTGATTGTGACCTGCTTCCGTTGTTGATAATACATTACCACTTCCTCGTCAAAATCATCCTAAATGTGATTCATCCACAGGAAGTCGTCGCAAACCTTAATGTCACGTGGTGATATATGATGTCAATGAGCAAGCCATCCTCAAGGCAACTTCCAAGTCAAGGAAATACAACTCCAGAACTGATTTTCAAATGAACTGACAACCTCGAGAAGCTCCAAGACATTCCTCGATCCATCGCCATGGGGAACAACAAACAAAGAAAATCGAAATCCGGCGCGAAACCCAAGCAAGACCTCGATAGTCGCGCCGACAACACTCTCCCAGAAACAAAGAAAGAGCTCAACGAGGCCACAACCACCTCCCAGCCTGAAGAAAGCGTTTCCACCGAGTCTATCGAAGAGACCGTGAGCAGCTCAGCGAATTATCCCGACCAGCAGCAGTCCCAGATCCCACCGCATTCGACGCCCGCTCTCCCTTCTACCCAGCAACAGCTACCACAACAACACCACCACCAAGCACAACACCCAAACCAGCCCAGCACAGCCTCTCCCGAACACTCCTTTACCCCAGCCCCTCAACAACAACCCAATCCCCGTCACTTCACCATCGCCACCACCACCAGCAAAGACCCGCGCCAATCCTCACACTACCTCCCTCCACCTCCCCAACACCACCAGGCCACGCCCTCCGCACCACAACACAACCTCTCACACCCACCCGGCTACATCCAAAACCCCGTGGCCACACGCACTCCCACAACCGGCGCCGCGGCGGCCGGCGGCGGCGGCCACTGGTCGTGGTCGGACGCGCCGAATCTTTCCGGCGGGCGCTACGTGTACTCCCCCGCGGCGGGGACGGAGAGGGCGTCGCGCGAGGCGCATAAGTATGATGATGATGGTGGTGGTTATGGGGATGGGGATTGGGGAGCGGGGTTGGGGTGGATGTGGGAAGGGGTGAAGGGGTGGGCGGGCACGGTGGGCGAGAGGTTGGTGGAGGTGGAGGAGGGGGTGTGGCGGTGGGTGAATAGTCGGACGTGAGAGGGATGGAAGGCGTTGATGGGGGGTTGAGTGGGTATTAAAGAAATGGTTGTTGTCTGATATTGATCAGTTAGTTACCATGTATCATAAATGAATTAGGCACCCAGGTCTACCACAGCTAATGGCGAATCTCAAAGAGAATGAATGAATCATATCGATACCAGCATCTCATTTTTTAAGAAACGGTCTCACTCCAGTACAATACAGCTAAGACGACCAAAGCAAGAACCAGCCTCAAAAAGAAAAGGCACCAAAAAAAAAAAAAAAAAAAAAAAAAAAAAAAAAAAAAAAAAAGAACCGGAATGAAAACACAGCCAGCATGGCACAGTACCACCAGACCGCTCAGTGCAATACAGTTAAGATGACCAAGCAGCACAAACAGCCCCATGTCCACTGCCATATTTTTCCGATCATGTGGTCCAATCTCCATCTGCTGCCACAAAAAACAATGCAGCGCTCTCAAATCATTGTTGTATATGTATGTAGTTTGTCGAATAAAGCGCCTGCTGGGAGGAACATCAAAGTAGCGCCGAACTAACAAAGGAAAACAAGGCATTACAAGGAAATAAAAGTATAAGGTGTATACATATAAACAACGAAAAAAAGAAAGGGAAAGCTGTTGAAGGCAATTCCCAAAAAAAAAAGGGCCCAAAAGAACACCGCGCCAGCTCTAGATAAAGGGGTAGGCAATTAATAAAAGTCATAAGTTGCAGTCAATGCTCGCTCAAGAGAAAAAAAGAAACTTGTCACCTGAGTGGGGAGGGTTGAAGGGCATAATATCATCAGTAACAGAAAAGGGGTGGAAATTCATCCTCAGTATGAGATGAAGTAGGGTTTGGAGTCATCTAGAAAGTATTCCGAAATCCAGGGAAAGAGAATTAAGTAAGGCGTAGCACTGGGGGGCAGGACGTTTAAAATAAAATGCAAATCAAGAAAACGCCATGGTCCCGTAGCAAAAAGATATTGCTCTTCCGTTCATATCGGTCATATCGTTCCCGCTGAGATGGGAAGAAGCGATCATGGTCTCTTTGTTCGCACGTCGAACTCGGAGGCGGCATCGCCGGATCATCTTTTCGCGTTTCGTGAAGGCGGGGGTGCTTCGAAGTCGACATAAAATAAAAAGAGGTAGAAATTCGTCGACGCAGCGACGGCTTGTTGTTTGCTCGTTTTGGTCCAGCCAAAATAGAAGGTTTAAACAGACCAAAACCCTATCCGTTTGTCGAGACCCAGGAAAAAAATTAAGAAAAAACAGGTAGTTTGAACGCCAAATGCCCCTCCCAGATTTTTTTCCCAATGTTACATGGATCCCATTTGCAAAAGCGCTTCAACCGCCGCGCGTTCTTCGAAGCTACCGCCAATGCCGTCCGAGAAAGAAAAACCAACGTTCTGTATCGGGAATCGACCAGGTACTGACTTAGCGAGCGTGGACAACGATGGTCCGCCGCCCGAGCCACCTTTTGATCGAGTGGGAGAATACGCCTCGCCCCCAGAGCTGGTGAATCGCGCCCTGAGGGCGGCAGCTCCAATCTGCGCCCAGTCTTCTTCATCGGTCACGTCTGCTTCTTCCCAGTCGCCGTGCATAAGTTCGTCGTCGTCGGAGGCCTGAAGCGACGAGCAGTACGCACGGTCATCGCCGTCCAGCGACATCTTATCGGCCTCATGCTCGGCGAGGCTCTGGTCGGTCTGATCGCCGTACCCCCATTCGGAATGGGAGAAGACGGCGGACTCTCCAGCAAACGACGAGCCATAGCGATGATGCTCCTCCTTGAGGCTAAAATCAGTGGAGCCGCGAGACACCTGACGCAGATGAGACATGGGGTGGCAGGGCGGCGACAAGGCACCGACTGGGCGATTTCTGACGGCACCGCGTCGTTTCGCGTCCCATCGGCCCCAGCCAACTTTTTCGAACTCCACCTCGCCGGTTATCCCACCTCCTTCTCCCATTGCTCCTTTGCCCTCCAGGGCCCCGACGACCAATCTCCTGGCCTTGGCAGGAGCAATGGATGAAAATCCCGGGACTGACGTAGTCAGATAGCCCATAATGTGGCGGATGGCCAGGGGGCCGTGATTGAGCAGGATGTCAGGGAGATGCTGCTTTGCGAGCAGGGCCGGGGTGATGGCCTCGGCGCTGTCCAGAGAGTGCAGGGCCTCGGGGACCAATTTGGCGGCGGGCCCACGGAGCTGGACGGCGTCCTGCAGGTCGATATCGGAGTCGACGTGCTCGGGGATCAGCGGCGGCGAGTCTGGCATCTTGCAGGCGCGGTGTTTGAATCCGTGCGGGTGGAGTGCAGGGGAGATGGAGCTGGGGGGCGTGGGCAGCAGGGCGGGCTGGCCGGGGAGGAGGTCCAGGCCGGCGCTGGCAGGGTAGGTGCGGCGGGTGTCGCGCGATTTGGGGATGTCGACCGACGGCGTCTTGCCAGCAAGGGCCATGGCGATGCTGGAGGTCGCGGGGCGGGCAGCCATGATTGCAGAGTGTGAGAAAAGGGGGGACGGGGATTAACTGGCGAGCAGCGAGAATAGGTCAGTACGGCGCAAGAGGACAAAGAAGGCCGTTTGCAGCGGGCAGGCAGGGTGAAAGGGCAACGATGCTCACGTCACTGAAGACTATCCACGGTGGGTATGACTGGCGTTGGGTAGGGGGTGGTGACGGCCCGGGCTGGGATGACTAGATCACGGCAGAGCGTTCGCGATGCGAGCAGGACAGGACGAAGAGGGCAGGCCACGGCACAGCAGGCGATGGACCACGACGAGAGAGCGAGAGCGGGAAGAACGAGTTGCTTGCGATGGTGATGGTGGGAGAGAGAGAGAGAGAGAGAGAGAGATAGAGCGATAGGCCCGGCTGGGAGCCGGCAGGCTTAATTAAGAGCGCGGTGCCCGTGTTCGCCTTCGCCGGCTGTTCGCTGCACGCCCTGCGCGGGCAAGAGCCACAGCCGGGCCGGTACTTGTGCGCCGGTACCTTTTGGGCGCGCGAACAGCCCACGCTAGGCGGCTTGCGGTCTAGCTCGCTGCCCCATGCTGCGTTGCGCCGCTGCGATTGGCCCGATAGCCAGCTGGGGCAGGGCTCGCGGGTACTTGGGCGTTTGTCACTTTTATTTTCGTCCGATCTGGCAGCGGGGGGAGGGGGGGGCCAGCCCGGCGCACGCAGGGGGGTATATGGGGTCCGAACGCCTCGCTGCAGGGCCGGCCGTATACGCGCGGTGTCTCGGCCTGAGGCAGAGTGAGACAGAGGCAGTCCCGGCGGATGCCGCGTAGTAGCAGCAGCAGCAGCAGTAGCAGTATGTGCTCCGTACGCCGGACCACAGCCAGCGCGGGAGTTCCATCGCCAACCCGCGCCGGGGGCCATGTGCGCCGCCGACTCGCTCGTGTTGTTTGCTCAGCTGCGCGCGGCGGTGCCACGGGGGTCGCACGCGCGCCGTGGCAATACCGGGGCGTGCGCCGTCGGTCGGCCTTGGTTCTCGCCTGCCTTGCCTGTTCCGCCGCCGCCCCGACTGTCCCGACGGAGAGCGAGCGCGCACGCGCGCGTGTGTGTTGTTGTTGCTTGTTATCTGGCACTCCTTGTTCCTGGGCAGAACCAGCAACCAGACCCTTACCGTCACCAGCAAACTCGCCCTTCCTCTGTGTGTTTAACTTTGCCTGCTGCGCGAGAATACGCTCCCCATTGGCCTTGCGCTGGTGCCGGACGGGCGACGCAAACCTTGCGCCCTGCAGCGACGTCGGCGGAGAGACAACTCGGCGATGACGATGCTGCGATACGAGCCGCGCTGATGCCCGCGCGCCGGCTACAACAGTACGGAGTAGTGTTTCTCGCTTCCTCAGCCTGTCTCTCAGTCTGTCTGTCTGGGCGTGTGTCTGGCTGCGCCTCCCCGCACCGCTCGGCAGCCACAGGCGCGTGGCCTGGCAAGGTCAGCTGGCGTTGCCTCCGCCGCGCGAACTGAGGGGTAGTCAACTAGGCGTGCCTGGGTACGGAGTACATATCTGTTGCTGCTGCTGCCCGCGGCATCCCATGTTCCCCCCTCACTTCGTCCCAAGTACCTGCCTTGCACGTGGGCTGGCGATCACGCCGTGCGCTGACTCAGCAGTGACCACACCGGAGCTGGCATGGCCCGCACATTGCCCATCCGCGCCTCTTGATAGGCCGCCGCCCTGCCTGGCATGGCCCCCCGCGACCAAGCGGGATGGCAGCATATAGTTACTCTCTCCGGCCGATCGATGATCGCTGCACATCACCACAACCACAACCACAACCACCACCCTCTGTCTCTCTTCCTCATCCGCTTCCAACCTGCTTTTCTGAACCTTGACCCTCATTTTTTGCCGCTCGAAAGAGCCGTACGACGGGCGTCGTTCATTATTCTCAGCCACTGCATCCCTTGGTCCTGTTCTTGCCTTCGTGCAGGCTTTTGTCTTTCACAATAGTTCTTGATCAGCCCATCACTGACGCTTTTTTGGACCACCAGCAATCAGGAAATGCATTCCCTCAACTTATTATCATTCTCAGCCCGAAGCTCAACACTCAGACACCCCATGGCCAGCATGGCAGGCATGCTGTCGCGTGTGTGTTGCTTGACAACTGCTCTGGCCGGCCTGACGGGTCAGTCTAACGCGTTCCTTTGATGAAGCTGCATTGCTCGTTCTTAAAACATCCTTCAAAAACACAATCCAGGCCTAAAATCCATACTCCTTAGCCAAGGCGGTAGCTCAAGGGAGAAGAAAAAAAAAGCCGCAACTCTGTGAGTCTGTGTCATTGCTCTCACTAGCTACACTAGTTTCATACTGCTGACCCATGCAAAAAACTTCTGGCTTCACTCCAAAACAATAAATCTGAAGTCTTTTTTTTTCTTACTACTCCTTAGCTTTGACCACGATGTATGGAGCACTTGATGTTGATCAGTGACGCAACCCATCTTTTTAGTTGCTTCACAAAAAAAAAAACAATAATACATCATTGTCTAGCATTGTGGTCAACCCTTAAATCCTTCTTGCTTGCTTGGGTAGTTCATGGAGTGGTCTTCAGATGGGTTCGTCATCCCGAGCTTACGAGCTCTTGATAAGACCAGGGTAGTTGCTTACCTAGCCCCAAGTCTTCCAAGCTGCAAATCCTCAATAGTCATGTTCACATTTTTGGGAGTGTTTGCTGTTGCTCAATGAGTGAGGATAGTTCAGACCCCAACATGACTAATTCGACTTCTCCTTTGTCCATGCTTTGCGGCACATGCCGCTCACCGCTCTTTTCAGCTCCGTATAGAGTATCCTCCCAAAACCACAAAATAAAAAGGACCCAAAAAGACGCAAACCAGGACTACGCACTGACTGCTTGGCCAGAAAATCCGCCCCGGCACCGATCCCACTGTCGGAGCTGGGAGGATTTTCGGACTTTTTGTTATTTTTTTTTTTTTTAATTTTGTTTCCCATGTGGTGCCCAACTATTTATGCACCTCTGTCACATTTAAGACTTTCGCACGGACCTCGCCCTGTTCCTCCTAACGGGAGCGCTCTTTTTAGCCGGCTCTTGATATCACCATTTTTTTTTAGCTTCCAAATGCAAGTCTAGAAAGAAAAAAGAAGGAAGGACAAGAACCGGACTATCACAGAACACCTCCCCCCACCCCCCCGCACAGCGTGACCACGTTGGAAAATAATAATAATAATATGCCGTGCGGGCCACCAACTCTACTGTTTGGTGGGTTTCTTCTCAGCGGTACTACTGGTCACGCACGCACGCTTGCGGGTGGAAGTGGCTTCGTGCTCCATGGCGCGCATGGCGACAGCAGGTGTTCTCGTATGGCTTGCTCCGATGGTTTGTATTAATAATTTCTTGAAATATCGGGGCCTCCTGGCAGGGCGGGAAGTGAGGCCGCGCCGCGTGGATGTGTGCGTGTGGTGCTTGTGACGGCTCGTTCGTCGGTGTTCTATCCGTATAGTTTTTGTCTTCAATATTTAAATTGTAGAAATGAAAGCTCGAGTACGGAGTAGTCTGGTCTGGTACGCAGTAACTACCTTAACGTCCCCTCTGTAAGAGGAGAGGGAAAATAAAATCAAAAAAAAAGATGTTGACAAGGGTGGGATTCGAACCCACGCCCCTTTCGAGACATGGACCTGAGCCATGCGCCATAACCACTCGGCCACCTTGCCGTCTAGCTCTTGTGGCTTGCCACCTACCTACACAATACTTACTTAGCTAACTACTTGGCTAGTTTTACGTCAAAATTATTCTACTATGCTGTCATAATGCAGAAAGTGCGGTCATAAATCAGAACATCGCGCGAAATGAAACAGTCCTTTCCCTTAAAGCCTGCAGTTTTAAAGCGTATTTTTGAGACAGACAAGGACAACACCATGATTAAGAGAATCTACGTACTTTTTGGTGGCTTCATTGGCTGTTGTTTCAAGGCTTGGGGATTGGGACGAGACCAAGGAAAGAAATCTTCAGGTTCGCTGTTGTGGCAGCCAATATACCTTCCCTTCGTGGAAGCTCTATTACAACCCATTTGATTGGTAAACAAATCCTTTTACGATACTGCGGCCTCGATTAGCTATTATGGGTGGAGGTACAGCAATGCTAAGTAAGACCTGTTGATAGATGTGAGATTGATTTTACATCTAAGGCCATCATGTGCTGAAAATTTCCTCTCCCTTTTCTGAAGTCCGCTCCGTCATTCGAGGCTTCCACTGAAAAAAAGGCTACGACCCAAGACTCGCACAGCACAGTCCCATAACTGGAGATGCCGCTTATTTCCGTGTATGTAGCACTATTCAAGCAATTCCCAACATTGAGGAGCATGAGACGATATTCCTTACCTTACCCGACGACCTTGGCCCCTCGTGCGGAGCACGCATTAGCATCTCCGATGAGGATAGCAAGGTTCCAGGCTAGCGTTCCATATTGGAACCACGCTTCCTTCCTGGCGTTCGTCCACTTGTCACCAACAACAACAACAACAACAAGAGCTAGTTCTCAACAAATTCATTCCAGACTACTACCGACTACACGATGTCTCCATTATTATTGTTGACCGCCCTTCAGGATGCCGATGCACGTTGGGAGGCTAGCACGGTTTTTTTTATGTGACTATGGAGGTTGGTAGGTGCATGCATGCAGGCAGGCAAGCTGTGTCGCCCGGTCATCTGCACGCCCCTTGGGTTGTTGCGTTTCAGTCTCTTCTGGCGAGATTGCCCCAGGGCGACAGCAGCATGAACGGGGAGACGTTGAAATAAAAAAAAAGAAGCAAATAAGAATAAAATGGCCAGGTTTATGACTATTGCAAGAGGCCCGTGCAGTGCGATACTCATCGGGCGATTAAAATTACTAATGATGAAATGGGTGTGTTTCGAAGATTGAGGAAAAAGAAGCACAGGAAGACTTGATTCATGTGTGTCTGTGTCAGGATGTTTTTGAATTAACTAACTATTCAGCGCTCCCTGGCATTAGTTTCAAGCCACCGGGGCGTGTCGACATGCAGGCCCCATGCTGGGCGGGGGGAAGGGCCAGAGAAGTAAGTGTGATATACGAACGATCGGCCTGTCAGAACACAGACACGGGGGCTACTATCTCGCTTTTGCTTTTGCTTTTGCTTTTGCTTTTTATTGTCCACAACGCGCGGGGAAAAGAAAGTCTGGGGAGAGAGCCGAGTATGGGAACACGCTGGCCAGAGCGAGAGCCAGAGCCAGAGCCAAAGCCAGAGCCCGGAAGAGTAAATGCTGGTGGTGGCATAGACTCGCACGAGAGAGAGCGAGAGAAAGAGAGAACGAGAGTTGTTGGCGCTCGGCTAGTTAGCTGGTTGCTGGTTGCTGGACTGTTGAGATGCTGAAGCTGGGCTGGCCGGGCGGACGGACGGACAGACGGGCTTTGGCCATGGCGAACTAGCAAGCTCGGGAACCATGCATCCAGACTCCAGAGCTCCTCGACACCCGGAAACAAGAAGGAGAGTCCAGAAGCTGCTCTGCTCCAGGGGCTGCATAACGACTCCGGAGTAACTACTCCGTACTCTCGTTATTCTTCTCACTGCTGCTGACCGCCCAGCCCGCCGCTCAGCCTTACCGCTCTCGCACGGCGTATTGGCAGGACCTGCGTTGTGTGTATCACCTCCCTCCCCCTCGCCAGCGTCTGGGATGGTTTGGTTCGGCAGACCGTTGTGCCTGAGGGAGCCTGGGCGCGCCAGGAAAGCTTCTCGCTCGTTTTGTGTTCCGCCGGCCAGACTGTGGGCGACGTCCAGGGGGGGGGGGGGGGGGGCCCCGTTGGGGGGGGGGGGGGTGGGGGGGGCAGCGCATCGATGCAGGTGATTGATTTG